GATCCATGACCAGCGACATAACTGGAAAGCTTGCCCTAGTTGAAGAACTTTTTGAAGGATAGGGTATGCTTCCCATCTACCAGAGATAGGAAAGTTGTTGAGACATAGGATTGTTTCCTTTGAATCAGACTCTATTACAATCCTCGCAAGACCAATCTGTGATGCAAGGCAACATCCTTCCATTATTGCTGATGCTTCAGCTACCTCAACCCTAGAAGCTAAGATCTTGAGTTTTTTTTTGGGTAAAGTACAAAAAACTACCTCAACTATTGGTGTCACGACACTTTCATACCTCATCTTTTAAAATTGACAATGTCATACCTCATCTTTAGAAATTGTGTCAATGTTATACCTTATGTTAGTTTGGCCGTTTATTTTTCAGTTAAATGATGACGTGGCTTGATCCGGGACCCATTTTTTATTAAAAAACTAATAAAATAATATTTAAAACAAAAAAAAATCATTTAATATTATTTAAATATTAAAATAATAAAAAAAAGTACATAAAAAATAAAAAATAAACCTCTCCTTTTCGTCCCTCCATCCTCTCTCTCTTCACCATCTTCCTGCAATCCAGGAAGAAGAAGAGGAAGAAGAAGAGGAAAAAAAAAAAAAAAATTAACCCCAAACCAAACCCAGTTCGTCCCTCCTTCCCCCACCACAAACCCAACCCCCTGCAACCCAAAAAGAAGGAGGAGGAAGAAGAAGAAGGAAAAAAAAAAAACCAACCCCAACCCAACCCGAAGGAGGAAGAAGAAGAAGAAGGAAAAACAAAAAAAATTGAGAAACTCTCGTCCTCCCCCCCCTCAAAAACAAAAAAACCCACCTGCAAAAGAAAAACAAGAAGAAGAAAAGAGAAGGAAGCGAAAAAAAAAAAAGGGAAACTCTCGTCCCCCCCTCCCCCAAATACCCACCCACCCTACGCAAAAGAAAAACAAGAAGAAGAAGAGAGAAGGAAGAAAGGAAAAAAAAAAAAAACAAAAAAACAAAACCCAGTTCGTTCGGATCTGGGTTTTTTTTTTTTTTTTTTTTTGTTTTATTGGTTGCAGGTAATGGGTGCGAGGTTGGGTGCAAAGGGTGGGTGCGAAGGTGGAGAGGTTGGGTGCGGGGAGAAGAGGGGGTGGGGAATGGGGAAAACAAATTGATTTTTTTTTTCTCTGTCCTTTTTTTCTGGGTTGCAATTGCAAAAAGGGGGAAGAAGATGAAGATGGGGAGAAGAGAGAGAAGGGGGGAAGGGGACGACCATACCCACCTGGTACCAGATTCTCCATCGGTTAATGGTTATACCCATCTTCAATACAAAAAATATATTCTTCAATTGATGCATGGTAATTTAGTAATATTATTTTTGGCATTAAATATTTGATGTATAAAATGATTTAATAAATGGATATTGTGAACCATAAAAATTAAAGCTAAGCATTGATAATGTTGGCTGATCTTTGATATCTTCCATAAATACTATTGGTCTAGATTTTCATAGATTTTGATTCATATCAAAACTTTTTAACTTGTCCACAAAATGCAACTCGCATAGTGCAACTTTTGCATTATCAAGGTAATGGATTCAATGAATAATATATATATATATATATGTATATATTATATAATTATATATTCACTATTATATTATATATAATTCGGTTCGGATTCGAGGATGGATACGGATTGGGAACCCCTATAACCATATCCAAAACCATAACCGAATATTATTCACAGGTTTTCCCCATATCCAAAATATACCTGAATTTTACCCAAATCCAATCCATTTGGACAGTTATTCACGATTATCGGGTTTAACAGTTAGGATTGTCATCTATAAACACGAAAATTCTGCATCGAATGAGGTGAGAACACGTGTACAAAGTAGATTTGTATTGATTTAAATTTGTAGGTTACAATCTCTGTTTACAACTTTTCCTCTGATTCAGTCTTCAAATTTGATGTAGATGGTTGATTGTTGATCTAAGGGTCGCAATGACTTGATCTCGGACGAACGAGTTGAATGATTGCTTCAAGTTTTGAGCTTGAAAACAACGCGAGTATAATATAATCTTCTCCTCAAGTTGCGGCAAAGATAGTGTGGATGCAGGATTTCGTTGCTTCAAGGGTCTGGGCGACTTGATCTTGAAACGAACGTTGCTACAAGTTTATAAGCTTGCAACAAAGTCTTAAAGGAATCAACACAAGCGCTTGTTGATTCTTCTAGGAATTGCTTTGGCTTTGGTCGAGAGAAAGCTTCGGCTGGTTGAATGTTCTTCAAAGAGAGCTTTGGTAGCGTATTAGTCTTCAAAGGTTTTGGCGGAGGTTATTCTGTGTTGAGATTTTTTGACCCTTATGCTTGTGGTAGGACCTTGTATTTATAAGTTTCTCAAGGCTTGCCCTTCGGTGGATTTGGCTTTGATTTATGTCCTAATTCATCCATGGGAGAATTTAGGCATGTTTTGTATCCTAATTCCCTTGCTTGGCCGAATTTAAGAGCACTTGTTGCTTATTTTGTGAGCAATCTTCAATTCTTGCTTGTTTTATGAAGATGCTTTGGCTTTCTTTCTAGTTTTAGGATCAATTTGGATTCCCTAGCTGAATTTAAGGGGTATCCTCCCTTATTGCCGAATTTTGCGGAAGTTTTATACTTCCTTTGCTTGTCTTGTGCCATATGTCATTGATGACTTGTTCATTTGTGATGAGTCATATGCCACGTGGAGCTTTGCAATGCACCATTTGTATGCAATGAAATTTACATGTCTACACCATCCCTATCTCAAACTCATGTTGCAGTAAACCAAATAGCGAACATTGCCAGACATGCAAGACATGGCGAGTTGTGTAAGGGTCAATCTCAAACTCATGTTGCACAAACTGTATAATATTGTATGCCAAGACGAAGGAAGGACCAAACGTTCAAGTGGAAAGTAGAGTTCGGACAACCCTTTTACCCGTAAGAAGCAGACATGGCAGATGGTGTGGGGGCATTTGTGGAGTCTAAAATAATCAAGAAAATTCTGGATGCGACACATGGACTTTTGGGTTAAAAAGACAAAATTACCCTCGAGGCACACTGAGATTCCCACGCGCAAGCAACAGACAATAACGGCTCAATCAAGGTCAAAGGTGATCCCAAAATGGTATTTATTCAAAACTCTTTCATCACTCCTCATCCAATCCTACCCACAAGGTAACTCCCAATTATTCCTTTCAAATTGGGGTTAATTACCAAATGAATTGATTAATTACAAAATTGAATGCAATATATTATTTGACATAATATCTTGCAATTATATTGAAAAACCACCATAAGTAGCCGGTCCCTATTTCTCCAAATAAGACCGACCACATCCCTATTTATAGCCCCACATTTCTCCAAAAACCCAAGTTCATTCTCTCCCAAAAATTCTCCAAACACTTTTTCTCTCAAATTCTAACTTTGGCATCGAAGATTCCTTAGCCAAAACCCCCCACAACTGACTTTTGGATACCTTCTTTGAAATGAAGTTTCAGGTCGTTTCACCAATTATTTTAACTGTTTAAGTTTGAGTTTGAATTGTATTAATTGTTAACATGTGGATGCAATACAAACCATTAAAATAAGGAACAAACACAAATACAAAAAAAATATGAGCCGTTTCTCAAGGGGCTTATTGAGTTATGTGGGCCATGTGATATCATCATTTTTCCGCACATCATCTTTCAATCGATTATATGGGCCTATGGCATAAAGCTACGTCTTTTTATATTTTGTGTGTAATTAGCCTTTTAAGGACCGACACATGTGCTGTTGCGAAAACATAAAAAGGATTGGAGACCACATATTATCTTTCAATCGACTTATATGGGCCTATGGCATAAAGCTGCCTCTTTCGTTTTTTGTGTGTAATTCGCCTTATAAGGACCGACACCTAGTGCTCTTGGGAAACATAAAAAGGATTGGAGACCACATATTATCTTTCAATCGACTTATATGGGCCTATGGCATAATGCTGCCTCCCAGTGGATCAGAGAATTTGCGATTGGAGGGAGATTCTGCCACGCATGATGATAGCCTCTCAACGTTATCGTCTTTGTTGGGCATGGGGGCCTCCGAAGAGTTAGGACGAAAACGACGGGTTAAAACTGATACCTGCGGGCCTATGGCGTAAAGCTACTGTCTTTTTTTTCTTTTTTTTCTTTTTTTTCCGTGTGTAACGCTGTCCTCATGAAAAAAATTTCATTAGGACTAGAATACTGATGATATATCACGTATAAAGTATTTTTATATAAGTGGTTAAATTTTTTTTTTTAAAAATTATTAACTTTTTAGCACATATATCCCATTATTTATATAATAACACGTAGTATACCATCTCGTATTCCGATCACACAAAAAAATATATCCTCTCCTGCTCCATTATATCACTCATGCTCTCCTGGCATTGTTTATGAATGGCCCTTAGCGTGGCCAAATATTACAAGTGGCTTAGAGAATTCGCTATTGGAGATGACGGAGGGTAAGGAGATTTTTACACGCATGACGATAGCCTCAACGTCATCGTCTTTGTCAATCATGGAGAGCTAATGGGATGAGGCAACAATGGGACAAAAAAGTAATAATAATACTTGGCTACTCAAAAACGAGTTGGAACTCCTACTCAAAATTGTTCGTTGTTAATTTATAGAACTTCATGTTTATAATCATAACCATTCATATTATAAATCATCCTATAAAAATCACCTTTGCAAAAAATCAATAAAAATTAAGGTCGTTTGGTCATCAAACTGTTTAAAAACAAATGAACGGTATTGGTAAAAGCATTACGAACCGTCTATTTATTTGCTATAATAGATTGATTAAACAACTTTAGTTTTAACTAGCAATAGTGCCCGCGCGTTGCTGCGGGTCTTAAAACTACTGGATGTAAAAGAAGAAAACAGGTAGTACAAACTTGTAATGGATAGTCTGTAATTAACAGGTTTTTAGTATGTTCATGCTATTTAAACACAGAAAATATAATAAGAAAAAGAAGCAGAGTGTTGACAAAAAGTGATACACTAAAATTTCAACAGTCGACTATTACAAATATACAAATTAACAAAATGCAAATCAAAACTGACCAATTCAATTAGATAATACTGCAGATTTCATAGGTATTTGTTAAGGTGTAAGCTTAAGGCATTAAATTTATGCAAACACGTTAAGTATGTGTAATCTATCATAAATCAAATGTAAACAAAATATGAAAAAATAAATAGGTAAATACGCTGTAAAATCAGTTCACAAAAAAGGGAATTAACATGCCATGACAACTTTTCAAACCGCTATTTTATTTCTTAGGTCTCACCTTCAACCTTCAAGTGTTCTAAAATCGTGGGAGGTGTTGCATACGTCCTTTACTTTGAAAAATTGACACGTGCAAAACAAACCGCCAAATGAAACCTGTAAACATAAATTTTAGAAGCATCAGAACCATAATAACTTGTTGTTTCATACACCTTAATTCCCTTAAGGAAGTAAACTTTGAAAAAAATGGAGCAACTCGAAAACAGCAACTAATATTTCTAACAAAAAACCTCCTTGCTTACCAGCATAGAATATACTACAAATATTGCCCGCGCGTTGCTGCGGGATTCGAAACCATATGAAATAAATATGTTTCAAAGTTATAAGAAATTGTTAAAGAAGGTTAACGTTATTTACACTGAAAGATGTTTGAGCTTTTTGAAAGAATTTTTACATGAAGAACAGAAATTGGGTGAATGAAGCTCTTGGAATTCTTTAAACCACTCCATAAATAGCATGACGTGTGAGTGATTGATAGTGTAACAAAAATTAGTAAAAGAGTGTAATAGTATTATATGTATTATATATGAAACTATATTATTGGAACCACTTAATGGAAAGTTGTAGTGCTATGGTATACTCAGTTATAGTTTCAAACCCAATAAAAGAATGCAAGCCAGAATATATACATATAAAAGTAAAAACTATTAAGTTTGAAAGATACGAACGATTGAGATTGTAGAAAACGTGGAGAGCAATTGAGAAAAGGGAGCACTAAATTAACTGTTTTTCCTTTCCTTCCCTTCCCTCGCTACATAAACAGTAGAGTAGCTCTATTTTTTCAGTTTTTATTCACGCCATTCTTCATGCCAAGCCAAAATCAACAACTAAATTATAACATGCATGTTAATAATACCATGAAAAATTCCACTTCATTATACATGCATATTATTTTCTTAGTTCATATATGAATTAGATATTATCTCTTCCAAAACCACCAACCAAAATCACTTCTCAAAGAGATTATAAATAGAAGAGAGTGGAAGCTTACCCAAAGCCAATTTCGCATAGTGTTGTGCTACTCTCTCCATTTTCTTATTTTTGACCCAACAATCTCTGCATTTAAATGCATAATGGTTTTTTTTTTATAAAAAAATTTCAGTAAGCCCATGTCAATTCCAGAAAATTTTGAGTTTAAAACCAAAATTAGGCATAATCAAAGATGGACCATTTCATCATCATATGCGAAAGGCAACAAAAACAAATTAAACGCAGAAACTCAACACCATAAACAATTTAGAGGTTAAGCATCTAAAAGGCACAATCTTAAAGATCATAGAAAATAAGAACTTACTGAGATTATCAGGCAGTTTCTGGTTTTTGAATTTGGGATTAAATGATTCAAATAAGCACTTGAAAGAGTGATTGATAACAAAAATCTGAAGTCAACACAACATGCAATCATCTACAGAGCTCAAATACACATTCACTAAACATAGTCCACCATCAATCCACACACATATTTGGTTAAAGTAAAAAAGCGAGTTTAACCTGTTTTGCCACCAAAACATCTTGAGGATCATCCGTGAGGAGCAGAAAGCAAAGTTTGTACAAAAAGAAGTGTTGTTTTCAATGTTAGGGTGCCTTCAACATATGAGATACATACACCAAAAAAACATTATTAGTGATCCCTATGCATATTGTTTCTCTGAGTATTCCAATTCAGCAGTCCTAGAATCTTACACAGTAGCACTTGGCTGTTTCTCTTACTCTATGAACTGTTTTTTCTTTAAAGCACATTCTGCTGTCAAATAGATTATTCACAAAAATTATGAAATACAATTGTACATTAAGTGCTAATAATTTTCATAAATTGGCTAGTTACATTTCCTCACAACTTGAGTGATGTCTAAAATAAATGATGGAGGAGGTTATAGTTTATAAGTTTCACATTTACATTTAACCACAATTTAAGTGGTATATTTTAACTCCAAATGATGCATAGGTTATCAAGCAGTTACATCACTATTTTAAAAATTCACATCCAATAAGAGTATGAATACACCTAATTGGTAATATCTTGAGAGAGAGATACCTGACTATGGGTCGACTTGCAATGAATGGCGATGGGTCAACTTGCAATGAACTAAAGAACTCGACTTTTTCTTATGATTACATCACTACCTTCAAGAAATACATTAATCAGTAAAATCAGAAGCGACAACACAAAAGAAAATCCCAAGTAAAGTTCTCATTAGCAGTGAAATTATTAGTATTGCACAAAAAGATTTAGAGATAAGGAGATAATGATTTAAACAATATTATCTCAATCATCATTATCATAAAGAGAATATGTTACTTGTCCAAAAATACCAATCAAGACCACGGATCAAAACTAACTGTCAAAACCTTCTATAATAGTAAATTATTGTTCTTTCTTAAGATTCCAAATACTTGGATACACAATCCTTTTATAGTTTATATGGATACTTGACACTCATCAATCTTTATATACTCCCCTCGTGGCCATGGGACTTTTTTGTGAGAGCATTAGATAGAAGAGCATGCTTTGAGTATTCAAAAATTTTCAATTTCTCAGTTTTCTCTAAACCTCATCATATGCCGATAATAGTTAAAGATGAATAAACAAAATTAAAAAAAAAAAAAAAGGGGTTAAAACCAAAGGAGAACTAAAATAGAGAAACGAAGAAAGAAAACCATAAATGGAACCCAAACGAAAAGAGAGTGAAAGAGTTAAACCCAAAAGCTTAACCCAATCTCATTTGCATACCATTTGACCATATTAAGAAAAATATGAAATTTGCACCCCCATTTGACCATATTAAGGATAAAGGGTACTCACATCGTTGTAGTAGTACTCTTCGTTGTTATGCTTTTCCTCAAAACTGCCATAAAAAACCCAGAAAGCATAAAAATTTAGAAGCAGAAAAGAAAAGGTTCGAAATTGCGATTGGAAATGCAGAATGTACAGATGGAAACCAAATTGAATTATTATGCCCTCTCTCCTCCTTCCTCCATATACTGGTAGTTACAGTCAATCTATTTAATTTATTGCCAACTTCATCAAAACAACCAAGAAGTATAAAACAGCAAGGTTAATTCTCACTTTCTTTAATCAAAATGAATTCTACTTCTTCCCATCTATTTGCACATCCCTTCAACACTCTCAATTAATATTAAGACAGAAAACAAATTGTTGCAAGAAAGAAGCGAGAGGAAACATCGAGAAGGGAAGCCGAACAGTGAACAACCTGTGTAATTTTGTGAAGATTGGCAAAGAGATCCTATAGAGATGGGAGCAAATGATACTGAAATAGGAATCCCAACCCAAATATCATCCCAGAAACAAAACCTCCCCATTTACAACTGTGAAAAGAAGATTACAACAGAACATGGAAAGGACCTGCGCTTGTCTTTCCATGGGCATCCCCACGACCCTCTAATAAACTCAAATAAGTCATATCATGCAACATGTATTTACTCCACAGTCCATACAACAAAATTCCACACAAAATTAGTTCCCAAGAGTAGCGAAGAAATTATCAATGTTATTTAGTCATACATTTTCATACATACTTGAGCAATATTACCCTCACCAATCATTTCCAAGTCAATCCATACCAATGGCATTTTGTACTCTTCTGGAGGTATCTTTGTAATTTGCTTACTCTGCTTCTCATTTACCAGCGACATGTTATCAGAGCCATTGACTTTTTTCTTGTTATTGCCTACCTCAAAAGATGCATAATCAGAACAAAGATACTCATATTTTTCAATCCGCATAGAGGGATTATCAACAAATATTCACCTAAGTAAATCATTTATTATGGTTATTACTTATTATATATGCCCAATGCCTAGTCTATCATGAATGTGGGTTACATTTCAAGAAAAAATAGGCTAAGAAATAAGTTTTTTTTGTTGTTTATAAATAAAAATTTATACCTCAGCTTCATCAAAATTGCAGGATCCATTCAAAAAGTACGAACTTTTTTAGAGAAATGTTAAGAAAAATAACCTAAAATGGTAGTTCATAGATTCAGTTTTGTTGTAAATGTTAGTATACAGCATCCAAATATACTGGAAAGATAAAAGTAAATAGTAATCAGCGAAATTTTCCTAGTAGAACTTAGCCCTGGAAATAGTGGAAACCAGCTCAATTTACAGGAATCAAACAGAGGATAAGAGAAAATTGGTCCGAGAAAATACCATGGTTGCGGATGAGCTGACGACAACAAAAGGGAGAGACAGCGGCGAAGGGCTGGAGTCTCTGGAACTCTCATCGTCTGCTGTGTGGAGTAAAGCCTAAAACACTAATGTGCGATTTGTAGTAGGTCTTTGGGTAGAACCAAAAAATCAGCCCTACACCCATCCCTCCCTCACTCTTTGCCTGTCTCCAATCGCTCAATCCTACCCCTTTTAGGACAACCATACTTCTCCCTCTCTCTCTGTCTCTGTCATTTCAAAGTCACATTCTTTATCAAATTCAACAACTGGATTTTAACAAAAAAGAAAAGAAAAAAAAACTGGATAATTCACACAGATTCAAAAAAAACCTACTCACATCGAGAGTCGAGACAGAGATATTTCGGAAGCAGCGCAAAGCAGTCATATGGAAGATCAAAGATGTTCTGCATAGGAAATAATAAAATTGAAAAAAAAAATCAAAATTTTAAATTACAACTAAATATTTTCATTTCTTAATTGAAATCCAGAAAAAAATATGCAAAATTTAAGCAATGCAGAGAAAACACAGATCCCATACCAAATTTGTACTCGAAGCCTTTTTACAAATCACCCAACCATGAATCAGAGAAGTAGAGGATTGAGTATGGGGGAGGAGAGACTGCAAGAGAGAGAAAGAGAAGAGAGAGAGAGAGAGAGAGAGAGAGAGAAAGTGTGTGTGTTTGAGCGCAGTGGTGTTGTTGCAGACGGCACAAAGGGATAAACCCAAACCTCAAAGCCAAAAAAAAAACCCAGAAATCCCCAACAACCTAGACCATAGATTTGAACAATCAAGAAGCTGCTGAATCAAAAAAAAAAAAACCTTCAGGGGTTTCTCAGGCAAGAAAAACCGCCGTCGGCAGAGATTTGCGAGCCGATTGAAGCAGAGATTTGTGACAGAGAAGTGGAAACGGAAGGAAAAGTCGAGAAACTTCTAGCCGCTCTAGGGTTTTCAATGAAAGAAATTCGCAAAAGAGTGGGGCAGTTTTCCAGGAAGAAAACAGCCGTGGATAATCGGCGAGAGAAAGATGCGAACGTTTGACGTTTGATAAGAAGAAGCGGAGGAACAGCGTCAGTGAACTCGAGGCTTTCTAAGAAAGAAAAGTCGAGAGAAGCAGAAAAGAAAGAAGAAGAGTACGACCCGTCAACTCCTTTTCCACGATGACCAACACGTGGATATCGGGGCAAAATGTAAATTCAATGTTCAAAACAGAGAAAAAAGCTTGAGAATTAGCAGCAGCCAAGGGCATTTTTGACACTTTACTGTCCGTGAACAGTACACCCGAGTTTGGGTTTTAGTATAGAAATAATTTATTTTTTTGCAGATATGATATTTAGTATGAACAGTTCGAATCATCAGTACAAAACTCTGTGATTAAAATACTACTCATATTTAAGTAGTCAATTATTGTTCTTTTTAAAAAACCTTTTTCACTTTTACGCTGGAGTTTATTGTTCTAACATTACGTTTTATTTTTTATTTTTTTTGTTTTTGTTTTTTGTTTTTTGTTTTTTTTGTTTTTAGGTTTAAGGGGCTTGAGACACCAAAGTAATCTTCTGGCATTCTATTGCAAAGATATATTTTTCCTCCGAGTTCTGCTTCAACATCCAACAGTATGTTTCCACCGATAAATTCTTACAAATTTGAGCCAAACTACTGGAAGTGTACAAGGTAAAAACATAAACCTGCAAGATTTGTGAGACTAGTAGAGAAGAAACGAGAGGGCTAAGAAGGAAAGAGAGAAGAAAAGAGGGACTGGCTCTAAAGGGGGAAAGACAAAATGTGAGACTGGTTTGGTGGCCAGACGGCATAAAGAAAAGGAAGAGGAAGAGACATATGGTCACTTGGGTTTAGTTAGGCTATGGGCCTTTGGACCTTCAATTTGGTCGGCCTTGCGAGATATTACTATTAGATGGGCTATGTTCATTGAATATTTAAAAACATAAAAATTGAATTATCATTTCCTCTTCTTAATGTAGATAATATTATTTGTTTAAAAAAAAACATAAAAATTAAATTAATATTAGCCGGTTCAGTTCGACCGTGCTAGTTTTTTCAAGTTGAGAACCTGAATTGAAACCAGTCTGAACTGGCTCAATTCAATTCTTGTCAAAAGTTGATTTTTTTGGTCAACAAACACAAATTATCTTTTTTCGATTTTTTTTCTGTCCTAAAAACTAAAAGGTGTCAAACGATCTAACACCTAAAAGTATCATATGGGCCTAAGCCGTTCTTGGGCCGTGCCACTAAACAAGCGGCTCAACAAACTTTAATTATTTTATATTATTAGAAAAAATTATTTGAATCTAGTTTAAAGCCTAATATCACAATTATTTAGTCTTATTAGCTCCAAACTATATGTTTTACTTGAAAAATAATGAATAAATATATTAATATTTAAGGGAATTATTATTAGCACTACAAAAATCTCATTTGGCACTTCAAAGTTTCTATAATTAAAAAGAAAAGTACACTTATGAGGAGTGTAGAATGAGATTTTTAGAATGCTAATACCAGTTCCCATATTTAATTATGTATTAGTTTAAATGGGATGGTCATCATAATGATCCCACGTCATGGGCTGTGCTTGGCCATGATGAATTGCGGCAAGGCTGGCCTATTGGACTTAAACCTTAGGACCAACCTAGTCACTCATTGCTAATCGTGTCGTGCAATGCCTTATTTAAATGAGCTTGAGTCATGACTCATGCCTATTTTAATAAGGCACGGCCATTGACATCGTTCATTGTTGCAGTTTCCCTTTCCGTTCTTACTATCTCACAAACATACTATTTCATTCACCGTCGGTAATTTTCTGTTTTACAATGGGAAAGGGGGGGTTCCAGTTGTGTGTGGAGGATTTCTATTGGGATCCTATGAGTTTAATTAGTCATTTATGATTTATGAGTATTAAAGTTTCCTCCTGTATAACGAGTCTGTATTATCTTCCTGGTTTCTCAACTTATATGTGATTATATGGGACAAAAATGGATCTTGTAAAGAAGTCGTTGATGTCCTCAGAAAATGGATGCTTTGGTGGTAATTACTTATGTTCTAACTTCTAATCATATTGGTCCTTTAACCAGCAACTGCCAATAGTTATGCTGTAATATGACTTCGAAGCCACTAGTACTACAGTCTAGTGATATTCTTATTTACTAATAAATGAGAGATCTTAAGTTCCATTCTCGCCAAATGCAAATTTGAACCACATTATTGCTAACCCATTGTAAGGCTAAGCTCACCCCTCCCCTTTAGCGTAGATAATATTATTTGTTAAAACAAAAAACATGACTTTGAAATAGAAATACGATGGTGTTAACTACACACCTCTTTTTATCTTTTACACTCTCAATTTTAGACTATCGGATCAAATGAATTGACGACGATTGAGGGATAAAAATTTATGGAAGGTAACATCCATTAGATTATGTCTATAACTAGATATATAACGTAGTTATTGTTTTACACTAGAAATTGATACCCCGCGCATTGCTGCGGGATTAGAAATTGTAAGAAAAACTATGTCATAGACGATTAATATTACTTACATTAAAAATGTTTGAAGATACAGTCCACACACAATCGTAGAACTTGTCTCTGCATAGAAAAAAATAAGTCATTCACGGAAGCACCTAAAGTTTCCCACCATTACTCTTGATTGTCAAGAAAGCAACCTAGGCAAGGAAAAAATATGAAATATTAAAATACATGCAATTAATTTATACATCAACAGGTTTATATTATAAAAAAAATAAGGATAAAGTATGGTTACCTAGTGTTTTTTATTGGTGGAAAAGAATCTGGTTTTATACCAGTTAGAGAGGACTTTTTTTTAGTGATTTGATAGTCACTTATTTAGATCAATGCAATCTAATATTGTAAATGTAAATATTGAGATTTTATGCTATAACTAAACAATTATCTCTCAAAACTATCTCCAAAATAAGAAAACATGCCCAACAACTGTAGTGATTTGAAGACAAATTGCATGATGTGATTCCTGAAATTGGTTCTACAATATTTCTTCATCTTTAGTGAAGCCAATTTTCTAAGAAAAATGCAAGGGATCTTTTATAAACATTATAAAACGCTTCAAAAGGCAAAGAAATGAGATTAATTTATGGAAAAGAGACCAAGCTTTTAACTTGAGGACAGTGGTGACATTATCCATGTCAATAGGTCTTTTCCAGCTTTGCCCCAATCATGCATATCAAAGAAAGAAAAAAAGGGAGAAAATCATCCAAATATATAAGACTTTCAGTTTACATGCATACCAAATTAGGGTTCCAACATCACAACAATTCTGGAAATTCAGGTTCCAACATCCCATAAATAATTAAACGAAAAAAAAAAATTAAGAGAGAGAGAGGGAGGAATAATGCATACCGAGGAAGAGAAAAAGCTGGAACGGATCAAGGTGTTTGGGTATTGAAGTGAATTGGTATCTGGGTCTGTTTTATTTTTTTCTTGAAGTTTTAGTAATTTGTATGCACCATCCATTTGTATTTATAGTAATTACCTGCACAAATCTCAATCATCTTACAATCTATCACTATACACATAGAGTTCATACAAAATGGCACACTGTGACCTCTCTTTGGTCAGCAACAGTTATCCAAAGTGAACTCAACTATTACTATTGTTAATTATCAATCCGTTAGGCAAATTCAAGAATTTTCATACACAAATTTCAGAAATAGATTAAACAAACAAATTAAGAGAGAGGGAGAATGCATACCAAGGAAGAGAAAAAGCTGGAACCGACTCTGCCATGGTATACAGGCATCTCAATTTCCAATACCAATTGCCTTTCTCAAATCTAAACATCTCCCTCTAGTCCTCCCTCCCATCCCCAAGTCCTCTCACCAACACATCACATAGTAAAATGAAATCAAGTTATTCATGATTACTCAAATCCCAAGTTGGGTGAGTGGCTATAAATTCTCGAGGCATCTAGTGACCAAGAGAATAACACTCGCTCTTACCTTCAAAAATAGCCATGTTAGGTTATTGTAAAAATTATGATCCACTTTTATCATATTTATTAAACTCTAAGTAAAAGATTATGAAACATTGTGTTATTTACATGCACCAACATGCAGGAAAAACATATGGTTTCACATTCCAAGAGAAAAATAAGTTGAGGAAAAACCTCAACACTTAACCTTATTATAATGGTGGCTGCTCAGTATAGCATCTGATCGTCTCAAGGACCTCTTGGAAACCGCCGTGGAAACATGTGGTTGGGAATCTGGATGACAGCCTAGAACAACATTGTATCTCAAAGCCTGATATTCATAAAAACCTGTGTCAGCTTTGAAATATCTAACTATTTTCTGAATCACCAATTACCATTCTTTAAAATCAGTTTCCTGGAAACAAAGATCATTCAAATGTCACTATTATTAAACCTATTAGCAAGAACAAAGATTCTTAAACTTCCTATTTCCATATATGAATTTAAGGAGGAGAGAAAAACAGAGTTATGCAAGTATAGAGGTGCAGTTGATTTTAAGTTGTCAATGGGAGAAAATACCTCGAATTGGAGATAAACTTTTTGGTCACAGAATGTCCTTTCATCACAGAAAATTACAGCAAAACTTTTAAAACTAAACAAAATTGTGTGACATAATTAGGAAAGCAGAATTTTTCTAGACTATGCAGAGAAATAAAATTTAAATTGAAAAAAAAAAAAAAAAAAAAAAAGCTGAGTTCAAATAGAACTATATAGGTACACTGAGCAATTATTTCAGTACAGTAAGCAATTAGAAACAACACACAGTTATAGACAATGGGCGATGTAATGGTTAAAAACTATGTAAACCATGTAGATATATAAAAATTGAGCACTTACTTAAGTTGAAGGTTAAGAGAACGCTTTTAGTAGCAGGAAAAGGATCGTTAGATTGAGTTTGCTGCAATGATTATCTTCTCTGTAGAAAGCAGTATCAGATGAAAATTGAAAAAATGTAAGGTCATGTTATATTTGCTAAGAATAGAAGTAGTATTAGTGAAATGGATGTCAAAATTTAATGACCTACAATACATTTTACTGAATTAACAAAACTCGGAATACTCGTATCGTTAACGAAACATTATCTTTCCAGTAATACCGAATTATCAAAAAAATTAGAGCCAAACAGATTGTTTATTATTAACCCGCTATATATATATATATGTATGTATGTATGTATGTATGTATTACTTTGCAACCACCAGATAACATTATTTGACAATTAAAGATAACTGAAAATTTGATATTACCCCTTGAAACTATATTCTCCTCTACTAAAACCCATCCCCTTTTGTTTACTTGAATAAAGCCCATTAACTAGCCTCCAACTAAACAAATTCTTTAATTAAGTTTGACTTTTCAGATTGTGTATTTTCTGAATGCCTAAACTACCCCTATTAATACTTGGATGGGGTTTTTGGATCAGTTACTTGTTATATCCATTTAATTAATTTTATATATTTTACAAAATAATTCATGCCATTCATTGTATATTCAATGTATAACTTTCAAATTGTTATAACGTGCCAATTGAAAAATAATAATACTAATTTCATAATTTTGTGCATTAAATATATAAGTTAATTTACCTACCAACACAACAATAAACGTAAAACAACTTCGGCTAATACTCCAATCCCTAATACACAAAACAAAAGCTATATGTTCCACACAATTTTTACCTACAAAATAGTCTAATTTACCTATTCCATCAAACCAAAATTTAAAGGGTCTAATTTACCTACATGATTTATGTGCATTAGATTAAAAGTTTATTTAATTGCCTACAAGCACAAACCCACAACATTCGAACATTATCTAATATCACTATTTTTTTTTTTTTTTGGAATAGGTAAATTAATTTAAATGTAGGTAAATTAGTATAATATTTACCTACCAACGCAACAATAAACGTAAAACAACTTCGGCTAATACTCCAATCCCTAATACACAAAACAAAAGCTATATGTTCCACACAATTTTTACCTACAAAATAGTGTAGGTAAATTAGGATGAGTAAATTTTGACACAAGAAAGGCAAAATTTCCATATGGATTTAATTGGTCATCATAATTAGGATGAGTAAATTAGGATTTTGTGGCATAAGGTGTAAATGTATTGTAATAGTTGGTCATATATTTGTCTACATGGTAGGTTATTTGAAATTTGGGTTTTATTTGAATGTTTAAATTTAGGTGGATTTTTATTTGGAAAATGGGAGTTTTAAGGGCCTATATCTAAAGAACCCTAAAGATAATGAAATGCCTCATCTTTGAGAAAAATTGTTCTTGATCCTTAATACAAAAAAGTACTAATTTTCAGAAAGGTAACTGAATCACATACCTTAATTCAGTAGTTACATGATCGATTAACTTAAATAAATATATGGTTGAATTCATAATTAAGCTTTAATTAGTCACTCAAGCCTTTAAACCTCTGTAAAAGCTTCAAGCAATCTTAAATACTTTCCTTTTCAAACCTTTTTCGTCTCTGTACATTGATCTAAACAAAACTTTAATTAAGCATTCAAGCTTTTAAACCTCTGTAAAACCCTTAAGTAACGTTAAATACTTGCTTTTGAAAGCTTTTTGGTTTCTGGACATTGATTTAAACCAATAACCAAAAAAACTCTCAAGACAACCAAATTATCAGGGTTTCTTTCAAACAAATACAATTTTGCAGCAAAACAGTAAATCAATGTTACAGGCTTACAGCCAGCATAAACACAACAGAGAAAAAAAATTGCCACAGTTTTTTTCAAACAAATAAAATTGGGATGTAAAAAATTACAGAGAGAGAAAACTAATTTTCAGGGTTTCTTTCAAACATATACAAACTGAGAATTGGCTGTTTTGAAACATACCCATGTTCAATATAATTTCTTTGTCAATAATCTGAGCAGCATGCGATTAGTCATCAATTTCACAAAAAAATTGTCCCAACCTGCAGATCCGCAGCAAAAACAAAAACAAAGACCTTAAATTTCTTGGCCTAGAGATAGAAAAATTAGGATAAAACATTGAAACCGAAAACAAAACTGAAGTAAAAACCCATATGCAGCCGAATTAAAAACACACACATGCAGCTGAATTAAACACCCACATGCAGGATCCGTTGGTACTAACAAAACCCTCAAAATCGCAAAAAATAAATTTGAACAGAAAGCCCATCTGCATATCCAAAATCACAGAAAAGAAATTGAAACACCTAAATTGAGAAAGCCGTAAAACTCACCAGGAAACGCTAGCTTTTCTGGGTAAAAAAATTCTCCGAATCCAACTGAAGAATCGAAGAAATTTCTACAGGTTGGGTGGTTTTTCAGAAAGAAAGTGCGGTTGGTAATATGTCAGACGAAGATCGTAAGGTCGGAGAGGGAGAGAAGGCAGCTTTGGAGAGCAAAAGGAATCGAGGTCGGACGCAGGGAATTGTTAGAGAAGTGAAACGGAGGGAAAAGTCGAGAAGCAGTCGATGCAGAGCGATGAGCGACGCGCGGACAAACGGCAAATAGAAATCCTGACCAACACGTGTACATAAGGGCAAAACCGGGATTAGAGTAAACATGTGAGGGCAAATTCGGTAGAACACTGTTCTTATGAACAGTGTTTCAGTTCATTTTCTCTTTTAGTATGTATACAATTTGAAACTAGAGAAATAGAACACCTTGATCCAAAAGATCGAAATTACAAATGTTTTGACAAGTAGATAACAGCTTTCCTTCCCTTGGAACTTATTCAACCTAAAACACCAATTCAACTTTAGTTCGAATAAAAAATGTTGGGAAAATTAGAAGAAAATTGACTTGCTTTTTGCTTTGCTATTTTGTACATTTGTTATTTTATACGAAAGGATCCTGCCTAATTCACTAATTCGGGGTATAATAAAACTATATTCTTCTAAAAAGATTGTAGACAATTAGGCTGAAACGCGAGTATATCGCTCTTCTTAAGAGATTAAAGTTCACTGTGGTTTAACAAAGTCTATGAACAGATGTAGCAGTATATCTCATGACTTGTTCCCTCCAGAATACAATAGCATAACAAATTTGTTTTGTGACTCAAACCTATCTGGACAAAAGGAAGAGTCCAAAGCTCGACCACACGAACACTCTTCTTTGGTCAGTAAGTAAAAACGGAAAAGATGGAGGAATGGAGGGAATAATTGTTGTAGAAGAAATTAGGTAGTGGGATAAAACTAAAAGAAAACAAAGGATGATGGACAAAATACTACTAATTATAGATTTATTATCACCCTTAGTGGATAAGGTAATATACACAAATTAACAAGAAAAAAGTTATAAGAGTTACATAAGATGAATTGCTAAAAGACTCCATCTTAGTTTTCCCACTAACAACAAATAATAACAACCGTCTTAACTTCTCACTTACAACAAATAACGACAATTATAATTTATTTATTAAATATTAAAAATACATCAACAAAAAGCTTCTCTTCTTTTCTTCATTTCCGCAGCGGCTTTGCCACAGATGAGTTGATATGCTCAAAGTAGATTCCCCTTCACCATATTACAGAAAATAAATCTTCTTTAAGAAGTATAAATGTCCTGGCAAATGACACAATGCTCTGACATTAATCTAGCCATGACGCTTCCCTCTTGGATGGCGAATTCTCTACTTCGCCTATTCCACAGGTGCACTGCATAAGTTTCCCTGTCATTTAGCTCATTAAGTGTGATTTCCACCGCTCTTGACTCCGATCGCTTCTGGGGCTTCTTGAAAAGCCTGTGTATCCGATTCCAGTCCACGGGATAAAATGCCTTGGGAGGCAAGATTGTAAGGTTGTAACCTGGTGTGCTTCCAACTCTTTCAATTACCCTCGAAACCAAGTAAGGTCCATTGTGACCCCATTTGTTCCCATTAAAAGTTGTAGCAAATTCTTCTAAAAAGTCTATCAGAATCGGATGGTTTATGTCGAAGATCATCACTGCACCATTTAGTCTGGTCCATTGTTTGGAGTCCTCACCTACACTTTGTGCTCCAACTGCATTCCTCAGACCCGAAAAATCTTTCAATATTACTAAGTCAGTGTCCAAATACATGCCTCCATACTTGTACAGCATTGTGAGCCTAATAAGATTTGCTAGGTTTTGAGATAATGGGATGCGACCTGGGTCCTTCCTCCCGCTCTTCAATTCCTCAAGCCAAGATTCAGCCGGCGTGTTCTTGACCAAAAAGGGCAAGTCGGGCGTGATTGCTAGTATTTTGAATCCTTTGTCCAGCAATGGCTTCAGGATTCTGTACCCTCTTCCCGAATCCATGGATTTCGATATGATCATCAAGCAGCCTTGAGGGTTAGATTTGAAGAGGGTGTCCATAGCCAAGAAGTCTCGTTTCCCAAATGAGTTTGCCGGTGAGAGCCATATCATGTAGAACTGAGAGCTGCATCCATTGTTAAGGAATTCGAGCACTCGACCATGGAATTGCTTTGTCAAGTTGTCAGAGTTGAGTACATCAAGCTCCGGTAGTTTTCGCCGGAACCACCCTAGCCTTTCTTCTTTTGTGGCATTTTCTGGAGGAATCAAAGGATCATGAATTTCATCTGCAATGTCATCAATATTTTCTTGCATACTTGGAAGTGGTGACATTGATTCGATTTGCTTTTCAGGAATTTGAGTCTGGTGATTATGTTCAAGAATTTGATGAGTTCTTGGGTAATCTGTTTGCATGGAAAGGTTAGAGACGATGCTGTCTGTATAGATGATCAAGAATATGATGGCAAATGAGACGACGGAAAAAAAGGGAGATTTGGCACTGCATCTAAGTTGCCTGCAATCAAACACCTTTTGAGAGATTCTTTTCAGTTTCGTAAGAGTAGAATGGCGTGAGGATTGTTTTGGAGAAAGCATTGTTCTTGGTGTGTTGCATGGTACGGTATGCCAAGTACATGTATATATAGTGCCTGAAACGTTTAAAACTTTGCAGGTGCTGTCCATCTGTGGAAAATTAGTTGCATGTTAGAATTAATGTGCAAAGATTTACAGTTGTTGTCAATTTAGAAAAAAATGTTGTATTAATGTTGGATTTAAATAATTGTAGGGTTTATTATTGCATTCATTTCTTTCAATCTTCAAACCATTCATATTAACGTTTTGATGGCCATTTTTACTAACACATAATACTTCATTCATGTCCATCTTTCAATGTTCAATCAAGGAGTAATTTATGAAAGAATGTCACATTACAGCTACTTATTAGTGATTATACCGATTACATCATGGGATTATCAAACAATAATGATTGAAGAGGAACACGGTCATCATTTTAAATAGGGATTCATCTCCATAAATATTTGCAAATCACATATTAATATATGAAATAACTTATTAAAAACAAAATGTATTTGCATACGTGTCAAGTTTTTTTAGTTGGAAGTATGGATGCAAGTTGGATTAGAAATTCTGATTCAAATTAATTTTGAGCCAAATTTTCCAATTGTGGATGCGCGAATGTAACCCAACATTCAATATCTGAATTTCCAAAAAATAAAAATAAAAAATAAAAGTAATACTACACTTACCATTTATTTGTACCACAATTTTATACATACCACCTTATGTGGCAGCTTAATTAGGCAATAGCCACATCATTCATATAATCTAAATTTTTTTATGTAATTAAAAGAATTAAAAAAAACACAAAAAGAAAAACAAAACCCTAAAAAAAGCAATGCTACTGTGGCTTCCCTCCCTCACTATTCAACAGCCACCACCGTTTCTCAACCAATGATCACAACCCTTTCAATCATAAATTTTCCCATTATTGTTTACCATTGGATTCATTTCTTTCGTTATGAATAAACCCGAAACCCAATTCTTTCATTATGAAATTGCATCTATCATTAGTTTTTTCAATGGATTCCTTAATTTCTTTCAAAGGGTTATGGGTTGTGGGGAGACGGTGGCTATCGAAGGTGTAGCAGGAGGGAGGACAACGATAGAAGAAAAACGTGAAACCTGGGTTTTAAGATTTTTTATTTTTGATTGTGTTAATGCTTTTAATTAAATAAAAAATTCAAATCAAGACTGATTTGGAAGTGCTTTTAAAATGATTGAAAGCGTTTTTTAAAATGTTTTTGGGTTCTAAAAGCTTTTCAAGTGTTTTTCAGGGTTGCTCCAAAAACATTTTCACTAAAATGGTTTTAGCTATTTTAAAATCACTTTCAAATGAGCTCTAAATGATGTGGAATTAGATATCCAAATCAGCTGACAATTAAGGTGGTATAAAATTTTAATACAAGTAGATGGTAAAAATATAGTTTCATCTATAAAAATAAAAAATAAAAATAAAAAATAAAAAAAAAAGTTTGAAAAAAATGATAAAAATAGCATTACTCAAAAAATTGTGGGCAAGGTAGACAATGAAGCCACTTCATAAGCGATAGATAAATTTTGAGTAATGCTATTTTTACCTTTTTTTTCGAAACTATTTACCACTCAAATTGTCAGACAATCTATTAAATGGACGTTTCTGACAATCTGAGCACTATTTACCACTTAAATTGTCAGAAACATCCAAGTTCCGAACAATACAAAACTAAATTAAATGGACGTTGAATTTCCGCAATTTGAAGAAAACTTCATTCAAAATTTTTGATTTGAAATTGGCAAACCTTGATTCCAAACTGCTCCGTCCGACAATCAAACCAAGTTGAAAGTCCCAAACCATTTTATTTTTCCATTGAAAACATACTTCATATTTAAGATCAATTAAGCCCAAATTTATAAACCAAGTTGGATGAATAAGAGGTTTTCTCTACTGCACATACTAAATGCACATTTAAGTTACACATCTGAACGAGAGCTATTAGATCATATAGTCTAACGAGATATAACAGCTCTTGTTCAGATGTGTAACTTATATGTGCATTTTTTATGTGTACTGGAGAAAATTCAGCATGTAAGTATACCAAAAGAACTAAAAAATGATCATTCTCTTTGCTAAATCAAAACCTAGGTTCGAGTCTCACATCTAGCAATCTCTCTCTTGATGGGCTATGTGTAAAAACAAAAAAAAAAGAGCTAAAACCCTTTGTATGTCTTCAAAAAGACTTGTGATATGCTTTGATCCTGAAATGAGGTAGTTTTCCCTCTTCCGAAACTTTTTTTTACTTAAAAAAAAAAAAAAAGAACCCAAAGGCCCAACTTAATCTTTGGGCTTCTCAAAGCAAAATACAAAACGCACACAAAACATAAGCGATATTCAACCCAACGGTCACTAAAACAGAGCACACACATTCCCTCGAAAACCTTATCCGCTTATTCTCCTCAAGCTTCATCCATGGCGTCACTGATACTCGGAGCTCCACCAGCCCCCTCTCAATCGCTCGCTTTCAGCTCCCGCATTTCGTTCTCTCACTCCGAAACCCTAGTCGTTTCTCTCCCCTCCTCCACTGCTTCGCTATCACTCTCCACAGCTTCTTCTCCACCAGTCCCTTCAGGTATACGCAATTCCCAAAACCTCTCTCTCGCTCTCTGTAACTTTCCCTAATTTTTGCTCTGTGCTTCTGCAGTGTACTGCGGCAGAGGCGATAAGAAAACCGAAAGGGGAAAGCGCTTCAATCACTCTTTTGGCAATGTAAGTCAAATGTTCTGAATTTTCACCGTTTCTCTTCAAAAAGCTCATGAATTTCTTTAATTTGAAGACTTTCTGTTTCTATATTTGTAAATTTGTGAAAACATGGGAAATTGAACTGTAGGCGCGGCCGCGGAACAAGAACAAAGGCAGAGGACCACCTAGGGTTCCGGTGCCGGCGGCTCCCCCAAAGAAAGATAAGTTTGAGGACGATACCATTGTCAAGGTTGAAATTGATGAGTCCTTGTCTTAATTTATTAACGGAGCCCAATTTCTCTAGTTTCTGTTTTTAATTGTAATTTATGAACCTTGAGTTTATTTTATGAGGATTTTGATCAAATACTTTTCTTGGTCTTGCTTGGAATTTACGAATTAAATCTCTAAGCTCCAATTACATGATTTTATTAGTTTTTTATTTTTTATATTTTCCTTGTAGTCTGGGAGGGATCGGTATCCTCTCCTGATCCTTGTATGAGGATTCTCATGAACAAGGAATGTGGGAATCCAACGATTACAAACAGGAAGTCCCTTTAGGGGGTGTTTGTTTGCCCTCTCTAAGTTGGACTGGACTGGACTGGACTGGACTAACTATTAATCCAATACTGTGTTTGTTCCATTCTGAGACTAACATTAATGAGACTAAAGGGGGCTAGCATGGACAAAACCCTTCACTAAGAGGTCTTAGCGAGACCCCCCAATAACCATGGGACTAGCTAAGACTATCCTCTCTTCTCGTCCTTGTTATGCTCAACGACCACTCCCGACAGACTCCTCATCATCTCCGGTCACCTAGATCAATCATTAACTTTCCGACTCTCTTTCAGATCCATTTCACAACCAACTTTCACATAAAATATACCAAATTGAAGCTGGGAGTGACAAGGTTACGATTTTACCTGAATCGATGCCAAAATGTGGTCAAATGTGGCTAGAAAATGGCCTGGAAGTCTCAGCCTGTTTAGGCTTCTTCAAATCCATGACAGATTCGAGCATTCAAAGCTAAGATCTCGGTCCATGGATGGTGATGAATTTTTTGGCGGTGCTAACTTCATCCAATTTAACGAGGGTTGGCCGAAAAACACATCGGGAAACCTACAACTTGATAGGAGCATATTTATGCGCCTTAGTTAGCTAGTTCTTATGCATTTTTGTTATGTTTTATTCGTTAAAGTAGTCTTTTAAGCTACTTTCATGTGTTTTCAGGTTTAAAGGACATATTACATGAAATGATGCAATTGGGAGCTTTTGGAGCAAAACTGAGCTGGAATGTGGTGTATGCAAATGGAGCACGAGGAATGAACGAGGTTGAAGGTCAAAGGAGCTTAAGAAATGAAGAAATGAAAGTGAAGAGCAAGGAAGTCGGAATTGGTAACCAAAGTTTCTAAAGTTGGAAGTTTCTATTCTTGGAGGTTTCCATTGTCGTGAGTTCTATACTTGGCTTTGGGCTTTTAGATGACCTAAACCCTAACCTTAGCCCATTTTAGAGCCATTGCCATGGGCTTTAGCCCAAGTCCTTTCCCTTGCCATGCAAGGGGAGGCATTTTAGGCCCAAATCCATGCATTAAGCCCTTCACCCTAATTGGCCCAAATCCATGCATTAAGCCCTTCACCCTAATTCTTCCTCCTAATTAGTGCATCCCACCATTCCATTCCATAATTTCCATTAGTGCATCCCACCATTCCATTCACACTTAAATGCCCATTATCCCATTTTTTTAGCTTTTAAATTCCACACCATCCCATTATCCTTTACATCCACTAAATCATGCATCCACATTCACCTAAATAAACCCTAAATTACATCCACTAAACCATCCATCCACCATAATTCCCACCATCCACACCTTTTCCCATCCACCAAATACCTTAAACAAACATCCATTAACACCCATTCTCTTCCTATAAATACCCATTCATTCCATTCACCAAATCATCTCATTTTCCATTGTAATACACAAACACTTCCCCTTCTCCATCTTCTCCATTTCCACTCCATTCCACACTTCCATCCCCCCAACCAACCTATCCTTAAACCTTGTGCTACAACAACGAGGAAGAGAAAAGTGCCTAAACGTTCATACAATTCAAGTTTGAGTTGTTGGAATGTTTAGGTGTTTCTTTGATTTCAAAGTTTCATTTTAATTCTCTTTGTTTTGTACGTATAAGGAATGGAAGAGAAGAGTGCTTAAACGTTCATACAATTCAAGTTTTGAGTTGTTGGAATGTTTAGGTGTTTCTTTGATTTCAAAGGTATGAGGAACTAATCCCCCTTTAGCTAAGGGGTGATTCGAAACTATGTTTATATTTGCAATATGAATTGATTAACTTTCGTTGGAATTTCATAAGTTGTGGATTCAATTTGTTTAACCGTTTGATTGATAACTTATTTATGAATGTTTATTAAGAATGCGCGCTTAATTTTCATGCATAAATATGACGCTAGAATATAAGTGATTTTCACCTAATCGTTATGAACTTATATTCACAAGTAGTGGAGGTTGCTTATAAACAATCGCGTTAAATGAATTCTTGGCACGAGTTTCATGCTCATCATAGTAACGAATGCCTCGTCAACACTTATAGTTTTCATAATACTTAATGATCTTTGATTGTATCTTTATTGTGCTGTTCACGTAAAGGACTTTTGGAGAATGTTGTGAATTGCGTTGCGCAAACCCATCCAATTCATTAACTTAAGGAAAACTTGACGGTTAATTTAAGCGGACCTAATTAATCCGGAGTGTTGAGTTTCATAATTTATCGAAAGACCAACTGAGAATCAATCTTGTATGCAAGTATAACATGTGTGGAGAAGAACCCCTTAGCTAGCATTCATTCCATATTTCATCACATTCATATTTAAATTCTACCTTTAAATTACAATTTGTGCATTTAATTTATTTTCGTCAAAATTTCAATCCCCCTTTACTTTAGTGTCCAATTTAGTTAGAAAGTGTCTTAGTTTGTGTTTATAAGTGTTTTGTATTCTTTGAGTCTTTTGATTTGTTTTAGTGTTTTAATGTTTGTTTTACATTTTTGAGTCAGTTTCCAAGTGATTTAGTAATCCCTCCTAATCCCCGGTTTAGAACGATCCCTACTTATACTTATACTACAATTGACAAAAAGAGGGTTTAATTTGTGCGCGTATAATTCTCGCATCACAACTCGTTAGGAAAATTGGAGCCGTGAGGTCCCATTCGAACAACGCATAGCTAGAGAGGGAGGGAGGACGAGAAATAGAGACTGGAATCAATAAAGAGTTTGACCAGAAATGAGAAAGAGACATGAATTGAGAGGTCTAAGAGGAAAAAAAGAGGGAGAGGGTGGGATGATGAGAGAAGAAGAAAAGAGTGGGACGGAAATGATAGGAAAAAATGAAGAAAAAGATAAGATCATAATAAAATATTAATAATTTATATATTAAATAATATAATATTATAATTTGTTATTATTCAGCTTCTTAGTCCAATACTGCATCAAACGCTTCACTAAGTTAGTCCAGTTTAGTCTAGTCCAAGCCAATCCAGCTTAGTCCTTGAAGCTAATCCAGTCCGAGATAGTCCGGCGCAACAAACGCCCCCTTAAAGTTATAATAATTATAGTCGTTGAATTTTCATCCAACGGCTTACACTCCTTGGTCATGAGAATCCTCATCCTTAGATCAAGAGAGGATCTTGATCCATCTGGGAGGACAATTTGTCAACTTCCCCGGATGTGTTTTTGTCTTTCATTTGTTTATTTTGTGCTTTTTTGCCAAAATGATCCCGATACCGATATAACTACTTATTTTAATCTTTGATAATAAAAATCAATAGAAATAGTCATTGAGCTTGTCCATTATAAATTGTTTTATTCATTCCTTGAAAAATCTATCAATATCTTCGTTAACTGGAGGAGTTGGTTTGACAAAATACTCTTAAAATTGTGATAACCGGTCGTTCATGTGACTATTTAACGAGGATATTGACAGATTTTTCAATGAATGATCAATATAATTTACGGTGGACAAAGATCACTTATATCGATTTTCATTATCAAGACCAATCTCATGAACCAGTTTAGTTAAAAAGCATTTATTTAATTGTCTAAAATTTGGATTATCTATCATTCTATTGTGTTACTGTCTTTCTTTTTGGACACAAAATCGTCTTGGAAAGACATGGAAGAAAAAACTAGGGTTGGGCACGGGCCGGGCCGGGCCCAAATTTGGAAGAACCGGACCTACCCGTTTTAAAATGTAACGGGCCGGGCCGGGCCGGGTGTAGGGATTTTAAGTTTGGGAACCGGACGTAACCCGACCCGTATCAAACGGGCCGGTTCGGGACGGGTCCACGGGTCCAATACTTTTTTTTTTTTTTTTTTTTTTTTTTTTTTTTTTTAACATCATTTCTACATCGATCTGCAACCCCCCGCGTCTCCAGAACCTCGACCTGTCCAACAACTCCCTCTTTGGTCCGCTTCAGAAAGACTACTTGAAGAACTGCAAGCAATTGCAGCGGCTGATCCTCGCGAGAAACAGATTCGACGAAGAAATTTCGGCGGGAATTTGGTCCAGCATGGAGAATCTAAACCAATTGGATCTCTCCTCAAACGAGTTAACTGGATCGGTGCTGAACGATTTCAGCGAGTTGAAGTCTCTGTCGAGCGCGCTCAACCTATCGTACAATCACTTCTCGGGAAAGATTCCGAAATCCCTCGGCGATTTACCCTTGACGGTGAGCTTGGATCTCCGAAACAATGGCGATTTACCCTCGACGGCGAAATCCCTCGGCCACCTCTGTAATCTGTCATTTCTGTTCTTGCACTTGCATCAATGGCGGGTTCGGGAACCAGGATTCGGATTCGGGCAACCCGGAAAAGGCAAAGAGGGGAAAAGGGGAGGGGGATCTCGTCGCGATCGACAAACCTGGACGAGCTGTTGAGGGCGTCGGCGTACGTGCTGGGGAAGAGCGGACTGGGGATCGTGTACAAAGTGGTGCTCGGGAATGGAATCCCGGTGGCGGTAAGGAGGTTGGGGGAGGGCGGGGATCAGAGGTATAAGGAGTTCGCGGCGGAGATTCAGGCGATCGGGTGGGTTGAAGTGTTGGAGAAAGGGTTGGAGTGTTGATTATAATATGAAACGGGCCGGTCGGGGCCCCGTTTTTCTAAGGTGTAGGAACCGGCCCGCCCCGTAAATAACCATGCCCCGGCCCGCCCCGGCCCGTTTGTTCCCAAAAAAAAAAGGACCCGGCCCGTACCCGCCCCGAACCTACACTACCCGCCCCTACCCGCGGTTCCTCTACCCGTTTGCCCACCCCTAGAAAAAACAAAGGAAAATTAATAAAAAAGGCTTGAAAACTTTGAGTTTTAATTATAAGGACAAAATAAAAGGTAAAGTGAATAATATCATGTGTTGACTTTTTAGTGTAAAAATATAATTTTTTTTTAAAGTGAACAATACTGCAGGCTTTTTATTAAAACTTCCAAAAAAAAACAAATGGTTTTCGTACCGCCGGCTTTCGCCATTGTTTTTAGTTTATTGCCGGCTTAGTCCCAGCTGTTGTGTTTTCCTGCCCTCTTCAGCTTCTTCTTCATAAACCTGCATCTTGTTTGTTCCTTTTGAGCAATCCGAATACGCTACATCTTTAGGGTTAGGATGAGTTTATCGGAAATAACCGAAGAGAAGGATGATGATGAGAGCGAGTTCTTCGTCGATCCAGAAACTCAGAAGGAGAGGATAAGGCGGATTATAGAGTATCAGAAATCTCTATATCGGTCTTCATCTTCTTCGTCTTCTTTGTCTTCCTCTTCTGCTTCCTGTTCCTCGTTTTCTTCAGCTCGGAGAAGTAGCAGTTTGTTAGGTTTGATGAAAGTAGGAAACACATCTTTGAGGAGATTGTTTGACATGGAGCATACGAGTTTGGCGAACCATTTCGAGGATTTCAGTGGCTCGTCGATAATTAAGCCTATCCTTCTATGGGGGAGTGATACGGATAATGAACACGAAACCCGTTACCCCTGGGAATCCATCAAGCAGTTTAGATCAATAAATCATTCCAGGATTGATGATGTACAGGATAAGTTTGCTTCAGATGGTAACTTGGGTGGAGATTATGGCTTTCGGGATAGGGAGGTAAGAATCGGCACCCGCAGGTTGACTAGGAAAAAGTCATTTAGAAGATTACCAGGATTTGGGTTATGGAGATGCAGAGGATTTAGATTTCGATTGAGATTAAGGCGGCTTAAGATTTTTTTTTGTAGAAGAAGATGTTGATATCAGCCTGCAGACTTGTAATACGAACCACATTTGTTTATATATAAAAGAAAAGGTTAAGCTCTATTAACATACTGAGACATGGAATGTCTTCCATAACTTGTTTACAGAATCTAACATTTACAAATAACAACCAAACAATGGGGCTAAAAACTCGAAATAAAAGAAGATTGATCGAAATTTGTATGATCGGGAAAAAAAACTGAATGAAAAAAAGAAAAGAATTGCCATAGCTCTAGCTCTTGAACCAAAGCTAATCCCAGAAACAGATAATTTCCAGTCTGCGGACTTCGTCGCTGATTGAAGATGCTTCACCGTTTATTTGCTTAAGATTCTTGATGAACTGTATATGTCGTTGCAAATGATGCAATTATTGGAGATTAATCTCTGCATAATGCTTCCTTCTTGGACTACTTCTCTGCTGCTTTGCTTGTTCCATAGGTGTACTCCGTAAGTCTCCCCGCTAAGCTGAAGCAGCTTTGCTTTTATCCATCGTAAATGAGCCGGGCTTCCCGGCTTTTTAAACAGCCCCCCGATCCTATTCCAGTCGACGGGGTAAAAGGCGAGAGGGGGTAGAATTGTGAAGTTATAACCGGGTCGGTTTTGCACCCTCAGGACCACTCTGGAGACCAGGTAGGGACCATTATGCCCCCATTTATTCCCATCAAAAGTCAGGGCAAATTCCTTCATGAACTTGTGCAGAAGGGGATGATTCGCATCAAAGATCAGAACTGCATTATTTAATCTGGTCCAGTTCTTCGAAACCGCATCCACACTTTGTGCACCGATCGAGTTTCTCAATCCTGAGAATGATTTCAAGACGATGAAGTCTGTGTCTAAATAAACACCTCCATACTTGTATAGAACTGCAAGTCTCATCAAATTCGACAGGTTCTGGGCTAATGGAATCTCACCGGGGTCTCTGTTGCCTCTCTTCATCCCAGCAAACCAGGTTTTTGCCGGTGTGTTGTTGAACAGAAATGACAAGTCCGGTGTCACAGCATGAACTTTGAACCCACTATCCTGCAGCGGTTTCAGAATTCTGTAGCCATGCTTGGAGTCCAGACTTCTCGAGATAATCATCAAACATCCGTGTGGGTGGGCTTTGAAGAGACTCTCCATAGTCAAGAACTCTCTGCTCCCAAAAGACCTTACTGGCGAAATCCATGTCATAAAGAACTGACCCTCACAATCCTTGTTAAAGAATTCCAGAACACGGCCATGGAATTGCTTTGCAGACTTGTCTGACTTGAGAATGTGAAATTCTGGCAGCTTGCTTCGGAACCAAGCAATTCTCTCTTCTTCTGTGACATTGAAAGGAGGAACAAGAGGCCTTGTGTTTTCTCTACCAACTTCAATGGTCTCTTCCTGCATGGAACGCAGGACTAAGCGACTTACATCAGAGTTGATCAGTCGGCCTGCAGAACTACGATCATAATTCTGCAGCAATGGAGAAATCGCTTCATTGTTCGACGCCAATGACTGTTCTGAGTCGCTATAGATGATACTATCGGTATGGACGATGAAGATGATTGCGACAATTGAAAGAGTGCAGAAGACGTGAAATTTGGCGAGGCTAAGTAGGCGGCTGTCGATTCGAGTCATGGTAATTGTCAGAGGAGTTGCTGCATGGGGAAAGAAGTGAAGTTGAAGAGATATAGCTCAAGAGGAACTTTCATGGCGAATAGATCAAAGTACTTGACGACAGACACGCTTATACAAAAGAAAGGTTGGTTGCAGGCTTTCTATAGTTCAATGTTTACTCTTTAGGCGTCTGGTGTTGAAGCATTCAATAATCCGAATTTTTGGTAATAGTCAAATGGGTAGCCGCCTCTAAAAGTATGGCCTGACCTTTGTATGGAATATGGTAATACATAATTAGGATCGTAAATGACTAGTTCGTTTAGCGGTCCTTTATTTTTACTTTGGTGAAGGATGTCAAGTTTAACTCACATCCAAATTGACACTGCAATACAAATGCATTCCACAAACCACCCTAAGGTTGCATCTATTAAACACTATTTCAGATGTCAGCAAGTGTGTTAATTTTGTATGTCTACGTAATTATTGTTTAATACAAATATGTGGCTCATTATGACTTGTCAAAGTATATTTGTATCTCCTAAAATTAATAAAAAAATATCGATGGTCCATCACATTTTCGATAAAAATATGGTGATGGAAACACGTTTTACAATAATCTTTATTTAATCATTTAAAAAAGCCAATAATCTTTGTTCATTGATTAGGGGAATTGCCCTATTGCTTTAATTTTCAATGACTTAGATAACAAGCTACCTTGCTATTTCTGACTAACCCATACTTTAGCATTGAAAATGTAATTTCATCAAACCATAAAGGGAGGGCCCTTCCGTGAAATTAAATTGTTTAACTAAGAAAATGGGGTGATCAAAATTATTGGATTATTTAACAACTTGGCCATGTTGTTGGTGTATTTATTTTCCTCATACGTCCATTTTTAGTGGACCTAGAGAGGGGGATACATTGCATAAGGTTTATAAAACAATGGACTTATGGAATTGTGTTGGGTCTTATTCCTTATTCTTTTGTCCACGTGGTTATTTTGGATAATTCATCTTTTTTCATTGGGTTGAAATGTTATTTATTCTAGTGGACAGAATATTGATTGTTCTGTTACTTACATACATTAGCTTTTCTTACCCGCAACGAAATCTGTTGTGTACAAATTCTTACACGTATACAATCATAAATATTTTTCTTTGTTATAAAAAACCATGACATGTGAGTAAAATTTTCCTTTTGTGTGTTACACAACATCTCTCATAGACATGATACAATCAATCTGTTTTGAGGTGTATAGAAATTCTTACATACAATTAAGAATATACACTCTTGTATTTACATCTGTCATCAAGTGAGACATCATTTAATAGTACATTGACAAATGAAGTGATGCAGTTAAATTTTTCTTTATTACGAAAAACTGTAACATGCAAATATTTTCCCCCGATTACACAAAACCTCTCCAACTATATGATAAAAATAACGATTTTTTCATACCTCGTCATCCACATTAGTAGAAGGTAAAACCTGTACAAGTGGTTTAAAGAATAATGTTTAACACTACTATTTTTAACATGGTGATTTATGTTTCAGATAGTATGTTGAAGGGGTTTTTTCTGTTACTGAAATAAAAACTAAAAAAATTAAAGCGTGCACATAATTACAATATAATTTGTTAACTAATTTGATCCATGCAGTACTACTTGTCAACTATTTTGATTTTCTCACTAATTAGTATAGTATTTATTTTTCTTCATTTTATTTATCGATCAAGAGATCGCATGCAACATTTGGAACATGTAGCAAAATTATTCAAGTCTTAGTTTTAAGCAACGCACGTAATCGCATATGAAATGTAATTAAAATATATAGTGCCAGCAGAAAATTACGTATATATGATTCGATTCAAGGGTTGGGTCCATGCAACTTGTGACTTGTTTTGCATTGGGGATTAAGATAATCCTTACAAATTATTCCGTGATTACTTGGCTGATTCAGGTTAATATTTTACGTTATATGGTAGATAAAGTGTCTTTATTAACGATATTTTTTATTACATATATAATGTATTAGATAAGGTATGTACTCGGTCGTGCTAAAACATTGTTTACTTTTTTAATCAGTGATGTAGTTGTTGTAACAATTTCTTATGAGTTGAATCAAAATGGATGGGGTCTTGGAATATTAGCTCCTAGTCCTGGTTTAGTAGAAAGTAAAAAAAGCTTTATGGCATTAGTAGAAGTGAAAATGTTAAAATGAAAAGATTGCTAGCACTTTTTTTAACGTAAGAAATCCGCATGATTCAGAAACATTCTAAGGTTGTACGTGTACAATTGATCATGAAGCTCGTCAAAACTTAAGTGCAAGAACGACTCCCAACTTTGATTATTATGCGGGGGCACTCTAGGCAGTTGTACCTCGTAAAATTCTCAATAGAGAATAATTATCTGATGTAACAGTTCTAGAAGGTAGACAAAGTTACAAATTTTGCTTGATTTATCGAAAAAAACTAGTATCTAACCCAAAAGTCAATATCAGTAGGAACATCAATTTTGCGTGTACAACATGATCACTAATAATTAAACATAACCCCCTAATTATTGTATAATATGACCAAATAACTGAACTGTTAATATGTGGAAATGTTGAACAAACTAGAAATGGTTCTTAATAGCAAATGAAAAATTAAAAATGCACCAATAATACCCCTATATTATGGTGGGGATTCAATCTCCACCTTGATTGTAACATCCCACATCGTTCAGATGAGTGGATCCTGTAAGCCTTATATGTATATTCTCATCTCTACCTAGCACGAGGCTTTTTGGGAGCTTATTGGCTTCGGGTTCCATCGAAACTCCGAAGTTAAGTGAGTTGGGGGCGAGAGCATTCCCATGATGGATGACTTACTGAGAAGTTCTTGTGTGAGTTCCCAGAAACAAAATCGTGAGGGCGTGGTCGGGGCCCAAAGTGAACAATATCGTGCTATAGTGGAGTCGAGCCTGGGATGTAGTGGGAGCCCGGGCTGGGATGTGACATTGACTGGCTCTGAGATATTAGGACCCTAAATAGAAGGTAGTAAATGGGCCTTTGTATAAAAAAAGTCATGCTACAAAGCTAATTTATATGTCTATAGTTTTATTCATAAAAAAGTTCTAAATAGAGTATCATTACTTGAGTTATAGTTGAAATCAACAAAAAATCAAGAAATAAATAAATAAAAACAAAATTTAGAGCAAAGCTGGCAAAATCAAACTAAAAAAATAAAAGTGATTTCTCTTATGCATGCATGTTATATTTCTCTTATTCACATGCAAAACCTATAAAATTTCCCAAAGATGAAGTGTTTGGGCCACCAACCAAGTTGGTACATATGTAGATGATATCATCTTTCCTTACTGATTCCCCTCTTCACTAACATATAAGAGCATTCCCACCGTAGCAAATTGCTCGGGGGACAGCCTCCAAAACAAAGGCCCGAGGGCCGGTGGTTGGCCTCCAGAGTGAGGCAGCCCGGTGGAAGGGGGAGGCCCGAGCAAAGGGCCCGTGAGGGATTGCCAGCCCTTGAGCCCGAGTTGGTTGTGACGCAAGGCTGACGCCAGGGTGGCGTCAGCGTATTATTTAATTTTTTTTGTGTCAGGCGCGTGCACCCCACCCGCGCGTGGGGGCGCGTCCCGACACAATAATCAGAAAAAAAAAAGGGTTTTGTCAGTTACCGTTGGGAAGCCACGTGGCTTCCCACGGTGCATTAGATCCTAACGATCACTTAATGTGGACCGTTAGATCTCAACGGTAAAAAAAAAAAAAAGTGTCAGATTTAATATCCACCGTTCGATCTGAGATCAACGGTGGATATTAAAATGCTTTATAAATTAAAAAATAAATGAAAAAATAGTTTAAAAAATCTGAAAAGTTACCGTTGTGACACGTGGCACAATCTGGAGCGTTGGAATTCAAATTTTTTTATATCCAACGGCAGAGATTAATTAATTGAATAAAAATTTAAAAAAATTGTAAAAAATGCAAAAAAATTCAAAAAATATCTGAAAAATCTGAAAAAATTGTAAAAAAAATTGTTTTTACTTTTCTATAAATACCTTCTCATTATCATCTACCTTCACAACAATTTCATATTTTCTCAACTACTTTCAATCACATTCCTTTCTTTGTCTCAAAGTTTGAATCCATTTTTTTTCAACAAAATGACCACTGGTGCAGGTACGAATTGGTCGCTTATTGAAGATGTTGCGTTGTGTACTAGCTGGGTTGAAGTTACTCATAGTTCGCTTACGGGTAATGAGTTGCAGTTGCGAGAAATGTGGAGTCTTATTCATACCAATTTTCTTGAGAAAATTAGTGGGAAAAGAACCAATGAATCGATGTCTAGTCGTTGGAAATTACTTAGCCAATCGTTTAGTACGTGGAGAGACGCTTTGGCACAAGCTAGTAGTAATATTCGAAGTGGGGAAAATTACTCGGATATGGTAACAAGATATTATTATTTATTGTTTGTATTATTTATTTGTTACGTACAAAATTTATTATTTATTGTTACTTATTTGTTACATTATAATTATGTTGTTTGTTACATTATAATTATGTTGTTTGTATTATTAATTTGTTTGTTACATTATAATTATGTTATTGTTACTTATTTGTTACATTTATTTGTTACATTATAATTATGTTGTTTGTATTATTTATTTGTTACTTATTTTCATTAAAATTAATGTATAATATCACTTACATTAAGAAAAAAATATGTGTATATTTAAGGTTAAAATTATTTACTAAACTTGGAACTCTAGCCCCATGTTATGATTAACATGACATATATATATATATATATATATATATTTGCTTGTTATGATTAACATGACATATATATATATATATTTATTTGTTAATTATTTTCATTATTTACTAAACTAGAAGCCTTCTTACTTATTTTCATTATCTTTGTTACTTATATATATATATATATATGTATATATTTGCTAGTTACTTATTTTCATTATAATTATTTATTTGTTACTTATTTTTATTGTGTAGGAACTTCAAGCACAAGCTTGGTACGCTGCCAAAACCAAAAGCAAAAATAAATCATTCAACCGGTGGGAATGTTGGAATATTGTCAAAGATTGTTCTAAATTTAGAGTTGTGCCAGTTGGTCCAGAAGTGCACATGAACAGCACCCCTCTACACTCTACACCCGATCATGAGAGAGCAGATGATGCAGAAGAAGTGCCCGAAACGTCCCTCCCTGAACAAGCGTCGGGTTCGACCCGTTTTCCAATTAGGCCTCAAGGTAAGAAGGCTTCAAAGAGAAAAGGGAGTGCTTCCAAGAACGATTATGCAAAGTTCATGGAAGAACTTGCTCGCCAAGGTGAATTGACTTTGGCGAGGGAACTGGCGAAAGATGAGGCTGATAAGGCTGATAAGGCATCAAAAGCAGCAGCTGTTGAGAGAAAATTTTATGCTAATGAGAGAGAAAGAGAGCTACTTAGGCAAGAAAGGGAACATGTTAGAGAAGAAAGACGAGCTCAACAAGATCGTGAGATTATGAACATGTCTTTAGAAGGGAAGTCTCCAAATTCTAAATTTTTTTGGAAGTCAGAGAAAGCGGACGTGATGCGAAGGAGGCGTGCAAGAGAAACAATAGCAAGCCAAGGTGGTTCTAGCACCGCAAGAGAAGATCATCCTAGCACCACAAATTGGTTAAGTGATGATGAATAGAGTACTTTTTGTAATCGGAGCCCATAATTTTCCAATCACTTTGGGTTGTAATTTATTATTTATTGTTTGTATTATTTATGTTGTTTCCATGTTCATGAATATTTATTCAAATTAATTTGGTAAGTTATTTATATTAAGAATTAATTTGGTAAGTTATTTAATTTGGTAAGTTATTTATGTTGTTAAAAGTACATTAAAAGTCCATCGTTCTAATTAAAAGTCCTTTACATAGATTACATATACTAAGAATTACATAAACATAAACATAAAAAAATTACATAAACATAAACATAAACATACTAAGAATTACATATACTAAGAATTACATAAACATAAACATAAAAAAATTACATAAACATACCAAATAATAAAACACACCAAATAAAATAACATAAACATACCAAATTCAAAATAACACACTAAAATGAACTTAATTATCTTCAGCTTGTTTCAATGCCCACTGGTGCTCTATCAAGTCAATTTGTCGGGCATTGTGCATGTCTAGCATTTGAAATGCAGTATATCGTTGAATGAGCCTTTCATTGTAACGTCCATCCCTTTGTAATGGCTCATGTTGCACGGGCTCATCGGTGGCGTCATGAGCACAATATATACGTGTTCTTGAATTGTTCATTGGGTCTGGCTCATATTCATCAACAGCTTCATAATCGTACTCATCTTCCACAATCATGTTGTGAAGAATGATGCACGTCATCATGATGGATCGAAGCGACTCTACATCAAACAATCTGGCAGCACCCCTGACAATCGCCCAACGAGCTTGGAGGATACCAAAACAACGCTCCACATCATTCCTGCACCCCTCTTGACAGCTTGCAAAGTGTTTTTCCTTGGCACTCCGCGGACGTGGCACTGTTTTGACAAATGTTGACCAGCGCGGGTAGATGCCGTCAGCTAGGTAGTATGGCCCGTCGTACATACGTCCGTTGACCTCATATGTAACTTTTGGTGCCTTTCCTTGCAGGACATCGTTGAACACTGGGATTGGGTAAGGACGTTGATGTCATTTTGAGCTCCCAGGACCCCAAAAAAGGCGTGCCAAATCCATGTATCAAAAGATGCCACTGCCTCCAGAATGATACTTTTTGCCCCTTTTCTGTCCCCGTAAGCGCCTTGCCATGCACTTGGACAGTTTTTCCACGTCCAGTGCATACAATCAATGCTTCCAATCATCCCAGGAAAGCCACGCATCTCCGCCTTCTTCAACAGCCACTCCAAGTCCATGTGTGTGGGTTTGCGGAGGTACTCAGCGGTGTAGATAGATTCGATTGCTCCGCAAAACCTCATCAGGGACTCAAGAATGGTTGATTGCCCCATCCTCGTTATCTCATCCACTTGGTCTGCAGATGCTTCATATGCAAGCATCCGCAAGGCAGCAGTAATTTTTTGCTCCGGCAGTAGACCCATATCACCAAAAGCATCTTTTTTTTGCACAAAATAAGAATCATGGTTGCAAACAGCAATCATGATTTTGTTGAACAAATGTCGTTCCATTCTAAAACGACGTCTAAAGTACGTATCAGGGAATGCACTATTAGGAACAAAATAATCATCCAAGAGTTCCATACCTCGTCGTTGCCTGCTTCTATCAAGGTTTCCGGAATGGCTGGGCCTGCAGATCTGAGCCGCAGCTTGGATGACTCGACGGGAATGTGAGGCTCTGCCCCTTCTTACGTCGTCATCTCTCATTTGATGCTCCTCATCTTCTTCCCTCTCATTTCTTACCCCCTGGTGATTGAACATTGATTCTGATTGGTTAAACAAGTCTTCCTCTTCCTGATTCAATTCCCACATCATCCTTGAGGAAGAAGAAGAAGACATTGAAAGAAAGAAACAGAAACTATGAATATTGATACTGATTTTTGTGAATAAGGAAGCAGAAATTATGAATAATGATAGAGATCTTGAGAATTTTGGTGTGAGATTTGTGAAGATGGATGGTGGATTATATAGAGGATTCAGAAAGGATTAGGTTCTGCATAATGCCACGTGGCATGCCGTCATTCGTTAAAAATCTGATGGAAATCTATCATCAAAGATTGTTAACAGATTATGACACGTGGCATGCCGTCATTCGTTTAAAATCTGATGGAAATCTATCCTCAAAGATTGTGAACCGATTATGACACGTGGCGCGACGTGATTGGTTAATAATCTTATCAGAAATCCATCACCAATCATTGTATTATTTTGTATTATTTAATAATACTTAGGATAATGACACGTGGCGCAACGAGAACGATTAAAAATCTTATCCGATATTACATTTAAAATTATTTTGTATTAATTTTATAAATAAAAAAAATATTAATATTTTATTGCCTATTGCCAAGGCTATAGAAGTGTAACGGTGGAGATGCAAAGTCTATTGCCAGGGCTACTTACTGTTCATTAAGGGCAATTACTGTTCATTAGGTGGATTGAATAGTGTATTGCCAGGGGGAGGGCTCCAACGCTGGAGTTGCTCTAACAATTTGACCTATTTACACTATCGGTTGTTTTAAAAAAAAAAATGTCACTATTAATGTAGAGAGCTGTTCTGTGACCTTTTGAGAACAATAATATTTGCCAAATAAAAAGAAGCTTAAGATAACAAAGAGAGAGAGAGAGAGAGAGAACGCGCTTAAACTTCTTTTTCATTGGCAATTATTATTTTATACATTAGAGCATCTTCAATAGAAGTCTTTATTTAAGGACTTCCACCATCATTTTTGAGTACTCATTTAAGGATTTAAAGAGAATCTTTGTGTCCCTAAAGAAATATTGCTTCCAACGGGAGAATCCTTATAGTAGAATCTCTAAATTTGAAGTTTTTATGATTTTATGTGACAATTTGATTAGATGCACAATTTTTATTTATACATTTTTTAATTAATTAAACAATAAAATTAAAAGAAAAACTAATGAAAAGAATTTCAAAATTTTAGATTTTAACCAAAAATCATGTAATAACTTTATGTAATTAGAACAAACCCCAATATCAAATCAATCCAATAAAAGGGCCCAAGCAAAGTAATTTATTGAGATTCCGATTTTACCCCCTAACGTCTTTTATTGGCCCGTTTATTTTTGTCCGTCCCCTTGGACTTGAAGGAGAAAAGCTGATTCACTTCAGTTGGCGTTCCCCAACGCCCGTGATTCCATGAAATTCAATCCATTGCTGCTTCTGCTGTTCTGCTCGCGAACCCTAAATCCCAAACTCCTAAGCCCAAATCAGATGGGCAGCAAAAGCAAAAGCAAAGAGAAGAAAACAGTTGGAGGACTCAATCGACGACGATAAATTACTTTGGTTGATTAGATTTGCTGTACACGTTCTTCTTAGACAGGGTGTGCTTGGTATTAAGGTGCAGATCATGCTCGACTGGGATCCTAAGGGAAAGCAGGGACCCATGACTCCATTGCCTGATTTGGTGATCATCCACACCCCCAAGGAAGAACAATATCTTCTAGTTCCACCCGAAGAAATCGACATAGAGCCAGTTCTGGTTCCAATAGCTTAAATTGAGTTTTGATTCATTTGTAAACTTATAGATATAGGAAAGGAATTGGTTGTCCTTTTCTGCTTCGATTTTCAGCGCATGATCTTGTTTACTAGTCTACGGATTTAAAAATTAGTATTGAAATAAATGGCTAAGCAATATGACAATGGGGTTCTGCCAATTTATGACAGCCTTTTCTTCTTCTTTTTTTTCTTTTTTTTTTAATATTCAGTTTTCACAAGAAAACATGAGATGAACAAATGGTGTCTTGTAGCTATTAGAATTTGCAATTGAAACATATTCTTTTGCAATAGAATCAATAATTTGCAACCTTAGTTCATTTTTCGCGTTTGTGCAAAACTACACCAGTACTTTTGTAACACCATTGAATGAAATTCTATGTGTTGCATCTATAGATGCTCTGAAATTGTGTTTTTGTTTTAGAAACAGACAGTGTTCAATTTAAGAAATAGTGATGGTATCCATGTTTAGTTCTAGAAATAATCAATGTTCAGTTTAAGAGACAATATTTATGAAACTATAGAAAAATTACCCACACTATTTCAAAAAATTGAATCAAAATTACACACATTATTTCTGGAAGATAACAAAATAAACACTATTTTTGAAACAATGGCAAAATAATCCACACCATTTTTGAAATTGAAACAAAATAACCCACACTATTTCTGAAACTACAGCAAAATAACCCATATTATTTTGGAAACTGAACCAAAATTACTCATATTATTTCTAGAACCACAACAAAATAACTCACACTATTTCTAAAACTAAACCATAATAACCAACACTATTTCTTGAAGGGAACAAAATAAACAATATTTCTGAAACTACAGCAAAATAACCAACACTATTTCTGAAATTGAACCAAAATAACCAATATTATTTCTGGAACTACAACAAAATTACACACTATTTTTGAGGGAAAAAAAACTGAACTAAAACAATCCACACTATTTATAAAAGAAAATAAATTTCTGAAACTACCACAAACCTACACCATTTATGAAATTGAACCAAAATAGCTCACACTATTTCTAGAACTACAGAAAAATAATCTACACTATTTTCTAAAACTGAAACAAAATAATGCACACTATTTTTAGAATAACAACAAAATATACATCTATCTCGTAGATGATAGATTATATGTTTTTTCTATAAAATAAATGAATATGATTTGAATTAATTAATTAATTCATCTTTTAGCCCGTGAAAAATCCGATGTTGATCCCTTGAAGGCCAAGGGAAAATAAGCAACATTTGAGCCGTAATTTCCAGGGGAAAGAAAAAGTAGATGAATGAGTCTATTTATCTCCAAAGTGGTTCATCTAACACTAAGATAGGACCCGCATCAACCCCAAGACTAGAAGAAACCGATGAAGGGCTTAAAATACGTAGGCCGGTGGCTAATATGTGTTGGAGGTCGAACTTCATCTTCCTCTTGTAAAATCGGATCCACTTATCTTGAAAGTTGTCTATCCACTCCTCGAGAAATTTTTCTAGATGATGGGTACATTGACCGAGCTGGAGTTCCCCTCTAGTGATGCCAAATATCCATCTGCTTTTGTTTCATAAAAATCAATTAAATAAAAACAAAAAAAATTCAGTATACTCGGAATATGAATAAATACGTTATATATCGTTATCAAGTGAAGAGAGACTCAAATAAATAAATAAATAAATAATTCATTCATTTGTATAATAACATATGACGTACCGTTTTGTATTCCGAGAATGATAAAAATATCAATATCAAATCAAGTAATAAAAAGTAGAAATTTAGGAGAAATTTACAATTTCCTATTCCACGGCCAATTTGTTTGTTTCTAAGTTGTATTTGCTGCTAACTCACCAGCCACAAGGGTGGTTCTTGGAAATTGAGTTTCAGTCTTGTGCGTGTGGAAGTTGATGATCAAGCACACCATCCGGCACCGCGGGCTGCAGCGGCGCAAGTAGAACCGTAAGTATCGTGACCGATGGTGGAGTCTTTGCCTTTGGGCACGGCATCTGCACTGGAGAACATGATGGCTGAGATAACTGTTGGTATTTGACAGTTTACTAACTCAATACCAAAATATGTGGGTGATAAGTTTACAAACTCTATCACACCTCTTTCACTTTGCACTCTCAAATAAAATTGGACAAAGAAATAGAGAAAGGAGGGAAGCAACAAGCTTTGATAAAACACTTGGACTTTGATATATGAAAAGAGAGTTTACAAACTCTATAGCTTACAAGCTTAAAATGAGAATGAGAAATGGGATTTTGATGGGATGATTTACAATGCTTGAGAACTTGGGTATTTATAGCAAACCAAATGATTAAACTAAGATTATTTATTACCACACAAAACACATTAATTGCACCTAATAATTTTTATTCAACCATACCTAACATTGCCTAACTTTCAATGCCTAACTTTGACATTGATTTTCAACAATAGCAACTTGTTTTGATTTGAATTTCCAACACACCTCCTCAAATCAAAACGCCTTCATTCCTAGCATTTCACGCAGTAGCCGGAATGTTTCAATTGGCAATGGCTTTGTGAAGATGTCTGCCACTTGTTCCTTGGTGTGACAGTAGACAAGTTCAATTGTCTTTTGCTTCACATGGTCCCTTAGAAAATGGAACCTGGTATCAATGTGCTTGCTCCTTCCATGTTGAACAGGATTTTTTGCAAGTTTGATTGCAGACACATTATCTACGTGAATCACAGTCGATTCCACTTGTGGATGACACACTGACTTCAACAGATTTCTTAACCAAATTGCCTCACACACGGTTGAGGCTACAGCAACATACTCGGCTTCACATGATGACAAAGCAACAATTGATTGCTTCTTTGAAGTCCATGAGAAAGCTGTTGATCCTAGAAAAAACACATAGCCAGTTGTGCTTTTCCTTTCATCTTGGTCACCTCCCCAATCACTATCTGAATAACCAAATAATTTTGCATCTTCACCAAAATTATAAAATAGACCATAGTTTAGAGTACCTCTTATGTACCTCAAAATTCTCTTGGCGGCCAGCCAATGAGACTCCCTTGGTGTTTCCATGTATCGACTCACGAGTCCAACACCATAAACTATATTAGGTCTTGTGATTGTAAGGTACCTTAGGCTTCCAACGAGGCTTTTGTACACTGTTGAGTTTACAAACTCACTCTCTCCTCCTTTGGACAGCTTCAATCCAGTTGCGACTGGGGTATTGACAGTGTTGCACTTGTCCATATTGAACTTCTTCAATATGTCTCTCATGTACCTTTGTTGAGAGATGTAGATACCATCACTTTCTTGCTTCACTTCTATGCCAAGAAAGTATGACATTAATCCATTGTCAGTCATCTCGAATTCACTGAACATGGATTGCTTGAACTCATGGAACATTGCCTCATTGTTTCCTGTAAACAATAAATCATCTACATAGAGACAAATAATTAAGAACTCCCCTTTTTCACCATTCTTCATGTAAACTGAATGCTCGTATGGACATTTCTGAAATCCATTTTGGTGAAGGTAGTTGTCGATCCTTGAGTTCCAAGCTCGTGGTGCTTGCTTGAGGCCGTACAAAGCCTTCTTCAAACGATACACCTTATCTTCTTCTCCTTGTACTTGGAAGCCTTCCGGTTGTTCCACGTACACTTCTTCCTCAAGTACTCCATTAAGGAAGGCTGACTTGACATCTAGTTGATAAATTTTCCATTTATGATGTGCGGCAAAAGAGATTAGCAATCTTACCGTGTCAAGTCTCGCAACTGGAGCATAGACTTCATCATAGTCCACTCCATACTTCTGTTTGTAGCCCTTTGCTACAAGCCTTGATTTGTATCGATCCACACTCCCATCTGCAGTGCGTTTGATCTTGTAAACCCACTTGACACCAATAACCTTCTGATTTGGTGGGAGCTTTGTCAGCTCCCAAGTGTCATTCTTCTCGATGGCATGGATCTCTTCTTCCATGGCTTTCTTCCAACAATCTTCTTCCACAGCTTCATTGAATGAGAAAGGCTCGTGGTCTGCATACAAGCAGAAAAGGTTGGTTTCTTCTTCTTCTTCTTGTCCATAAATCTCTGTGAGATTCCTTAACCTCACTGGAGTTGAGGAGCTGCTTTCCTCACTAGATGTAGGACCACTCCTTGCAATTCTGTGCACTGGAGTTGTTGTGATTGTTTGAGCAGGTTGTTGCTCAATCGGTGGTACAACTTCTGGTTCTTCAAAATCAGTGGAGACGATCTTCTCTTTACTGACTTCTTTGTTGTTCCACGTCCATGTCTCTTCCTCACTGAAGATGACATCTCTACTAACCACTAGTTTGCCAGTTAGTGGGTTGTAGAGCTTGTATGCCTTGGACTCTTCACTATAGCCCACAAACACACATTTCTCACCTCTATCATCAAGTTTCCTCCTCTTGGCTTCTGGAACTTGAGCATATGCAACACACCCAAAAATTCTTAGGTGTGTAACATTCGGCTTGTATCCACTCCAAGCCTCTTGTGGTGTCATCCTCTTGACACTCTTTGTTGGACATCGATTCAACAAATAAATCGAACAAGCTACAGCTTCTGCCCATAACTCTTTTGGCAAATTCTTCTCCTTAAGCATGGACCTTGTCATGTCAAGGATGGTTCGATTCTTTCTTTCGGCTATCCCATTTTGCTGTGGGGTGTAGGCAGCAGTAAGTTGATGCCTAATTCCTTGCTCCTTGCAGTATGCTTGGAAAGCATTGGAGGTGTACTCTCCACCTCTATCTGATCTCACAGCCACAAGCTTGTGGTTACTTTCTGCCTCTGTGAGTGCCTTGAACTCCTTGAAAATTTTTAGGGCAGCTGACTTCTCCTTGAGAAAATAGACCCAAGTTTTTCTACTGAAATCATCAATGAAGGTAATAAAATACCTATTTCCTCCATAAGACATGGGATCCAATGGACCACATATATTTGTGTGCACCAACTGCAGTGGTGCCTTTGCTCTCCATGTATCACCAACAGGGAACGATAGTCGTGCTTGCTTGCCAAGCACACAACCTTCACATACTTGGCGTGTGGCTTCAATCTGGGGTAGACCACGAACCATTCCTCCACTTGACAGCAACTTTAGGCCATTGAAATTAAGATGGCCAAATCGAAGATGCCATTTCCATGACTCATCTTCCATTACACCGATGTTGCAGCTTCCAATCTTTGTGTTCAAATTCAACGGAAACATCCGGTTCTTTGACATTCGAACACGTGCAATAAGCTTTCTCCTTGCATTCCTGAGAGTGAGAAGCATGTTCTCCATATGTATAATGTACCCTTTCTGGAGCAGTTGACCAATGCTCAGAATGTTGCTCTTCATACCTGGTATGTAGTAGGTATCGGAGATGTATTCTTCTCTTCCATCCTTCTGAATGATCTTGATCTTCCCTTTGCCTTCAACTGGCAACTTTGAGGAGTCACCAAGACTTACAGATCCATAGGCCCCTTCTTTGAGTTCGGCAAAAAACTCCTTCTTTCCACACATGTGATTGCTTGCACCAGAGTCCAAATACCAAACATCTTGTTGGCTACTGGAATCATGGTGTGCTAGTAAGACTGTAAGTTCTTCATCGGTATTTCCACTTGATTCTGCCATGTTGACATGCTCACCATTTTTATGTGAACATTCATTGGCATAATGTCCATATTGCTTACAGTTGTGACACTGGATATGCGCCTTTCCTCGAGTAGATCTCCACTCCTGAGACTGACCTTGATTTTGTGCATAGCCTCGACCTCTTCCTCGGGCTCGTCCTCAGCTACGGTTGGATGGGCTCCCACGACGTGAGTTCCACTGCCCACGACCTTTATTTGGTTTGTCAATATTCAACTTTGACTCCAAAGCTTGCTCTAGCGTTGTGGGGCTTGCATTCTTCTGAATGCGTTGCTCGTGAACTAGGAGGGATCCTAGTAGCTCTTCTGCGCTCATCACCTCCAAATCCTTGGATTCCTCAATGGCAGTCACCACATGCTCAAACTTAGATGTGAGTGACCGGAGTATCTTCTCCACAACTCGTACTTCATCGAGTCTCTCGCCATTTCTCCTCATCTGATTTACTATCACAATGAGCCTTGAGTGATAGTCGGAGATGCTCTCCCCTTCATTCATATGAGCAGTTTCAAAATCTGCTCGAAGTGATTGTAACCTCACTTTCTTGACTCGATCTACTCCTTTGTAGATTGTACTGAGTGTATCCCATACTTGTTTGCTCGTTGTTGCTTCTGCAACCTTCTCGAACGTTGAATCTTCCAAACCCTGGTATAGAAGATACAGCGCCTTTTGGTCCTTCTTTCGTAAGTCCTTGAGAGTGTTCCTTTGATCCGCAGTAGATACGGCTTCTTGCTCGGCAGTGGGTACAACATACCCACTACTGACAACTTCCCATAGCTCCTGTGATCCAAACAATGCTTTGAATTGGATGCACCATCTTTCATAATTTTCTTTCTTCAATGTGGGAACTTGGAGTTGCACTAAGTTGGACGCCATAACTGCTGCACCTACCAGAATGGTATTCTGGCTCTGATACCAATTGTTGGTATTTGACAGTTTACTAACTCAATACCAAAATATGTGGGTGATAAGTTTACAAACTCTATCACACCTCTTTCACTTTGCACTCTCAAATAAAATTGGACAAAGAAATAGAGAAAGGAGGGAAGCAACAAGCTTTGATAAAACACTTGGACTTTGATATATGAAAAGAGAGTTTACAAACTCTATAGCTTACAAGCTTAAAATGAGAATGAGAAATGGGATTTTGATGGGATGATTTACAATGCTTGAGAACTTGGGTATTTATAGCAAACCAAATGATTAAACTAAGATTATTTATTACCACACAAAACACATTAATTGCACCTAATAATTTTTATTCAACCATACCTAACATTGCCTAACTTTCAATGCCTAACTTTGACATTGATTTTCAACAATAGCAACTTGTTTTGATTTGAATTTCCAACAATAACAACAAAGGTGGCCAGAGCTGCCCACAACATCACAACAACTGCTGCACTTCCGCCGCTTAAACCACCCTTCAGCTCTTTCCACTCTCTCATATGAATTGATAAACTGCAACCTCCTACCTTCTCTCTTAGAAATGGCTGATAAGGCTTTTTCTATGAAGCTGACCAACAGATATCGAAAAGACGTCTTTTATTTCCTTCCAGTTGTTCTCATATATTCTGACTGGTGGCTGACGGGCTTGGGTTAGGCTCCGTTAGGGGTAAATTATGGAAAACAATATTTTATTGCGGGTAGGGTTAAATATGAATAGTTTTGTTCTTATGATTTAATTTCAAGCTTTTTTGGTTAAATAAAAATTTAGGGTAGTGTTTGGTTACAAAAAAGGTGGTCCAAACTTCTTTCATTAAAACTCTCAAAATTAAAAACATTAAAAGTATTACAAGCTTTAATCAAGATTGTGTGGTCTGTTTTCTACTCAAGGTTGTGTCCATATAAAGTCTCCAAATGTGAGTACATATATTATGTATCCAGTGAGTCCCTATACTTTAGGGACTCACTTTCTGATTCATTAGAGATTTATTTTATCCTTATATTTATTTTATAAATATTTATTATGATGATTGTTCTTACTTAGGGATTCCACTGAAGATGTACATAATTGAAACTCTTCCTACCAGTGCCACCTTTAACATGTCACCCCCAGGACCAGCCAAATATAATAAATCTTGGTTTATAATTTTATAGTTGGTGAACAATTTAATACAAAAGCCAAAAAAAGGCATGGACCATAGTGCAGTTTTTACCATCTTAAATCTACCTCCAGAAATGATCTCAGTTCTTATTCTTATTCTTTGGTCAAGCGGAGGACTTTGTATGTCTATACTCTGGGAGAAGGATCCACGCCGGATCCTTTTCCTAGGGATCAAGTGATCTCACCTGTTTATCGTACATTGTGTGATCAGTTTTCGTTAAGTACTATTCATATTTAATATTAAATTTTAAATTTTGAAATGTTTTCTGACCATACGATGTACAATGAACATGTGAGATCACAGGATCCCTAGGAGAAAGATCCTCGCCGAGGATCCTTTTCCTATACTCTAGTCCTTTTGTATTTGTACTAATGTAAAAACTGATATACGACAAAATATGGATCCATTCTGATGAAGAAAGATAAAAAAAATAAAGTATTTAAAATTTTGAAAAATAAGGATTAAAGTTCAGAAATATTGAATTCAATCTATATGGTGACAGAAAAGGCATTAAGAAATATTTTGGTGTCAGAATTAGGCATTTAATAGTCAATCGATATAAGGACATATTATACGCTCAATTCTAGCACCAGATAGTTCTTACTACCTTTTGTTGTCACATATTGATTGAATCCAATATTTCCGAACCTTAATTCTTCTTTTTCAGAATTTGAAATATTTTATTTTCTTTATCTTTCTTCATCAGAATTGACCTATATCTTGTCCTATATCACACTCCTCCACTTGAATCGAGTTCGTCTTAAAATTGCCTCTAACATCAAGAATCATGAACCTAGATAAGCACGTATAATCTCTAACATGAGGAGCCAGATCTTCTTCAAACTTGGATTGTACAACCATGTAGTCGACTCCCTAAATAAGATTTAAATATGTACTTGACTCATCTTGTTGTCCGGGTTCACATGCTTGGTTTGATGATGCCATATATCCTACTACCATATCGACCTCGATAGTTTGAGTTTTATCAATACCTTATTCGTCATGGATGCTAACTTGATTGTCTTCTTCTAGTATGGCTTCCTCTTCAATCATGACACACTTTTAATTGGCGATTCTACTTCCTTGTCTTCAATTTCTTCCTCCATCTTTTCTTGGCATAGGGGATCATCAAATGATTTTTCCTCACCTACTTTGTCTTTGAAAGTAGCATTTTCCGTTCTTAGAAGATACAAATTATATTCAAACGAAAATCATACCTCTACAATAACTTTCTCTTCATCCTACGTCAAGATCGGATATGATCCTTTCCTACTTTCTTTCGTGCATTTTGCAAAAAGCAATGTTTTCCTTTAAATAAAAAACAACCTGTTAACACAGGGTCCTTTCCAAACCCGAAAATAGTAGGAGCCCAAAGAAACAACGGTCCAAAGGAAGAAAGAAAGGATGGCCCTAAGGAAGGAAGCGAGATCAAGGCCTAGCTGGAAATATCTTGGCCATACCCGTAAAAGAAGTTTGTGATGCAAATTGAGTCAATGGTCATCTATCGTGGAGCTACCACCATCTCAACTGCCCAAAATTCATTAAATTAGGTTAACTGCCCAAAATTCATTAAATTAGGTCATCTATCGTGCCACCATCTCAACTGCCCAAAATTCATTAAATTAGGTCAGAGGTACCATCACCATCTCAGGAGAGGATCCTCTTATTCATTAAATTAGGTCATCTATCGTGGAGCTACCATCACCATCTCAGGAGAGGATCCTCTTCCTTTCTCCAGTGGATGGGCCTACTGATAGGTAATAAATGTAGGTCTCCAAAGGATCACATTAATTGCTTCCAAAGGAAAGTCAAATCTCCTCAATGAACCCAGCAACGAAGAAGCAGACTCCTCTTTTAAACACTGAATTCAACAAACAAACCACAATAAAAAAGAAAAAAGAAAAACGAAATCTGTATTCAGTTTTTACAACAAAATGGAGATTTCGTATACTTACTGTGCAAATTTGTTGTTTAAGTTCCTTCCCGGATTGTTTCTCTTATGCATGATCACGTGCCCGGAATCCACATTCGGAAACAAATCTGATCGCCTCGCTCTGCTGGACTTCAAGAGAAGAATAACAGAAGATCCTCTCCGTATCATGAACTCATGGAATGATTCGGTCGATTTGTGCAGTTGGGTTGGCGTTACGTGCAACCATGCGAACAAAAGAGTCATGATCTTGAACTTGGAAGCTCAAAAATTGGTAGGCTCCGTTCCGCCTTCAATCGGAAATCTTACTCATCTTACTGGAATCAACTTGATAGACAACAACTTCCACGGTGAAATTCCTCAAGAAATCGGACGTCTACTAGGCCTGCAGTATCTCAACCTGTCTTCGAATTCTTTCGGCGGGAAAATTCCAGCTAATATATCTCACTGCACGCAGCTAAGAATGCTTGATGTTGGTGTAAATAAGCTTATTGGGTCAATTCCGAACCAACTCAATTCGTTGTTGAATTTAACTCATTTTTGGGTTGATGAAAACAATCTCACTGGTGCAATTCCGGATTGGATAGGAAACTTTTCTTTCTTGTATGCCCTCTCTCTTGCTAAGAACAATTTTGAAGGAAGCATACCAAATGCATTCGGGCGGTTGACAAGCTTGGGAACATTCGTAATTCCAGGAAACAAACTTTCCGGTACGGTTCCTTCTTCAATCTATAATATATCGTCGTTATACTATATAACATTTACTCAGAACCAGCTGCAGGGAGAGCTACCACAAAATGTGGGGACTACTCTTCCTAATCTTGAGATATTTTCTGGTGGTATCAACAAATTAACCGGAAGTATTCCTGTTTCATTGTCAAATACTTCTAAACTTCGAATTCTTGATTTTGCCGAAAATGGCCTCACGGGAAAATTCCCTGCTGAAAGTTTTGGGACTTTGAAAGGGTTGGTGAGACTAAACTTTGATGACAATAGGCTGGGAAGTGGGAAAACAGGTGACCTGAGTTCTCTCAGTTTTCTGGCCAATTGTACTAATCTTGAGGTGCTTAGTTTTAGTCGTAATCGTTTTGGAGGGGAATTGCCAGAGTCCATAGGCAACCTTTCTACGAAACTGAGAATTTTTACAATGGGGGGAAATTTATTACATGGAAGCATCCCTACCGGGGTTGTAAATCTTGTAAACTTGACCAACCTAGGAATGGAACAAAACTATCTTGGTGGTAGTGTCCCTGATGTGATCGGTAAGCTTCAGAAGTTGCAGGGGCTGTATTTGAATCTTAACCAGTTCTCTGGGACAATCCCGTCGACATTAGGCAACTTGACTTCAGTCACAAGGCTCTTCATGGAGGGGAATAGGTTTGAGGGAAGCATACCTCCGAGTCTCGGGAACTGCCAAAACTTATTGATGCTTAACCTTTCTAGTAATCAGTTAAGTGGCACCATACCTAAGGAGGTTATCGGGCTTTCATCTCTTTCAATTTCTTTGTCCATGTCGAACAATTCTTTGACTGGTTCTCTACCATCTGAAGTGGGCGAGTTGGTACATCTCTCAGAGCTAGATGTATCAGGAAACAAGTTATCAGGTGAAATCCCCATAACCCTTGGCAGCTGTGCTAGTTTGGTGAGCCTGCATTTGGAAGGTAACCAATTTGAAGGAACAATTCCTCAATCTCTGGCCAACTTAAGAGGCTTGGAAGAAATAGATATTTCACGCAATAATTTATCTGGCCAGATTCCTGAATTTTTAGGTAAGCTTAGAGCTCTAAAGCAACTCAATATTTCACATAATGAATTTGAGGGTGAATTGCCCACAGAAGGGATATTTTCAAATGCGAGTGGTTTCTCGGTTCTTGGAAATAATAAGCTCTGCGGTGGCATCCGAGATTTACGTCTACATGTATGCACTAGCAAATCTCAAGGACTACTTTCCCCGAAAGTAATGATCCCTCTAACTTGTGCAGTTGCATTAATAATTACTCTGTCATGTTTCATTGCTGCTTGTGCATTGGTGAAAAGGTCAAGAGGTAGACCTTTAACTTCACGTTCTAATGAAGAATCAAAATTAGGTGTCTCTTATTTACAACTCGTTGAATCAACCAACGGGTTCTCTCCAGAAAATCTCATTGGTTCGGGAAGTTTTGGTTCTGTATATAGAGGAGTCCTCTCTGGTAATGGCATGATAGTTGCCATTAAGGTGTTAAACCTTCAACAAGAAGGAGCTTCCAAGAGTTTCATTGATGAATGCAAAGCTTTAAGAAGTGTAAGGCACCGCAATCTTCTCAAGATCATAACTGCATGCTCGAGCATTGATATGCAAGGTAATGATTTCAAAAGTCTAGTTTACGAGTTCATGGAAAATGGAAGCCTGGACACTTGGCTGCATCCAAGGGACGACGAACAATCTCCAAACAAGAGATTAAGCCTTACCCAAAGACTGAATATAGCCATTGATGTCGCTTTTGCACTAGATTATCTACACCACAATTGTGAAACATGCATTGTTCATTGTGATTTAAAGCCAAGCAATATTCTTCTTGACGAAGATATGGTTGCTCATGTTGGTGACTTTGGCCTAGCAAAGTTCCTCTTGGAGGCATCAAATGGTACAACCTTGTCAGTAGGGCTAAAAGGTTCCATAGGCTACATTCCTCCAGGTATGGATTTCTATAATCCTCATTTGTTATATTCTTTTAGCACTAAAGAAATTTCAAATATGCTATAAATTCTAAGCATGAACTATTTTGAATGGCAGAGTATGGGATGGGAGGACTAGTCTCCACACAAGGAGATGTTTATAGTTATGGGATACTGTTGCTAGAAATGTTCACAGGAAAAAGGCCAACCGATGAAATTTTCAAAGATGGTCTAAGCATTCACGAATTCACCGCCATGGCATTGCCGGACCATGTCAAGGAGGTAGTTGAGCCCTCATTGCTCCTCGAAACAGATGATGAAGATGATGATGGCGACGGATATGGGAATAAAATACAGGAAAGATCATTGGCCAGATACAAGGATCCCGGCCCGGACAAAGCAAAAAGACTGGAGGAATGCTTGTATTCGGTGATACAAATAGGTATCTCGTGCTCCACAATATCACCAGGAGAGCGGATGCTTATGCATGTGGTTGTCAACAAAATGGGTGCAATTAGAGACTCATATCTCAACTTAAGAAGAAGAAGATGAAGCTGAAGATGAAGACGATTGCAATGTGCAACACCAGACTAAGTTTCTTTACCTATTCCAATCTATACGTAGCTTTTTTCTGTATGCAATAAATTATCTGTATAAATGTATGTGACATCATGTAAGATTGAATCAGTATTTTATCACTATATATATTTGTCTCTTCATAATCGTGGGGCTTGTAATTTGGTTGGCTTAAGAGCATTTCATGCTTGCACCTGAACTCAGAGTTCTATTACCTCTTTGCTTACTTCGGTTGTATAAAAAAGCATCAATCACACAATTTGATACTACTTTTCTGAAAAAAAAAACTCTTCAATTATGATTGAAGGAAGAGATATTATTAGATAAACAAGGGAATACTTACCAGGTAATGAGGTAGCAACAAAGTTGCACACCACCACAAATAAGTGTTCCCAGTAAAATTACTGCAACTTGAGTTTCTATAACAGTAAAAAGAATCAACTTTTCAGTTAGAATGTGTTTGATTTTCTTGAAAAAGGAGGGAGAGAATTTTGATTGGTCTGGGATTAAATTTCGCAAAATGATCCCTAGGGAAAGAGGAGGAGTCAGGAAAAGACGTTCTTTGACGCTTTTTATCTGGTTATGTAAATTTGGAATAAAGGAAAGAGAAAAAAATAGAGGGATTTGACTTGGAGGTTTTAGTGTAAAGGTCACAAAATACTTCTAATACTAAGATTGGGTCAATCAACATTTTATGTTTTCAAGTTGAAGTCATTCATTTTCGACAGGAAGTTTTCATTACAATTTGTGAGAAATTCTAATGAACTACTTAATCTCACAACTTTATAAACCTAATGGAAAGTTAACTAACACCATATGCTAATAAGTTGGTTTGAAACTTAGGTTCGTCTGTGCTTAATGGTTTGCATTGGTTTGAAACTCAAGTTCATATCTATGCTTAGTGTTTTCAAATTATGTTGAATTATCTGTGTTCGCCTGTGTGTTTTTTTTTCTTTTTGAATTGGTTGGTTAAATGTACAATTTTTTATTAATCTAATTGAAAATGCATTACATAATAAGAACCCGCAGCAACACGGGGACCAATTTTCTAGTAATGTCTATTTTGTGTACACTAATAACCTTGCTTCTGCTCGCGGCTGGCGCACCTCTCCTAGCTATTGCCCCGTTTATTCTTGAATAATCTTTTTAGGATGGACAATTTTACATATTTCTGCCACATCCTTCTATTATTAAGTACAGCTGGTACCATTTCGATATAATGTCTATTATGTGTACAGAAATTATAAAACTCTTAACAAAATGGTAGCCTCAGATGAGCTAGAAATATCTTGGCCATAGTAATTATTTGAGACAAGCTGATAAGTTGTGATACAAACTGAGTAAATGGTAGGCCTTAATGTTTCCTAGCACGTCTTAATCGAGCCTTTGCGTGCGTGATTCTTGGTCCGTCCAGGACACCGACGGTGACCAAACACAAAGGGATGGGGTCAAGATAAAAGTAGGGGTGTTTTGTGAGTGGTGGACGGCCACGAGAACATTGGCACTTAAGAATTTCTCCAGTGGATGGACCTGCTGATAGGAAATAAATGTAGATCACATTAACTGCTTCCCAAAGAAAAATCAAATCTCCTTAATGAACCTAATACTGAAGAAGCAGACTCGTCTTTAAAACACTGAATTCAACAAACAAACCACAATAACAAAAAATAAATAAAAGCGAAACGAAATTTGTATTCAGTATTTACAACAAAATGAAGCTTTCATATACTTGCTATACGAAATTTTTGTTTAAATTCCTTCCCGGGTGCCCGGAATCCGCATTTGGAAACAAATCTGGTCACCTCACTCTGCTGGACTTCAAGAGGAGAATAACAGAAGATCCTCTCCATGTCATGGACTCATGGAATGATTCGATCAATTTGTGCAGTTGGGTTGGCGTTACGTGTAACCATGCTAACAAAAGAGTCATGATCTTGAACTTGGAAGCTGAAAAATTGGTAGGCTCCGTACCGCCTTCGATCGGTACATGGCCTCACGGGGAAACTCCCTGGTGAAAGTTCTGGAAGTTTGAGAAGCTTGTTTAAACTAAACTTTGATGACAATAGGCTGGGAAGTGGGAAAACAGGTGACCTGAATTCTCTCAGCTTCCTGGCTAATTGTACTAATCTTGAGGTTTTAGGTTTTAGTCGTAATCGTTTTGGAGGGGAATTGCCAGAGTCCATAGCCAACCTTTCGACGAAACTAAGAATTTTTACAATGGGGGGAAATTTAATACGTGGAAGCATCCCTATCGGCATTGCAAATCTTGTAAACTTGATCAATCTAGGAATGGAACAAAACTATCTTGGTGGTAGTGTCCCTGATGTGATCGGTTAAGCTTCAGAAGTTGCAGGGGCTGTATTTAGAACTTAACCAATTTTCTGGGACAATCCCATCAATGCTACGCAACTTGACTTCAGTCACAAGGCTCTTCATGGAGGGGAATAGGTTTGAGGGAAGCATACCTCCGAGTCTCGGGAACTGCCAGAACTTATTGCTGCTTAACCTTTCTAGTAATCAGCTAAGTGGCACCATACCTAAAGAGGTTATCGGGCTTTCGTCGCTTTCAATTTATCTGTCCATGTCGATTTCTCTACCATCTGAAGTGGGCGAGTCGGTACATCTCTCAGAGCTAGATGTATCAGGAAACAAGTCGTCAGGTGAAATCCCCATAACCCTTGGCAGTTGTTCTTATTTGGTGAGCCTACATTTGGAAGGTAACCAATTTGAAGGAACGATTCCTCCGTCTTTGGCCAACTTAAGAGGCTTGGAAGAAATAGATATTTCACGCAATAATTTATCCGGCCAGATTCCTAAATTTTTAGGTAAGCTTAGAGCTCTAAAGCAACTCAATGTTTCACATAATGAATTTGAGGGTGAATTGCCCAAAGAAGGGATCTTTTCAAATGCAAGTGATGTCTCAATTCTTAGTAATGAAAGGCTTTGTGGTGGCATCTCACAATTCTGTCTACCTTCATGCCCCAACATATCTCGTGGACTATTTTCCCGAAATGTAGTCTTCCCTATAGCTTGTGCACTTGCATTATAATTGCTCTATCATGCTCTATTGCTACTTATTCGAAGGTGAAAAGGTCATGAGGTTGACTAGCCACTTCACGTTCTTATAAGGATTGGAAATTAGGTGTCTCTTACTCTGAACTTCTTGCATCAACTAATGGGTTCCCTGTGGACAATTTGATTGGTTCGGGAAGTTTTGGTTCTGTTTACAAAGGAGTAATCTCGGGTGATGGAATGATAGTTGCTGTTAAGGTATTAAACCTTCAACAACCAGGAGCTTTCAAGAGTTTTATTGATGAATGCAAAGCTTTAAGAAGTATAAGGCACTGTAATATTCTGAAGATCGTAACTGCATGCTCGAGCATTGATAATCTAGGAAGTGACATCAAAAGTCTAGTTTTCGAGTTCATGGAAAAGGGAAGTTGAGACTGATGGTTGTATCCATGAGACAAGGAGCAATCTCAGATTAAGAGATTAGCCTTATGCAAAGACTGAATATTTCCATTGATGTTGCTTCCGTGTTAGATTATCTCCACCACCATTGTGAAACGTCCATTGTTCATTGTGATCTTAAGCCCAACAATGTTCTTCTTGATCAAGATATGGTAGCTCATGTTGGTGACTTTGGACTAACAAGGTTCCTCTTGGAATCATCGAATGTTCCCTCCCAAAGTCAAGCAATGTCAACGGGGTTGAAAGGTTCCGTAGGCTACATTCCTCCAAGTATGAGTCATCATCACTCTTGTTTTTTTCTCCTTACTGGCTTATTAACAAGCCAAATTTTTTATTGAAAAAAAAATTAAAATTAGATTTCTTCTTCTTAAAAGAAAGTATCATAACACTCTTGAATAAGATTGAAATTATATTCGTTCTATTGTGATATCTTAACACATGTATTTAACAGGGCCGGTCTTAAGATTTTTGAGGCTCAGGGCAATACCAAAATAAGTGCCTTAGTATATCTACACGTCAGAAAAAAAAAAAAATCAATTGTTTTAGTGTTCATATTTGTGCATGCCGATGTAACTTTTCTTTGATAAAACGATAGCAGGATGTGAGGGTTTATGCTAAGCAACAAGATGGGTTGGCCATAATTTGGTATCTAACTTGTCATTTAAAAGACTCAAACCTAAGATCTCTCACTTATAAGTGAAGAAAAAATAGATTTCACATCTAAGCCATAATTAATATTAGTTTGTATTTAGATAAGGGTGCACAAATATTTCACAAGCAAAAATCAACTAAGGTATGAAAGGTATTTTTGTATATAACTTATAGTTATCGGATAATTTTCTAATTTATTGTCCCTTGGGGCTTCATAAGAATTGTCATATTTTTCTCTCTCTAATTTTTATATATAATGTTATAAACAATGAATGAACCAAAAAAAAATTATTGAAAAACCAAATACCACATATATGTTATTAAAAATATAACTCATTTTTCTTGGATAAGAAAGAAAAGTAACCCTAAACCCTAACATTATATTGAAACAGAACATCATTGCTAAAGCAAAAGGAAAATTAACAAAAAAAACTTGAAAACTTTGAGTTTTAACGAAATGGTAAAATAAATAGTACTAAGATTGACTTTTTAGTGTAAAAATGTGGTTTTTTGTTAAAGTGAACAGTATTGGGAGCTTTTAGTTAAAGTTCTCAAAAGAAAAAGGTCCTCATTTTGAAATTGGGTGACTACTATTATTATTATTATTTGCCAAAGGGTGGTAATTAATTGAAAATGAATTTGTAAAACCCACTTTCGTCAAAGTCACATACTTATTTAAACCAAAGATGAAATAAATGCATATAAAAAAAATTAAGCATATTTGAGTTTTGAACCCGTGTTCCTTTCCATTGCAAGAAAGTAGCGAAACACCGCTGCAAATGACATCTTATGACAAATATCTAGTTTTATATTTTTATACGCTTACTAAACATAACATTATAATAATAGAAATTAAATTTTTTGGTGCCCTCGATTTTTTGAGGCCCTGTGCGGTTGTCCTTGCTGCCCTAGGCTAGGGGCGGGCCTGGTATTTAACTGCAGAGTACGGCATGGGAGGCCAAGTTTCCATACTCAGAGATATTTATAGCTACGGAATACTGTTACTAGAAATGTTCACAGGAAAAAGGCCTACCGATGACATGTTCAGAGATGGTATAAGCATTCACCAATTCACTGCTATGGCGTTGCCTGACCATGCCATTGACATAGTTGACCCTTCATTGCTCCTTGAAAGAGATGACGTGGAGGCTGATGATAGCAGATACAGAGATGACAAGACCGATTACAAGACATCAGGATCGCAACCTAGTCCAAGCAAGAAAATTGGAGTAGTGCTTCGTTTCGGTGGTGCAGATAGGACTTTCATGCTCTGCGATTTCACGAGGAAAGAGGATGCATATGGATGTCGTTGTGAACAAAATGAAAACTATCAGAGACTCGTACCTCGGTTTAAGAAGAAGAAGAAGCTAGCAATGTATCAGATAGGCGAAGTTCGTTTCCTAATCTCAACATATAGGCCTCATCTATATAAAGATTATTAAAAGCATAGTTTTGTATCATGTATGAAAAATAAAGAAAGACATGAATTCTGTATTTTACATAGCAGAACAAGCAATAATTATATATTCTTTTTACGCAATATATTATTCCTTTCATTTGAAAAATAAAAGACATTCTGTTTCAATTTTGAAGGCATTGCTTCTTCTCTTCTATTGTGTCACTACAAAAAAGAAAACCAAATATTCTTTATGTATATATTCAGTTACGTTACTATTTCCGAAGGAATTGAGAAGTTTATTAATTTGTTTAGGGAAGAGTTTAAGTACCTGCTGCATTGGCCTTAATTCAATGCAGATCCAACAAGCCTGTCTTTGACTTGCTGCAATTCCTTCACAACATGACTGATATCCATTCTCACCCGCGGGGTTTCCACTGAACAAGCAACTCCGATTCTGAGTATTTCTTTCAGGCAGTCCTGATTCGGTACATCTTTTAGCTGCCCCACGATACAATTCTTGTTGAAAGTTGATTCCTCATCCTCTCCTTCCCTCCTTCAACAAACAACGGGTCTAAAACTTCGGATATTTGTTCAGGCAATGCTTTGCTAACAAAGTTATGGAGCTGTAGTCCGTCTTTAAAAATGTTCTCGGTGGGCCTTTTTCCTGTGAACATGCAAAGCCAGGAATTGTCGAGGTGAGGCAAAATTTAATAGCGTAAAGATGAGCCAAGAACAAACCCAGGTTCCAAATCCACTCTCACACAGATGAGCCAAGAACAGTGCTCAGATTCTTGCTCACGGACAAATGCAGAAAAGAGATCAAAAACGGCTATTACATAAAGATCAATACTAGCAAACATTTCAGCAAGCTAGTACTGGGCTTTGTCGAGATTTCATATCACATGGGCTTTTTGTATAGTAGGCCCATAATGCTCTTCTAGCAGTCTAAAGAAAATGTGTGATCTGCCAATTTAGTCCATAAATTATCACTTAGTGAAAATTAGGTGTCTAAACTATTTTTTCAGAAAATCCAGTCCTTGAATTATAAATATCTGCCAATTTCATCCCTAATATTATTTTCGAAGCTACTATATTCAGTTTTCCGTCAATTTTTAAGTCACGTTACTTGCGTGTGATACACATTGGAGGGTAAATTGGTAATTTTAAATAAAAAATTTGTGTATGGAGTTAAGACGATAGGTTTGCAACCTATATGAAATGTTAAGGGTTTATAGGCGAGAAAATTACAGTATCACACTATAAAGTTTGTCAAGTGACTTAAGTTGACGAAAAAATGAATAAAATAACTTTGAATATAATAGTAGGGATGAAATTAGCAATTTTTAATGAATTTAGGGACTTATTTTACCAAAAAAAAATTCATGGACCTAAGTTCAAGGACTAAATCAGCACTTCACCCAAAGAAAATTATAGGCACTTCCTCACAAGGCTTTCTCTAGTGTGTACATCGAAAATGCACATTTAAATTACACATTTTAACAAGAGTTATTAAATTATTTGGTTTAACGAACTCTAACGACCCTTGTTCATATGAGTAATTTAAAAGTACATTTTTAACGTGCAAGGGAGAAAATTCAACTTTCTGGCTCCATTGAGTCATTGGCTGGGGGAAGAAAGTTGCCTCAACCGGAAGCAAAGACTCCAATAGCAGGATGTAAAATATTCATCTTTGCTGCAAGATATAAATAAAAATGCAAATTTACGTCTTTTTACATCTTTTAAAAGTGGCACAACCTCAAAATCCATTGTAACTTTTCCATTCAAATTTGCTTCCTTCAATATTGAATTTCAGAATATTTGAGACATTTGGATAAAGATGCTGGTAGAGTATTAACCCATACTATTTTTTTCAAGATTTGGAAATCTAGTCACTCGAAGTCCATCGAGCGAAAATCTTAGAACTCCTAAAAAATCGGCAAATTCTTTATTATCATGCTTATTTCTTCCTCGCACACACTCTCATTTTCTTCTTAAATAACTTTCTCTGTAACTTCACATTCATTTCATGTTTTGATAGTATTGACTAATGAACACGATTATGACAGAAATTTGTCTACCAAAACTACTTATGCTATGGGTAATCATATTTAGTATAAAAAAAATGTTTAATCATATTTGCAGTTTCCACCAACCCTAACTTCTTATGTTAAACACATGACGCACATTTTACTAGGTTTACCAATTAAGATTATCTAGGGATGGACGTGGTCTTGTTTGGTTCTGCAACCTAAACTGATAACAAAACCAACTATCTCAACGATCATAACCAACCAAATAAGATCGTTTTAGTTCAGTTCGCTTGATGTGGAAATTTATTTGCGTTGGTCGATGATTAAGTACCAAATTATAAAGTAATAAAGAACAAAAGATTTTTCCAAAACAAAGAGAACAATTCAATTTGTGATATTTTCAATGTGCCCGTAATACGGGCACATACGTCATATGTCATTATATAAGTGGAGGAATACTTGAAATTAATCTTCTTTTTAATTGTATAATAACATATAACGTACCATCTTGTGTTCTGGACACTGAAAAATCTCTTGTTCAATTCAGTATGACTAGTACGTGGGACTATGAGATTTTTCCGCCTTAGTCCCCATTACTGACATTCAAATTTGTTAAGGTTGAGATTGTCATATTGAAATTGAAAGCAGTTGTGATCACAGACTATGACTGGAGCTGACTATAGTTTTTGGTCCTACCCTAATAGCTAGTTTTCCATGAACGACCCAACCAAATCTATGGACTTACAAGTTGGTCTTCAATATCTTATGCTTATTATATTGGTCTTCAATATCTTATGCTTATTATTCTTTGTCCTCGCTGTTACTGTCTCAAATTTTTTTGGCCATACAATCAAGTCTATGTGCTAAGATAACCTCTTTGTTATGCATTTGTGTAAATTCGGGTTTCGTAATTTGCTTCGTATTCCGAGCAAAATAATGGAGCGTTCACGTACTCATGGAAGGCAGATTTTGTTCAAATTCGTTTACGGGTTCATTCTTTTAAGCATGAGCACACATGCTGAATCTGCAATGCATCCCCGCACTACTTTGGCGAATGAAACTGATCGTATGTCGCTGCTGGATTTGAAGAAAAGAGTAACTAAAGATCCTCTCCATGTCATGAGCTCCTGGAATGATTCCGCCCATTTCTGCAGTTGGGTAGGCGTTACATCCAACCGTTCCACCAAAAGAGTATTGATTCTGAACCTGCAAGCTCAAAACTTGGAGGGCTCCTAGCCGCCCTCTATTGGGAATCTTACTCATCTTACAGGAATCAACCTGAGAAACAACCGCTTTCATGGTGAAATTCCTCAAGACGTGGGTCGTTTACCACGCCTGCGACATCTCAACCTGTCTCACAATTTCTTTGGCGGGAATGTTCCGAATAATATCTCTCATTGTGCACAACTAAGAGTCCTCGGTGTTACTTCAATGTGCTTATTGGGTCGATTCCTGACCAACTCAGTTCATTGTTGAGTTTAACTCATCTATGGATTAGTGATAACAATCTCACTGGTACTATCCCGAGTTGGATAGGGTACTTTTCTTCCCTGTATGCTCTTTCTCTTGGCCACAACAAATTTCATGGAAGCATACCCAATGAGCTCGGGCGTCTAATACGCTTAGGAAGATTCATGCTTCCGGGGAATAAACTGTCTGGTACAATTCCTTCTTCAATCTATAATATTTCATCCATATACTATTTCACTGTTACATTCAACCAGCTGCATGGAGAGATACCACCAACTGTGGGCATTACTCTTCCTAATCTCAAGGTTTTTTCGTGCGGTGGTAACAAGTTAACAGGAAGTATTCCTGCATCATTTTCAAATGTTTCTGGACTCCAGTTGCATGAGTTTTCTCAAAACAGTCTCAATGGGACACTCCTTGCTTAAAGTCTTGGAAAATTGCAAAGCTTAGTTGTGCTAAGCTTTGAATACAATCAACTAGGAAGTGGGAAACCTGGTGACCTGAATTTTCTCAGCTAATTGTACTAGTCTTCAGGAGTTCGGTCTTTATAATAATCATTTTGGAGGACTATTGCCAACATCCACAGCCAACATTTCGACCAAACTCGAAGTTCTTACTCTTGGGAGGAATTTGATTCATGGAAGTATCCCTATCGGTATCGGAAGTCTGGTAAACTTGAACCTTCTGGTAATGGAAGGTAACTATTTTGATGGTAGTGTCCCCGCTCAGATTGGGAAGCTTCAGAAGTTAGAGGTATTGATTTTAAATACAAACAAATTTTCTGGTCTGATTCCCTCCTCCCTAAGCAACTTGAGTTTATTGACACAACTCTACATGGAGGAGAATATGTTTGAAGGAAGTATACCTCCAAGTCTTGGAAACTGCCGAAAGCTGCTGATACTTGATCTTTCTAGTAATAATCTAGCTGGCATCATACCTACAGAGCTTGTAAGAATTTCATCCCTTTCAATTTCTGTGATCATGGCTAACAATTATTTTACTGGTCCGCAACCGCCTGAAGTGGGAGATTTGGAAAATCTAGCGGAGCTCGATGTATCAGGAAACAAATTATCAGGCGAAATCCCCAAAACTATCGGCAGTTGTATTATGTTGCGGCGCCTTCATATGGAAGGTAATGAATTTAAAGGATCACTTCCTCAATCTCTTAAAGATTTAAGAAGCCTGGAAGACATAGATATTTCCCGCAACAACTTATCTGGGCAGATTCCTCAATTTTTTGGCAAGTTTAGATTTCTTATGAATCTCAATCTTTCTCATAATGATTTTGAGGGTGAATTGCCCAAAGAAGGGATCTTTTCAAATGCAAGTGGTGTCTCAGTTCTTGGTAATGAAAGGCTTTGTGGTGGAATTTCACAATTCCGTCTACCTCCATGCCCCAACATAAAGCCCCATTCATCTCATAGACTATTTTCCAGAAACGTAGTCGTGCCTATAGCTTGTGCACTTGCATTTATAATTGCTGTTTCATGCTCTATTGCCACTTATTCGAAGGTGAAAAGCTTACGAGGTGGACTGGCCACTTCACGTTCTAATAAGGATTGGAAATCAGGTGTCTCTTACTTTGAACTCCTTGCATCAACTAATGGGTTTTCTGTGGACAATTTGATTGGGTTGGGAAGTTTTGGTTCTGTTTACAAAGGAGTGATCCCAAGTGACAGAACAATAATTGCTGTGAAGGTATTAAACCTTTAACAAGAAGGAGCTTTTAAGAGTTTTATTGATGAATGCAAAGCTTTAAGAAGTGTAAGGCACCGTAATCTTCTAAAGATTGTAACTGCATGCTCGAGTATTTATAATTTGGGAAATGACTTCAAAAGTCTAGTTTTCAAGTTCATGGAAAATGGAAGCTTAGACTCATGGTTGTATCCAAGAGACGAGGAGCAATCTCAGATTAAGAGATTAAGCCTTATCCAAAGATTGAATATTGCCATTGATGTTGCTTCCGCGTTGGATTATCTGCACAACCATTGTGAAACATCCATTGTTCATTGTGATCTAAAGCCAAGCAATGTTCTTAATGAAAATATGGTAGCCCATGTTGGTGACTTTGGATTCGCAAGGTTCCTCTTGGAATCACCAAATGATTCCACCCAAAGTCAAGCAATGTCAGTGGGACTGAAAGGTTCCGTAGGCTACATTCCTCCAAGTATGGGTCCTTGTTAACAAGCCAAATTTTTATTGAAAAAAAATTAAAATTAGATTTCTTCTCTTTAAAAGGAAGTATCAGAACATTCTTGAATAAGATTGAAATTACATTCGTTATATTGTGATATCTTAACACATGGATTTAACTGCAGAGTACGGCATAGGAGGCCAAGTTTTCATATTCGAAGATATTTATAGCTACAGAGTACTGTTACTAGAAATGTTCGCAAGAAAAAGACCTACAGGTGACATGTTCGGAGATGGTATAAGCATTCACCAATTTACTGCTATGGCATTGCCTAACCATGTCACTGACATAGTTGACCCTTCATTGCTCATTGAAGGAGATGATATGGAGGCTGATGATAGCAGATAGAGAAATGACATACAAGAAAGACCGATTGCAAGACATCAGGATCACGACCTAGTCCAAGGAAGAAAATTGGAGTGCTTGGTTTCGGTGATGCAGATAGGACTTTCATGCTCTGCGATTTCACGAGGAGAGCGGATGCATATGGATGTCGTTGTGAACAAAATGAAGACTATCAGAGACTCGTACCTCGGTTTGAGAAGAAGAAGAAGAAGCTAGCAATGCATCAGATAGCCAAAGTTCGTTTCATAATCTCAACATGCAGGCCTCATCTATATATAGATTATTAATAAAAGCATAGTTTTGTATCATGCATCAAAAATAAAGAAAGACATACGAATTCTGTATTTTATATAGCAGAACAAGCAATAGTTATATATTATGTTTATGCAAGTTGATTCCTCACGACACTTTTCTCTTTGCAAGTTGATTCCTCATCCTCTCCTTCCCCTCCTTCAACAAACGAAGGGTCCAAAACATCGGATATTTGTTCAAGCAATGCTTTGCTAACAAAGTTATGGAGTTGTAGTCAGTCTTTAAACATGTCGTCAGTGTGCCTTTTTTCTGTGAATTTCTCTAATGAAAGTATTCCGAAGCTATATACATCGATGTGCGTTGTAACCTTGCTTCCCATCCCATTGTTGGAATTCGATTGAATTCTTTGAAAATCGCTCATTTCGCTACTAATGAGTTTTTTTACGAGAATGAAATATACATATGAATAGCTGGTGCTTATTGTTGCTGCTTTGATGCGGCATTGCTGGCTTTACTGTTTTTTTTCTTATGACGACAGTTCTTTGTTCTTTACTATTTGTTTTCTTTTTTCTCGTCAATATATTTTATTTATGATAAAACAAAAATAGAGAACAATTATGAAGTTACTAGTTCAACATTCAACCAATTTAGACATAGCAACGTAACATTTGCCACCTTTGTGGTGCTTACAATTTGACACTGAAACGAATGAAGGGTTGAGATTGTCCGATCGGAAAAAGCAGCCATCACGGAGTGTATGAGGATCAAAGGCCACGACATATTCTTGCAGGTCAATCTCTTTACAAACAGTTACAAAACAGTTGGTTGGGGTTGCAAAGGCGGATTCAATTCAACCCAAATGACCGATGACGTGTCCCCAACCTACACGTGGAGGCGGATCCGAACCTCTCCCCAGGAGGACCCCACCAATTACCACTTGAACTGGATTGCTCATTATATAAAAGTGACAGAGACCCCCACTAGCAAACAACCAAATACTCTCTGTCTCTCTCTGGAAATCAGCAACAAGCTTTGAGTGCGAGTGCAACTCGGGTGAGTCAGTGAACGAGTCATGAGGACCCTGTCGAGTCCGAGTTCGAGGGTGGCGGTAGAAAAGAAGTGGGTGGGCAGAGAAAATGTCTTTCCCCGCGAGCTGGAACCTTGTTTCCTCAGGCCAAAGAGAAGTGGGAATCTTCGGTTCTTGAATTTGGTGTGTTTTCTGAAACAGAGCAAGCCCGTGATCAGACCGATCATTTGCCTCTCGTCAAAAACCCAGGTGGATTCTTTTATCTTTTTTTCTGAAAAGTTCTCATAAATTCAGTTTTTTCATTTCCTGGTTTTTGAAATTTGGATGAAGTTTCCATTTTTGTTTTCTCTGTTTTCAAAAATTCTGGAATATGATGTTGTTCTTGCTTTTTGTCATCATTCTTTTCTTTGTGTTGCCAAAAGCTTTGGAATCTTGCTTTTTTGGGTTGCGGCTCAAGAGGGTTTTGCTAGATTCTCTTTTTTCTTTTCTTTTTTGGAGTAGATTAATAATTGGCAGCTTTATTATACAATCATTTAATTTATTTTTAATCTTGTTTAGCTTTATGATCTTTGTCATAATTTGTTTTCTTTCTTTAGGGATGTTGTCATAATTTAAAATATTTGTTTGAAGAATTTGTTTCCATATCATAAAGTGTTAATGGTGATTAAGTTAGTTATTAGAGACTATACTTACACTGAGACAGTCAATCTGATTTCTGAGCATTCTCTCTGCAGACAGAATTGGAGATTGCAGATTCTCAAATTCAGGAAACACGTAAGTTCATGCTGTTTCTTTTAAAATGTTATATAATACATACACACACACACACACATACATATATATAGATATCTGTGTGTGTGTGTGTGTGTGTGTGTGTATGTGCATATTAATCTTGCTAACAATACCATGTCGTGCAGATCATACAAAAACTATTCATGTGAAATTCCAGTTGCAGAAGGAGTGCTCGTTCGGGCAGGAGTTCCTCATTGTAGGGGATGATCCTATGTTCGGTTTGTGGGATCCTGCAAGCGCAATACCGATGAACTGGTCAGATGGGAATTTGTGGACTGTTGAGCTGGTGAGTGAAATCTACTAAAAAGTGTAATTGTTTTTTTTTTTGGTCAAGTATAGGCCGAATTTGTGGTTTAATGTAATGCCTTTGTGTTTGATTAGGATATACCGGTTGGGAAATCGATTCAGTTCAAGTTCATACTAAAAGAACGCACAGGGAATATCTCGTGGCAGCCTGGCCCTGATCGGATTTTCCAAACCTGGGAAACTAAGAACAGGATCACTGTTTCCGAAGATTGGGCAGATGCTGAGCTTCAGAAAATAATAGAGGAAGATCGGGTTTCAAATCAAAGCGATGGTTCAAATGTTAACACAGTTATGTTGATTATGGATGAGAACCTGACACAGCTGAATGGTGAACTGGCCTTCAATAGAACCAATGAACCTAAAATCACCAATAGTAACACTGATTCGGCAGAGAAACCATCAGTAGAACCAAGGAAGGAACGAATTGGTGCTGATAATGGTTCTCCTTCACAAGAGAATATGACCCCTAAATGGCCAAAGGCATACGTGGAACCATACGAGGAACGAGTTGCTGCAAGAACTGCGGTGCTTAATGAAGAGAGAGTTATTTTTCCGAGCGAGGATTCTGCAGCCATCTCAAGTAAGGAGTTGTTGGTGGCAGACAACATTTTGGGAAATAATGGTAGAGCTGCAACAGTAATGAACCTTTCGAGCACTCACATCAAGGGAAGCCTAGTTAACCATGAAGAAGATCCTGTTCTGATACCTGAGCTGTCTCCTTCACCAACTGTTCCAAATGAAGAAGCGAACAAAGAGGGAATCGAGAAACAGATGTCCTTTGATGGCTCGGTTGGAGCCTTTGAAGCTAAGGATCGTAATATGCCAGAGGTAACTGCTTGATGAGCGTGAAGTATCTTTTATCTTTTTCTGTTTCTTCTTGTACTGCATTTACCTCAGCCTGAAATAACAATCCATTCAATTTCCACAAAATCGCAAGTTGTCAAGGGCTATAGGAGAGATTGAATTACTAGGTAGTTTTTGGTTTCTTCTTGTATGTTGTTGGAATCTACGTTTTCCATGAAGAGAAGTTCATGATGATGATGTATCGCAAGGCAATTATTTAATTTCATTAAAATTGAGCAGTCATCTATATATTTTCATGAAGAACTGTTCATGTATTTTTGTTAGACCATGTTCGTGCAATATCATTGCAGTGTAAACGTTGTATGCTACAATACAAATCTGTAGCCATGTATTCTCCTATTGCAAATCGAAACTGCGCTGTCTGATTCAACTGAAACTATTAACACTCACAATATGACAACGAATTCTCTATCAAGCATTACGTTTTTATCTTTTGTTTCTGCTGGCAATGATGAATGATTTTTTGTTGCTATGCATACGGCCAAAGAGAAGTGGGAACCTTTGGTTCTTGAATTTGGTGTGTTTTCTGAAACAGAGCAAGCCCGTGATCAGACCGATCATTTGCCTCTCATCAAAAACGCAGGTGGATTCTTTTATCTTTTTTTCTGAAAAGTTATCATAAATTCAGTTTTTTCATTTCCTGGTTTTTGAAATTTTGATGAAGTTTCCATTTTCGCTTTCTCCGTTTTCAAAAATTCTGGAGTGTGATGTTGTTCTTGTTTTATGTCATCATTCTTTTCTTTGTGTAAACTTTAGGAATCTTGCTTTTTGGGTTGGGGCTCAAGAGGGTTTTGCTAGATTCTCATTATTTTTTCCTTTTTTGGAGTAGATTATTATTTGGACTCTTTATTATATAATCATGTGATTTTAGTTTAATTTATGTTTAATCTTGTCTAAGCTTTGTGATCTTTCTCTTAGTTTGTTTTCTTTCTTTAGGAATGTGGTCATAATTTAGAATATTTGTTTGAAGAATTTGTTTCCATATCATAAAGTGTTAATGTTTATTAAGTTAGTTACTAGAGAATATACTTGCACTGAGATAGTCAATCTGATTTCTGAGCATTCTCTCTGCAGACAGAATTGGAGATTGCAGATTCTCAAATTCAGGAAACACGTAAGTTCATGCTGTTTCTTTTAAAACATACATACATACATACATACATACATACATACAGACATACATACAACACACACACACACACACACACACATACATACATACATATATATCTGTGTGTGTGTGTGTGTATGTGCATATTAATCTTGCTAACAATACCTTGTCGTGCAGATCATACAAAAACTATTCGTGTGAAACTCCAGTTGCAGAAGGAGTGCTCGTTCGGGCAGGAGTTCCTCATTGTAGGGGATGATCCTATGTTCGGTTTGTGGGATCCTGCAAGCGCAATACCTATGAACTGGTCAGATGGGAATGTGTGGACTGTTGAGCTGGTGAGTGAAACCTACTAAAAAGTGTAATTTTTTTTTTTTTGGTCAAGTATGGGCCGAATTTGTGGTTTAATGTAATGCCTTTGTGTTTGATTAGGATATACCGGTTGGGAAATCAATTCAGTTCAAGTTCATACTAAAAGAACACACAGGGAATATCTCATGGCAGCCTGGCCCTGATCGGATTTTCCAGACCTGGGAAACTAAGAACAGGATCACTGTTTCCGAAGATTGGGCAGATGCTGAGCTTCAGAAAATAATAGAGGAAGATCGGGTTTCAAATCAGAGCGATGGTTCAAATGTTAACGCAGATATGTTGATTATGGATGAGAACCTGACACAGCCGAATGGTGAACTGGCCTTCAATACAACCAATAAACCTAAAATCACCAATAGTAACACTGATTTGGCAGAGAAACCATCAGTAGAACCAAGGAAGGAACAAATTGGTGCTGATAATGGTTCTCCTTCTCAAGAGAATGTGAACCCTAAATGGCCAAAGGCATATGTGGAATCATACAAGGAACGAGTTGCCGCAAGAACTGCAGTGCTTAATGAAGAGAGAGTTATTTTTCCAAGCGAGGATTCTGCAGCCATCTCAAGTAAGTTGTTGGTGGCAGACAACATCTTCGGAAATAATGGTAGAGCTGCAACAGTAATGAACCTTTCGAGCACTCATGTCGAGGGAAGCCTAGTTAACCACAAAGAAGGTCCTGTTCTGGTACCTGGGCTGACTCTTTCACCAGCTGTTCCAAATGAAGAAGCGAACAAAGAGGGGATCGAGAAACAGATGTCTTTTGATGGCTCCGTTGGAGCATTTGAAGCTAAGGATCGTAATATGCCAGAGGTAACTGCTTGATGAGAATGAAGTATCTTTTATCTTTTGCTGTTTCTTCTTGGACTGCATTTACCTCAGCCTGAAATAACATCCATTCCATTTCCATAAGACCGCGAGTTGTCCAGGGCTATAGGAGAGATTCTATACTACTAGGTAGTTTTTGGTTTCATCTTGTATGTTGTTGGAATCTATGTTTTCGATGAAGAGAAGTTCAAGATGATGATGTATCGCTAGGCAATTATTTAATTTCATCAAAATTGAGCAATCATCTATAAATTCGCATGAAGAAACTGTTCATGTATTTTCGTTACAATCATTAACCAACAAAGCTGACCATCTTCGATTCTTCGCATAATATCATTGCAGTGTAATAAACGTTGTATGCTACAATACAAATCCGTAGCCATGTATTCTCCTATTGCAAATCGAAACTGCGCTGTCTGATTCAAACTGAAACTATTAACACTCGCAATATGACAACGAATTCTCTATCAAGCATTTCGTTTATATCTTTTGTTTATGCTGCCAATTTATGAGCATTTAGAGGAACCCTGTTCCTGAAAAATGTGAGAGTTCATGATGAATGATTTTTCGTTGCTATGCATAAGGTGATGCATTGTTGTCGAACATCAGTATTTGATTTAGATGTTCTTGGCCCTTGATAATGTTGTTATTGATGTCCTCCTTTCTGCTATCTTTTCATGTACTCAAACTAATGGATTCAGTTAGACGAGAAGCAAGAACCATACAGTGACCTACCTGAAGCAGAAACAAGTGTAATGACCAATGGTGATGAGGAGAATTTTGACGATGAACAATTCCACTCGGAGCCAGTCAATGATAGTGTCTTGTGCAACGGCCAACCTCAAGTGGAAACAGTTTCCGCGATCAGTGACAGAGAGAATTCTGCTAAGTGGCGAGGACAGTCCGACTCAGAGCCAATCAACGAGGTCTTGCACAATGATATGCAATGGGGTCGTAGAATGCTGCAAAGCCTTCTGTCTGACTTCAGATTGCTTTGGTATCGACTTTTCCGGAAACCTGGGTAGAGAATTTCCGGCATTCACGTCAGCCTGCTGTTACTCTCCGGCTTTGTTGCTGAAGTTTTGTGGTAGCCTGCAAAGAGGAGAGAGAGGCAATCTTGTAAACAACGGTTATATGTAGATATGATGTATGAGTGCTCAGGCTTTTGTATTCTTTTAGTTTGTCATATAACTGTGGCATGATATGTGCGAGAGGAAAATTTGTACCAAATACGAAGTTTTGTGAGGATTTGGTTGCTTTTTTCTTGTACTGTCATAAAATGTAGTTTTGGTCGAAGTCGAAAATACTTGACTCCGTCTTTTGGATGTAAAATAAACGCCTTCTTTTTGTGTTTTTGATGAGTTATGTTTTCATGTGTCGAGCTATTATATGCCGATACGAAGAATGCGAAGGAGCTATTATTTGATGAGTTATGTTTTCAGCGTGCGCGGCTGAAATTTCTGTTGTGCATAGCTCTTCGGGTTAGGACAAGTAACGGCGTAATTAGGAAACCAGTTAGCGATGAATTGTGTCGAGTCTCGGGAGAGTTGGATTCCCTCCATTGTAACCGAAACGGAAATTATGCTGTGCAGGAAAAATGCAGCTTGAAATTCTGAGTCCAAGAAGGTATCAAAGAAGTTGCTTGCCGATGCTACCAGCTAACATGTAGCTGGAGAACAAACTGGACTGACCGAGATCCATGTTAGTTATCAACAAGCACATAAGAGTATGGAATTGGATGCTCTTCAAAGTTTCGGGTGCAAGAGTAAATGCTCTTAACTGACCGAATTAGAAGCCCTTGCGAGGTCAGCCTATCCCTAAATGTTAGTGCGCTTGACTACTGAGATTTACAGCAAGATTTAATTATCTGAGATTCCGAAGCAAAATTTAAATCTTGTTTTAATTTACAGGATTTGATTCTTCCCATAGATCATGAAGCAAGAACATATAGTGGACATCAAAATTTACCATTTCCAACATATTTTCCAGAGAAATGATTTCCGCATACTTCTTCCCACTATTGTTTATTTTTAGTAATCAAAAGATAATCGAATGATTCACATAAACACAAGTATGCAAAAATCAGTCTAGTCTATCTGTATCGAATTCATATGACTAGGGTACGAAGATGTGAAAAAGAATTGAAAAGGAACCAACACAATGTAATTACTTATGGACTTTGACGGGATAATACAATTATTGTGTTTTGCGAACAAGATGGGTCTTAAATTTCAGGTTCCATGCTGCAATCTTATGATCAGTAAAATCTACGTAAAAATTTTCAAGGGGAAAAATGTGAACTATACTCAGAGATGCAATCCCCAACCTCAATATGTAAGCAGGAAAAGATGGGGCAAGATGAAAAAAAAAACACACACACACAGAATTTGCCCAGCTTTCCACCAACAAAATTTACACATACCCGCGTTGGCAATATTGAAACTGGCTCTCCGAAAGGGGTAAATATATTCCGAATTGTACAAGATGCCCAAGTCATGTGCCTTGAAAAGCCAGTCTTTCTACTTTCACTTCCTTGTTCCATTAGTTTTCACAAAGCTTCGGAGGTTGGGGAGAGATGCAGCCACCTGGACCTCGCCGAGAGGAAGAATGCGCTAGCAGGAGCCAAGATTGAAATGACTCGTGTCAATGTTTGTCTGTAACCCCATTCTTCTGCTGCCGAGAAAATGATAAACTTCGTGAACCATTCAATATGTCTTCCTTGGGTCGTTTTGCAACCGACTCTATCAATCTGCAAAAAGATAGTAACTAAAATGAAAAATTTAGGAAACACCGACATTCGTGAAATAGTAAACATTGAACTCAAAAATCTTTCGGAGCCTTTTATTGTATATCCCAGGCAGCGTCTGACCATCATCTTGAACTACTTGTCAATCTTACAGATATACATTTGCGCTTAGGCTAGGAGTTCGTTCTATTTGACCTCTGGCCTAGCAACACCAAGCGAAAAAAAAACCCTCAAGAAATGCCTAAATGAACCATAAAGACATCTAATATCCAAGCAGAAACACAAAAGAAGCCATAAATCAACATAAAGTATGACTTGGCCATGTTATATCCAACCAAGAACCCTTCAGGCTTCCAGAATTAGCCCAGCAAATAACAAAGATTCGGTTTCAGATATGTCTCAGATCAAACAGGGTGAAAATAAGTGTTGTGTTACCTTGGGGAACTGGCACGCTTTAGAACTTGCTGACTCACCGTAAAAGTACTCCCAGGTTCAACTTCAGCAGCCTGTATATTTGGCATTGAACACACGGGCATTAATCAGGAAATTCAACGCAAAAGTCAAAAAGATTACACGCTAGATGGAGGTCTCCTGTTTCCAGTTAAAGGAAGATAGTAATTTTGGGTTCAGAAGCTTCCCTCTCACAGGAGATAAATGGAAATGGTTTCACCACATGCACAAGTTAGATCCAGCACAAATATTGGGAAGAAAAATGAAATCTGTGAGAAGTTTAAAACAAGTCTATGAGAAGTTTAAAATTCAAGTAGAAGCCATACAGTGGGGTGGTCATGGTGATGAGGATATCTAAAAACCTATCGACTGAGGTACGAATAATTGCTATTCATTCAAACCAAAAAGAGAAAAGAACAGAGGTAAATCAAGCACATGGGAATACTTGGATAACGGGTAGAAATGAGGGACTGACGACCAAGCCCGTACCTTTCAAAACAGGAATTAATGGAGCCAATAAAGCAGCAGTAGCAAACATTGAAGCCAGCTCATTCCGCTTACAGTGTTTTAGCCATCACATCTTCGTGAGATGCAAAATTCAAATTAGGAGTGGTTCTCCTTTCAGTGTCTTGCCCACATACCCTTTATCCAAGCATCACCTATGTTTTTGAACATAGAAAATCAAATCAACTAATGAAAGCATCATTAATTATCCCCACCTCTGAAGTTCTTTCTTTAGGCAATCCATCCCTTAGCAGCTCAGCCGATCTTGGACCAACCATGTCCAATAGAAATCCGTTTTCATTTCCTTTATTTAAATCTCTGTCCACAGCACCAGAACGAGGTGCAAGATATGCTACATATTTATCTGCCATCCGACACACAAAATACATTCAGCACACAAACAAAAATACCACAGAAAACTGCAAGGAAAAAAAGTGGTTAAATAATAAAGTTACCAGCCAAGCTGTGAAGGGCATTCTCAGCAGCCTGTTGTTGAGCATCCTTCCTCGTCCTACCCATTCCAAAACCTATCTTCTCTCCAGTGAAAAGAACCTTTAAAAACGAAATTAACAATGAGCACATTAGAGTCCAAATTTGATACAAGATAGCTCCTCAAAACAAAAATAAAATACAAATGCAAAATGTATAAACAAACAAATTAAGAAAGGAGCTTTAAATTTTTTTCCAAATTTGCTCTTAAAAAAAGACATTTTCTCCGGGCTGGGTATTATTGATTTGTTCTGCTAAAGAAAGATTAATGACAAATCAGGGTCAGCTTATATTTGGAAAACAGCACTCCTTAAGACAACATTTCAAATAAAACATCTATTGGGTATAATTAAGTCATTTCACAACAACTTCATACGTATAAGGCATAAAATTTACACAGAACAACAGCTGTGATGTCAATAAGCAATAAAACTACCAAAGTACAAAGGGAAAGAAGGGAAGTTCACTGACCTCAACAGAAAACTGCAAGTCATTGCTGGTGCTTAAAACAGACCTGAACTCAATCTGAGCAATGGGCATATCATGGATAACTCCATTAGGAAAAATTAAAAAGATAAGAAAGAAAGGAGGGCATGGGGCGCCACAACGGGAGCATAAAACTAAAGCTATTCATACCTTTGAACTGCACCTCCGTCCAATTTCCTGCAGCACTCCAATAGATAAAGGGGATGGTACCAGGTTCACTTTACCAGATTCTGTTTGAGATTCTATATTCAAAGAAGATGCCTGAATCTGGGATACACCAGCCTCTGCACCAAAAAACCAAATCACTCCTCAAAAATACCATATACTATTAATTCTAATAGAAGATTATAACTTATCTCATGAACATTTTGAACAAAAACCATACAAGGACGAAATGATAATCCCATTCCTATCCTTCCAAGTTGTGGGGTTAACACGCTACAAGTTAATAAAATTAAAACGAAGGAGAAAAAGATAAAGACAAGGGGAAAGGCTCAGTAGGCACAAAGCAGAATGATGTTAAACCATACTAAGTTGGAAAGACTATTGGACTATTGGAAAAGACTATTGGAAAGACTATTGGACTCTCCAGTTCTTTTTAATATCTCAAAAAAAATTCCTCATTTAAACTTAAAAAGTAGAATGATGTTAGGCAGCAAGTATTTTATAAAAGAAACCTTTCAAACTACTTGAGAGGATAAGGACAACTCAAAAGGGAACTTAAAAATCAAGGTTAAAGGTAATTTGAAAATTAATGGATAATAAGTAAAATATCTATTTTTAAGATTTTCTGAGCTCCAAGGAACATCGATGTCTCCCTTATATGTTTAAGATTCATGGAATGACCAAAATGATTTACGAACAAACTAAGGGACCACTTCTATCGATTTTCGTTGTTAGGGACCAAAGTGAGGAGTTATGCCAATCTTAGGAACCATTTTGTGTAAAAATCCTAAATTAAATTACCTGATGGCTGACTTGGCACAGGAAGATTTTGCAAATCACACCCAGACGATATCTGCAAATAGAGAAAGTTTTGGTCACTGAGACATTTCTGGAGTTCTTATGGTAACACCTTAATTCAAATTGTCAAAACAAGTCTCTTAAAGAAATTTTAACAAATTCTGACCATACCTCTTCCCTCTTCAAATCTGATTTGTGTGAGAGCAAACCAGTGGGTGTCGAACCTGGTGTAGCAGGACCGAAAGGATTCTGGTAAACTGGCTTTTCAGGTTTTGAAACATCAGGCTGCTGAACAAGCCCAGAAGGGCGATTACTCAGATGTCCTCTATTGTTGTCGTCATCATCAACCAACCATCCTCCTTGTGCATTTATTGAGGATACTGGCAGTTGTACAGGCACTCTAGATAGAAGCGGGGGCTCAGCATAGCTTTGACTCCTTATATCTAGACCAGGAGTTGTACCAAGGAGTCCTCTCCTCATTTCATGGTCACGATCAGAAAAGCTATCTCGTCTAACAGGAAGTCCAAGCAGACCAGGTTTCTGAGAAGGCAAGACCAGCCTCAAAGATGTACTGGCAGCATTGGGAAGAATTGCAGCCGGTGCTTGAGAGTTGTCAGATCTTGACTCGGCATTTTTCACAGGTTGAACCACTGACTCCACGCTACCCTTATCATCACATGGGTTCAATTTTCGTTCCACTTCGCTACCATTCATTCCTTCACCAATGGTAGCATTAGCATTTCCATTTGGTGCAAAACCAGTATCCTCAGACATCAAGTAATTGCTCACATCAGGAGCAGGAGGCAAATTTACCACCTCATCTTCATAAAAAACTCCAGAAATTCTTCGCAACAAAATTTCATCAAACTCTTTGAAAAAACAACCTCTGACATTGCATGCAACATTTCTTGCTATACAGAGGACTGGAACTGCACTAGCTGTCTCTGCTTGAGGAGCATAATAAGGGGTGAATGCTGGAACAACATGGACTCGAGGTTGATCCTTATCTTCCCAGACCTTGGAACGGTCATCAATAACCATTGCCATCTTTGGATGGCACACTCCTTGTTGGAAGACATTGAGTAAAGATTTCCTGGAGCCTGATTTAACACAAACAACACGGTCCAGAAGCTGCTTTGAGCCTATTAAGTGTGACCCTGGGTCAAGAAGCCTCCACATTTCTAAGGCATAATCTCTTTCAGCCATAGTACAGACGTAAACTTCAAACCTCTTGCGTCCTTTTGCAGTTAAATAACTTCTCAAATCTTCCCATGCAGGTCGTAACCGCACAAGCACACTGGTATCGCGATTCTGCATTAAACAACAACATTGTATTGTAGTCCTCTGCACATTTGTATGAGAATATGTAGCGACTATAATGAGATTAACTACATATCACTCATTCGACTTTTTTGTAAGAGGACAGATGTTTTACTATATAAGTTCTGACAGCTTCCTGACTAATCAAACCGCCACATGAATTTTGGAAAATTTAAGGGGTAAATATCGGACAGAACGGGTGCATGTATCAATGGATAAAAAAGTTAACAACCATACAAAGGTCTAGCTAAACGAAAAAAAATCTAAAACTGATTTGCAAACAACATTCGCCTACGCTCTTAGCATGCAGCCAAATTTTGTCTGCCTAAAGGACACACTACGTAGTTTTCATAACTTTTGCATTAGGATGGTGTTGTTCTCAAGTCCTAGGAATGAGAGATATTGCAACGTATTGTCTCAATCCGCTCATTCATTATCTCTAAACGAAGGCATTTAGCGCGCTTCCCAATCCACCAGGCCAAACATATAAAACAAAAGGACACAACCACATAAAACATACAGAAACAAACATGACTAGAGGATCACCTCGGGATTGATGCGAGTGAGCACAATGTTCTTCTCTGGCAATCTAATGATAGGCCGAACAATTTTCTCGTGGTTATCAGACAGTGGAGGAACCTCCTCCAGTTGTACCTTATACAACTTTCCGTTATCCGTCACGAAATCATTATCTATGTACTGCTTCAACAGCCCTCTATCGTCCATGTACCGCTTCATTTCAGCAGACATTCCGGCTATTCGAACCCCATCACTCTCGCGTGTAACCCAGCTTCGTAAAGTCTCAACTCTATCCTCAAAAGACTTCATGGTGTTGGCAACAATCAACGTCTCATCGAGATCAAACACAATTGAAAGAACCCTCAGATTCAGCATTCCTAGAGAAGCACTGTACAGACCTAGAGGAACTGCATAGCACCAAAAGCACGGAAATTTCTTCTGCTTACTCGGCATGGCTACCAAGTGAATCTCCTCCTCCCCAACCAACACAGTCGCCGTCTGCGTAACACAATTAATCACCGCATTAGTACACTCCGCTTGATTAACTCGAAAATAAAAACAAAATCTGGATCACATTCTTCTTTTAATCAAGATACTAACTGAGCTAACTTTACTAGGTCAGTTTATCCAATCAAATTACATCCAAAAGCTTCAGATTAAACTTCTACGCTGCTGGTACATTTTCTAGGGAACCAAACAAAAAGCTCAATCTAACAAAACCAACATAAACAAAAGCGAAATTCGGAAAATGGAAGCGATTGAGTGGGGACCTTGAACTCATAGAAACAGGAGGCGTGGAGATTGATTAAATGCGGCTGTTCGACAGGGGAGGACGATTCGAGTTTGCATCGAACCGAAAACGAAGAAATCGTCTGGAGAATCGAGAGGGGAGGACACCTCTCGCTTTGCTGCGAAATCCGGTGGATTCGAATCTCATTGTTTGGGAACTGGAAACTCCCCTCCGTCACCGGAATAGCGTCCAGCTCCCCCAAACACAGCTCGCCATGGTAGACCACGGACTTAAACCCTAAACGGCTCATTAATTTAGATCAAATCCGAGAACGAAAGCGCGAAAATTTGAGACCAATTCGTAATTGTTGAAAAGATCAGGGGGTTTTCTGTGAAAAATTTGGGAGTAATTCTCCAGTTTCGCTCTCTGCTCCCCTCTCTCACTACTCTCAGACCTCTCTCTCTCTCTCTCTCTAACTTTCTCTCTCCATCTCCCTCTCTCTGCCTACGGTTTCAAACAATGAGACTCGCCGGGTATTTATACGCCCAAGGGGGCAGTTATGTGTCCAAATTACCATTATATCCATTCAGTTCGGCCCCATTGCCGTGCGTGTCATGCCCTTGGCGGGTAGACGAGAACATAATTTGTACGCGTGTCGTATGGAGGAGTCCCTTGATTTTGAATGTACGGATCTGGACCGTTGGATTGTGGGTCGGATTTAGGACTTTCTCGAATCTTTCAGCCCAAGAGGCATCAAGATTTGGCCACCGAAATACAAAGGTAAAGGTCTTTATTATTGCGAAAGTAAAATGAGATTATTCAATAGCCATCACGAATTTCATTACTTTTCTTTCGTTCCGTCCAAAATTAGAAAAAAAGAATATCGAATAATTGATTCATCATTGAGAGGTTTAACTCTAAAAAGACGAATATTTTGATGTTTTAACAGCAACAGTTCAAACAAGAATATTTTCTTTTTCGTGTATCGTGAAAAGTACGATATTTTTTTTTTTAATTCATACAGTTAATTTGATTTTTGTCAGCTAATTAATGGAAACCAGGCTGAATTTTGTTATTACTTACATGAAATTTCAATTTGAAAATATATTTTATACATATATATATATATATATATCTATTAATTAATAAAACTCTCTTTGTCAACCAAAAGATGATGAAAAAACAACTTAGTTTTCTATCGCACAAAAAAAAATTGATGGGCAATAATGTAATTTCACAAGTCCAAATTTTACTGGTTTTTATTAAAACCTCACCTACATATGATGTTAAAATATTTCTAATATTAAAAAAATAAAAAATAAACCAAAAACAAAAACCTCTCACTCCCCTCACGTTCTCTCTCTCTCCCTCTCTCCTTATTTTCTAAAAAAACGTGTTTATACACATAAAGTGTGTAAGAAAATGCTAGTATATTTAATTATAAGACCAACCTTAATGGTTGAGTTAAAATTCAAAATTTAAGTTTTAAACTCGTCCAAAATTTCTCCAATCATTAGGCTATAAAAATGATTTGGATTAAGACTTATTTTGGGACAATTTTAACCGAGAAAACAGACTAAGATTCATGGTTGAAACCCACTTGATGAGCCACGTACAAAAGGGGCTTTTATCAAAAAGCTCATGGTACTGTTCATTTTAACGAAAAACCATATTTTTACATTAAAAAGTCAATTCTGGTATTATTCACCTTACCATTTATTTTGTCTTTATTATTAAAATTCAAAATTTTTAAACACTTTTTATTAGTTTTTCTCTTGCAAAAAAAAGCATGAACTGATTTTTTTTTTGTTTTTTCTTTTCTATCGGAGGGGCCACATAGGATGAGCTGAAACAGGAAAAGTTGTATTTATAATGTTTTGGTATATAATTGCCCAGGAATAAACGTCGCGGTCATAAAGAATGTTAATAAGCTGGGAGAGATCCATTGGACTCTATTTAAATTGGGGGACTGTAAACACGGGCCTCTAGAGATACTTGGCCCTCAAAATCCAATTAGAAGTCTCAAATAGGATTTGACAACTCAATTTATCGTATGTCTCTTCCTGTTCTCAGAATGTAGATAGTAGTGACGAAACTATTAGCTGATCTCTATTTTTTAATAATAAAAAAAAAAGATTTCCAAAAAAATTTACTTCATAAATAAAAGGTTGCTACTTGTTAGGTTAATTGCATGACCACACATATACAGGATTCCTCGGATTTATTCCTCTCCTAATTTTAATTTTTTTCTCAAAAAAAATCATATACGGATTGCTTGAAATTGCTTTTAAAATAAGTGAAATTGTTTTTTGCAAAAAATATTTCTGAAACCAATCTTTAGTAAGTGAATTTTGAAAAAGCACTTGATGTACTTCCGACAATAAGCACATAACTGATGTTTCTTGTAGGAAGAACTTTAAGTGCTTTTGGAATTCAGAAATTTTTTCTTAAAAACGATTGCAGTAATTTCAAAAACACTTCCAAACGAAATCTACATGAAAAACTCCAAACAAATACGATAATAGCATCCATAAATGGAAAGACTTGCCAACAAAAATATCCATTTACCTTCTAAATCCATCGACCTGAAGGAGATTGGTTTGAAATGAAGCTTTTCAAGGTTGGTGCTTCACTTTTTGTGGTCAAGGAATTTGTGCGTTACTTGCATAGGCATATTACCAGATACACAGTCGCACATTAAAGAAAAGCCGATCCCAAGCCAGCTTCTCACTTTGCGAGAATCAGAGAAAACGTCTATCAAACTCGAACGCATCCTTATGACAGAAATAATAATACGACCAACCCTAAAAAAAAGATCTAATAGCAGGTATGCATCTTACAACATAGCCTATCCTAACACAGTTAATCCCCATATATACGATAAATCCATTACTCGAACAGATGGTCAACGAGGTGGAAGATAGAACAAATAAAAGAATGGGGTCTAGCAGAAAATTAAAAGAAAAACTAATGAAAATGACTTGAAAATTTTGAATTTCAATGATAAGGACAAAATAAAAGGTAAAGTGAATAGTACCATATTTGATTTTTTTAGTGTAAAAATATGATTTTTCGTTAAAGTGAACAGTACCGCAGACTTTTCGTTAAAACTCCCTAAATTAAAGACATACAACACTTGAAACTACATTCTTCCCATTCTAGCTTGCTATCAAGATTCAAATCCCTAACACACTTCCCCACAGAAAGAAAATGAAACTTGGACAGAACCATTTGGCATGGTATAGAGGCACAACACAACGAGTTAATTTAAAGTCTTAGACAGTTAAACATAATAAGCCTAAAGCACAGAACCAAGCTCCAAAATCCAGCATAACCCTAACACGTTATCTCCTAAAACCCTAATCCTAAAGCACGGAACCAAGCTCCAAAATCCAGCATAATTAACCCACTAAGCAAAAAGAAGCAAAAGGACAAAGAACCAAAAATTAAAGTCAAGAACTTTCTCATCTGTAAAATGACATTGAAAAAACAAAAGCTGGGAACTTTGAAAAAAAACAAAAGCTGTAAAAGAAACAGTCGTTTCATCGATGTTGTCAATAAGCAAAAATGAACTTATTCTCACAGCACATCAAAAACAGTTTTTTTTTAAAGCACAGCAATATCAAACCAGCCATATGACTGTTTATGATGGCTGACATTGTTTTTCTTGGGTTTAATCTCTTACCCAAACGGCAAGGGAAGGGACAGATTAGGCAAAATTAAACTGAGGGTTTTGGTGGAGAGGGACTTAATGGGAGTGATCACATTCGTAAGTCAAATTTGATTGATCTGGGCATTCTCCTCCATAATTCTTTAGGCATTTTCTGGTACTGGTAGGTAGTCAGTCACACAGAAACGGCTCGAGTTTCAAACTCACCAAAACCAAGTTTTGTACAAAAGAAAATATATCATAGTTGATTTTTTCTTGCTAGGATGGAAAATCCTTCTTTCTTGACGCATGAGAGATTTTTGGGTTAACATGTGGACGTTATCAACCCAACTGGTTAATTTTTAACGTGTTTATGTTTAAAGTAAACACGCAAAATTGTTATTATCTAATATAAATAGGATCTCGTAGTACGAGTTTTCCGTCTGAACTTTTGAAGCAAAAGGAAAAGATTTAAGTTTGAATGTTTTCTTCCTCTTTTGCTAAATTTTTACTTTACGACAGAGTGGGTTCAATGAGGAAGTTTTAGTAAAACATGGGAGAGAGCCGTTGTTATTTGCCAGTGTCCAGTGGGTGAAGAACGGGCAGAATAGTTATATTATGTTGATAATTGACAGGGACATCTATTTATTCATGTGGAACGTACTTGAACGTTTGTTCGATTGTCGAACGTTTGTATTTTTGTCTCTCTCTAGTTTTCAATTGCTTTACCTTTATCAACATTCCCTTCACTTCAAACACCCCTTATTTACTGTCCAACATAATTAAGTAAGCGGAAGTGATTTCCGCACTCATTTTTCTCTCCTGCATTCCTCCCCTTTTCTTAGGATTTGGATTGAATAAGTCATAAGAGAATCAAGAGCCAGAAAAAAGGAGACAAGTGCAAAAGGAGAAAATAGGAATGTGAAATTCACTACCTTCGGCAACTCGACGTGGAATGTTCTAATATGACAACAATATGAAGAATGAAACCTTAATAATTTCAAGTTTCGTAGTTTGAAGTGAACAGAAAAATGTAAATGCCGAAGGAGGTCTTCAGCTTCCAATCATCAAAATATAATACAAACAATCAAGTCTACAGAGAATATGGTTCATTGGATGCACCTGATATTTGTTCCGCCAGCAATGTGAGGACCGATATTCAGAACAGACATGCACTCACAAGCTTTCTCTAACATTTACAGTATTATCGTGCCTTCTACCATCAGCTCCTTCAGGACTGAGTTGTCGCTTAATTATCACGCTGAGTAGGCCAACCCCATGTCAAATAATAGTGTTGAGAGAATGACGAGGATGGATGCAAAACCAATAATCCGGGGTTGATGGTCACATGGGGTGGTCACCTACCTCGATGGCTTGCAGGAGAGGAATTTCCTCTCTCACTTCCAAGATCAATATCTTCAACTTCACACCCCTCTAAACTAACAGGAATGTTGTTGACACTTGGTTCGGAGCTAGCATTGCTGCATGTAGCAAGAGGAGAGTCCATAGCACCAATTGTATTGCTTTTTGTTGGTTTCGTTCTGACGCTATACCCACAGGAGGCTGGAACATTTGTCAGAACTGGCCGTAGATTGCCTGCCATGCTTCGCTTTATATCCTGCATAAGAAAATTCAAAAATTAAGTTAAAAACTACTTCTTACAACGAGTGCTTTGCTAGTGACGCGGATGATTATGTATCACACCAGGCATAATTTGGATAGTACTAAGTGGGTTGCAAGATCTGAATGCAGAACATTATGCATTAAGTGAAACAAAGTGCACTTCAACAACGAAAGTGATACATACCATGTGCCTCATAGCCATATCAAAGGACTTTTTAGAAAGATTTCTTCCAAAGCCTGAGCTTTCAGAGGATGAAGGCTTCCCAGCAGAACCCTTAAGAGTATTGTAATGGTCATATTGCTTAGGTGGTGCCAATCTCCTCGAGTTTACTACTCTCTCAACCATTTGTGTTCCCATAAGTACAGGGTTCACATCATCATTGTCATGGGCAGATGCTCTGCTTATGACTCGATGAGAGTTCCCACTGGTGGCGGTACTAAGATTTGAAGCCCGTGCTCTAGAAGGTGAACACGATTGCTGTCTTGGTTTTCCGTTGCAACCAGCCACAACAGAAGATGTTTTAACACTTGGCGCTCCAGGCCTATCCCTAGAGGCTGAAGCCGGCCTTTGTGGCAATGATGTTCTTAAATTTGGCGGAGCATCATGTGAAAACCCAGGAATCTTAGAGGATTTTGAGGGCCTTGGTTTTACTGTTGGAGAACTTCCACATGATGAAACAGGAGTTTTTGAACTTGTGGGACGTAACTTTGATGCTGAAGAAGATCGACCAGGAGGGGCAGATATGGCAGATGCACTTGATGAACTTAGTTGACGGGTTGGTGTTGCTGATCTTGATGTTGACTTGGAAGTTGGTGCAGAAGGTCTGCTAGTTGGTGTAGAAGAGCGAGGGGTGGACCGAGAAGGAGTTGAAGATCTCACTGGAGGAGCCGCAAGCTTTGCGGATGATGAGGTGGCTCGTGAATTTGGGGTGGAGGATCGTGAGGGTTTGGTTGATGAAGGTAATGTGGACCGCCCAGTTGGTATTGTGGACCGTCCAGTTGGAGTTGTAGACCTACGACTAGCAGCTCCTGACCCTCTGGGTGTTGAGGGCCTTCTGTTACCAGTACTGGAAGAGTTCGGTCCAGACGGCAATGTTGGCTGCTTAGATGTTATATTGTTCCTTGAAGCAGATTCTATCTGGTTGTTTGCTAGCTGAAAGTCCCAAGTTATGGTAAACATAACAGCATAAATTTGCAAATCATGACTTCATAAGTAAAACGAAATGTCCCAAAACAAACAATAAAACACCATGTGCAGTCATAAGTTTGTAAATCGTAAGGAAGACTAAAACTATGGGAAGATTCAAGTCCAACATTACTATGACACACATACATCTCATAGAATCTACGATCAACGAGCCAAATGTACAAATGCTGCACATACATTTCATAGAATTAACAACAATGAGTCAAATATACGAATGCAGCACATACATCTCATAGAATTGAATGCTTATATGTATCTAGAAATCATTTTAACGAGTCCTTACCCGAGATTTTGGAGCGGATACACGGTCATTAGTAACCTCAGTCTGATTCGTTCTTGTTTTCTGCACTTCCATATCCAAGGACGGAAAAAGTGGAGTAGCCGGTGGAGTAAGAAGCCTGTACATAGAAAAAGATCACCGATAAACGATAGCAGAACAACTCCGGAGTCCAGACCAAAGCATAGAGATTAGAGTGAGAACTATAACTATAAGTCTACAAAATTGAACAAGAATTTCTACGTGAAGGCTCAAATCAATTTTTCTTGAAAACAACCCTTAGAAACAGAACAGCCCCCGATTTTTGGGACCAGCAGAATGTTTTGGGAATCAGATCCCATCTCATTAGTCCTAGGATCAATTAGCAATTATCTTCATCAATTCAACAAGTTACCATAATCGGAGGCTTGAACTTTGACTAGTCCTAGGAAAATTTAATCCCACCAAAAAATAAGCATAAAATCAAAGACTTAAACTTTGACACTAATTTACTCACCAATCGTAATCAGACTTCTCATTCTCCGAATTCAAAAACTCATCCACCCGGCTCTTCCGCGGCGGCGCCCCAACAGTCCTAGAAACCGCCGCGCCTCCGCGGTTATCAGATTCTGCACAAACAAACGCAAACACCATCAAAACCAACAGACAAAGACCGAAACTTTAAACCACCAACAAGAAACGCAAAAGGCCGTCGTACCTGGAGGAGCAGCTGCGGCAATAGCGTCGAGCTCATCGACGTTCTTGCTTGGAGGAAGAAGAAGAAAGCCGGTACTTTTCTCCTTGTCGCGCCTCCGCATCTCGAGAAACAAAGCGAGCTCTTCGTCTCTGTCGTTCGCGTTCACCACCTTCCCGAAGCTCCGTTCTCGCGCCCTCGACTCCAATGTAACTTCCATGGTTGTCTCTGCAGCTCAGCAAACACAGAGGCAGCTGCGAGGAGAGAGAGAGGGAGGAGCGGAGTTTTTTGGTAGCGGAAATTTTCAGGTGCTGTTTTTTCTTGGCAGTTCTCTCTCCCCTCTCTCTGTTTTGCAAGCATTCAGAAATTTGAATACGAAAACGAAGCGTTGGGAAATTAATATTTTATTTATGGGCTAAGAGGTGGCGATAATTACGACTCTGTCTGTTTTGCAAGCATTCAGAAATTTGAATACGAAAACGAAGCATTGGGAAATTAATATTTTATTTATGGGCTAAGAGGTGGCGATAATTACGACTCTGCCATTGCATTTGTTCTTGCGAGACGTGGCCTAAGTCATCTTCCTCATCAACTGTAGACATGTGAAGATAAAGCTGGACGTACATGTATGCGTGATGCATGTGAACTATGAAGTTTCATGGAAAGTTTGGGACTTGGAACACAATCGATTTTTGGTTTAGTAAAAACTTAGAACTTCTTCGATAAGATTCTGCAGGAGAAGATTGAGATTTGAACACTTGACTTCAAGTGCAGAGTAAACGTTATTAATTACTTTAAATATAAGTATCTTATCTAGAATGGTAATCAAAGTTTAGCATCTTAGAAGCTCTTGGGATTGGATTAAAAGACGAGAGAGAAATAAGTTTCTGGTTCACTTCCCTCCAAATATATCAAAAACAAAAGCGTAGCTTGTTAGATTGTTAAATTTCAGTATGTCACAAGGAAAATCTCTTAATAAGATTTTTATATTGCTTGTAAGTAGACTATTAGTTTTAGTATGTTGCAAAATATGTTCAAGATTGTGAATACATATTACATTTGATCACTCTAATTACATAAAATGTGTTGTTGAGAGATGTCACAGTCTGACAACATAATATGTTAAACTGTGTGATACATAAAATGTGTTGTTGAGAGATGTCACAGTCTGACAACATAATATGTTAAACTGTGTGATAAAAGAATACTTTGCTCTTTTGTCATGTTTGCATGTGAACATGTCAACTATGACCTCAACTACATCGAGATTTTGTGGTCAGACGTAAGATAAAAACAATCGAAACTCGTCAACCAATGGATAACCCCTATAACTATGACGATCAACGAATTGTTTTTTTTTTTTTTTTATAATAATAACTCCTTACACTTGCGTTAATAATACACTTTCCAAACTAATCAAAAATAGAAACTTAACTTAAAATACTTGATTACTTGCAATACAAGAAATCTTATAATTAATAGGTCACCTCCTCAATTCCGAAAAATACTATTCTACCCCCCATCTTCTATGAAGTTGCTTGAATGTACAAGTACAAGAAGCTCCAGAACCATTCAAAGATGATCATATTTCAAGCAAATGACGAAATCAGTGACAATTTCGTAATTAAGTGCTCAGGCAAACCCATTTTCCAAACGAGATATAAAATTCGGGAGTAACATTCCCATTACGTAATGGCACATGGTGGAAGCCGCGAGCCTTTGACTGACGACATGTCGTATTAAAACGCCGAGGAATTTAATTCGAACTTTCTTGTTCAAAAGATGCTCGGATTTAAACGTGGGTTGTTGGATTCCTTTCCTCGAGATGACCTACTCCACATCGGACGGCTGTTGTTGGTTGGCAGAATTATAAGGAGCTTGTGTTCGTGGGTCCCACCTCGAGAATCGTGTGGTTTAAATTTTGATATGTCTCAACAATAAAAAAATTTCAGTCATTAAATATCATAATACAAAAGGTTTGATACTTTAAAAAAAAAAATTTCAATCCCTTATATTAAAATATTTTGTTGACCGGATCATATTTGTAGCATACTAATAATTGGAAGCAGATTGTCTGCCCTCTTATTTGGTGCTCTTCTCATCCCTTTCTATTTTATGCCGTCATAATTAAGTCACGTCAACATAAAATGATTTATGCGATCACTTTTATATTTCTATTAATTTTTGTTTTATTATTTTTATAAAAAATTAATATAAAATATTGACGTAATTTAACTGTAACCATATAAATAAGAGAAGATGAAAAGAGCATCCAAACTGAAGACTAGACAATCTCCCTCCCAAATAATTTCTCCTCAATATGCAGTTCGTGGGTCCGGATGAGATTGCAGATTGCTGTGATTGGTCACAAAGCCCAACGTGAAATGACTCTTATTTTTATTCAGCTCAAAAGTTCTTTAATTAATTTCTTTATCAATCTACACTTTTAGGCTCTGTAGTTTAAGAAAAATTTCACTTTAGATCATGTAATTCAAATTTTAAAATTTTTGGACATAAAGTTTGTACTTTGATTTAACTTGCTACCTCATTAGATTTGAGAATGAAATTTCGTGTAGCAATATATGCATGTTTCATATGTTGACTTTTTATAGTATTGTGTGTTTTAAATCAATTTGAAAAATTGAGAACGTTTAAACTAGGTTTTCAGGATTCTGGGCAAAATATTAATCGCTGTGGTTAGGCACGTTAGCGAACGCACTTAAATGTTACCTTTACTCACACATGTGCTGTCATCTCAAATTTCAGTTCTTAATTTTAACGAAGGTAGCAATTGAATCAACAAACTATAATATACCAAATTAAATAAGTAAGAAAACTAGAAAATTAAGATTTGCCTAAAATCAGAAAACAAGACAATGCATTTCTTACCATCAAACACCAAACAAAAAATCAACCTTCCATTTTCAATCCTCTACAGTGTAATTCGAGAATCAATATCCATACATTCATTTCTACAAATCAAACATAGTTTGCGTGTAAGTTTCGAGAGTAAAATGGAATAAGACAACATTTTGGGTGAGGATAGAAATACATGTGTTGTGTTACTTGTGGTGTTTTTTAAGAGATATTTCTGGTGTTTTCGGAAACATGACCAAATACATTAAGAGTTGGTTTGGTACTGTTGTGCTTTGAAAAAAAACTGCTTCTATGCTGTGAGAATAAGCAGTTGTGAAATAAACCTGCTGAGTGCTTAGTAAATTTTTTTGTAAAAGTGCTTTTGGAAAAAGAAAAAACAGTATTATATTGTTTGGTAAACTTTTATTTAAAACAGCTGCAACTGTGTGGAATGATAAAAATAGGATATAATACTAGATGTGGTATTAATTAAAAAAAAAAAAACCTTTTTCTCTCTCCTTTCTTACCCCAATTTCCTAACCGTAAACGCCGATCCAATCTTACTCAACAAAATCAAATTGATATATAAAAAAGCTTTCCCTCAACCCCCAATTCTGGTTCCGCGAAGAAGATTAAGGGCCTGGAATTTCTGTCAAATTATGGCCATTTCACCAGTCTCCCGATTGTGCGAACACGACGACGAGTCGTCGAAGCTGCTGCAGCCACAGCCTCTGTCTCTGTGGTCGTGGCATTCAGGTAAAGAAGCCAACCGACAACGAGGCACAGGAGATGATCCTGATCGTTGACGACGATTCCACGGCGGCCCCGCTATGGAGTTGCTGGGGTCGGGTCGCGACTGGTCCAACTTGTTGATTTGTTTTCGAATTTTGGTTTTCACTGCTTAATTATGTTGAATTAAGTAGATCACTAAGTGGATATTTGAGGTTGATCAATCTCTGGTGAGGTCGAGGCATTTGAGGTTGGGGAGCTCAGGGGAGGGTCGCGGGAGGGCGCCGGTGAGAGGACTTGGCAAGCACGAGAAAGGGGAGGGTAGGATTGGAAAATTGAAAAGTTCATTAACTTTGTTATTGTTCACCCGCCTCTTAAAAAAAAAAAAAAAAAAGCTGGTTTTGAGAAGCAGCATTTTGCCAAATACAGCTTAAAATCACAGTGACTTTGAAAATAAGCAAACTTACCAAATACAAATTTTACTCAAACTTTTTTTCGTCCCTGCTTTTTTTTAAGCACCTCAATGTCAAATCAAGGCCAAGTGTCATAATACAACTATTTGAAATTTTTTTTTTCAAATATTTAACCATTTATATTATGATACTTGTGTACTAAACCGTGTTCCCAACATATTGAAAAACTTATTGCATTTTTTGGGTTGGAAGTAAGTGAGACGTGCATGGCATGTTGCATGCTCAATCCTCAATGTGTTTGAGCCCCATGCTACTCTCATGTGTTATTTGTAGTGGGTAAGGGGCATGTGGCTGTCACATCGAGTGTAGAATTTTTGGTCATGGTCGGAGCAATCAGTGCCTAAGACAATGATGTTTTTACACCATCAGGTCCTGTCTCGTCCCGAGACCATATAAAGCATTTGTAGCTGCAGAATAAGAACAATAATTACAAGTGGTAGGCATCACCACATTATTGCAAGTGAGATGTTCACCACATTCTCAATTCGACATTTTTGTTCTGCTTTTTCGATTCTCTTTTATTTTGGTTCTCTTTCTATTTTATAATGATTGAAGATGACTTGAACTATAAACTTTTTAGATCGTCCTTTAAAGATCGACTTTGCAAAATACTTATCAAATCAATTAACTTTTAACCATTCAATTAATTTTGTCAAAATTTCAATGTTTAATTGTTTGATTGAAGAACATGATTCATCTAATCATTGAATAATAGTTAGATGACTAAAAAATTTCGGAATTGGTACAACGACCTAGAAAATAGAGGTTCGAATCATCATGCAATATTTGTGTCCATTTTTATGATAGGCAACTATGCCACTGAAAGTGGACGCAATTCAAGTGCTTAAGAGCATTTAGCTTTGACCTCGAGGTTATTCGTTTGATTCCCTCCTCTCGCAATATCGCTGGAGAATAACTCTCACAGAATTAGATTCACGAATGAATAATGAGCACAGGAACAATGCAATTTTCTGATAGGCAACTTTTTAAGTAGAAGCAACAGTTCATAGGAAGGTGAATCTCGAACACAGTTGATTAGCCGCACAGGCTCTTTTCTAACCAGAAAAACAAAATGTTCGTTTAATTAGACTTGCTCGGACTAAACAAAGTCATCCGTTTCAACTCTTCCATGATATTACCTTCGACAGTCGAATACTCCTAGGAGTTTCAGAAGGTTGGAACTTTGTCGGAAGAACTGTAACGCTGTCGGTTCTTTAGGGAAGGTGTCTAGCAACTCAATTTGTCATGGACTAACCACTGCTCCAACAACTCTCAACCTGAAGGGGCATTGCATCTGTATCAACTTTAATAGCCCTGAAACACGAGGAGTCTCCATTACAAATTGGATATGGATACGGGGAGATGGAGAAGGGCAAGGTCGCGAGGAGTCTGATCATGTAGAACATTGTTCGTTTCACTCCAAAGATACCAGCCGATGAATGGAAACCGACAAAGCTCCTTCCATGACAAGACACACCGCAGCTGCTTCAATAAATCCATACCAGCGCTGCAACACCTTTGGGAACTCCATCAGGAAAAGCCGTCGTCTCCTACTTGAAGCTGAGTTCCCCACCCAGTTCTTGGGTACGGAATGCAGGAATGCAGAAACGCATGTCATAAACAACATAATCAAATCTGGCACATATCTCCACATGAAGTTTCAACAAGACCATTTGTTCCTTGGAACTTCCCATTAACAAGAGTATCATACGTATCGTCATGTGGAACAAGGCCTTTGTCAAGCATCTCATCATGCAACCTAAAAGCCTCTTGCAAATGCCCCTCCTTAAAGTACCCAGCAATCAAAGTATTATAAATATGAACACTAGGAGTCATTCCCTAATATTCATGTCTTCCAAGTTCTTGCGTGCATTCTCTAGCTGTCCTTTGTTACGAAGGGCATTTATCAGAACTGTATATGTTCTTTTATCAGGTACAATTCCCTTCTGAAGCATCTCTGAGTAGAGATCTGCAGCAGATTGTAACTCTCCCTCTCTTAGCAATCCATCAATTAATGTAGTGTATGCTTTCAAATCACAAGGAATAGCTTCTCTAATCATCCTGTTGTGCCAGTCAAGAGCCGCTTCCATGTTATTTAAACTCCGGAAGCCGGATATCATGCTACTGTAAACAGCTACATTTGGAGATAAACCAACTTGAAGGAGTTCTAAGAGAAGTTCACCCGCAGTTCCCATGTCTCCTCTTTTACAAAACCCATCAATTAGAGCACAATATGCAGTAACATCCAGTTCAATGCCCTTGTTTTTCATCTCATTCCACATTTTCAAAGCCATATCAATTTGATTGCTTTTGCAAAACCCATTAATAATGCTGGTGTACGTGACAACATTAGGAGAGACTCCACCTTCACACATTTCTCTGTATACAGCCAGTGCAGAATTAATGTCACCCTCCTTGGTATACCCATTGATAATGCTATTGTAACTAATACATCCCGGAATAAAACCCCTCCAACAATTTTCTTTAGCATGTCACTTGCCTCGGATGTACGACCAGCTTTGCACAAGCCATCAATGACAACGCCAACTGTGAAGCCTGTGGGAGAAATCTTGGCAGCCACCATATCATCAAAGACATCAAAGGCATGCCCTACATCACCGTTCTTGAAGTAGCCGTTTATCAAGATAGAATAAGTCACATCATTTGGTTTCAAACCCCTTTTAAGCATCTCCACAAATACACTGCGTGCATGCTCCGTATTCCCTATACTGCAATGGCCATGTATCTTGCTATTGTACGATACTACATTTGGTACCGCACCTTTACACATCATTTATCCCATAAACTACAAGCTTCACTTACTTTACCCTTCCCACAAAGCCATGATAAGATATTATTATATGAGAAAACATTAGCAACACCACACTCAACGGCCTCATCAAACATGTTAGACGCATTCCAAATGACCGATATTTCAAAAATCCTCGTATCAAATAATTTACAATGAAGACATCAGGCAAGATATCCATGTCTTTCATTTGCGTGTAATGCTCATAATCCTTTTCCATGTTCCCATTCTTACAGCAGTATTCTATAAGAATTGTATACGTAACCCTGTTCGGAGTAAGTTCATCCTCTATAATCATACTGAACAAACCCAAACCACTCTCCGAAGTCCCTTGCACACAACCACCCTTCATCAAGCTTGTAGCAACAACCAAATTAACTGGGTACCCACAACTTACCATACCATCCTTAATCCTTATGGCTTCAACCATATTCCTCTGCTTCACACAAGCCGTGATGACACTACTAAACGTGACAACAGAAGGAACCCACCCCATTCTCTCATTTCATTCAAAAACTCCAAAGCCAAAGACGAATTGGGTTTCTTACAAAAAGCCTCAATAGCAACACTATAGGATGCTGCATCAAGTCCTACCCCTCTTTCCTCGCCTCTCTAAAGTACTCCTCCGCGTCATCTGGCTTCCCCTGCTTCAAACAACCATGCATCATCACGCGTAGAGTGACACGATCACCTCCAATTCTTTATCATACACCTCTTGTGCTTCCGCAATCATATTTCTCCTAACCAATTCTGTTAAAAGAATATTCACATATGTAACGCAAGGATACATCTCAAGCTCTAGCGTTCTAGTAAAGCAATCAATGGCACATTCGATTCGATTGGCTCTAACCTAACTGTTCAATAAATAGCCAAAAACCTGAGATTCTAGTTCAAAATCAAACCTTTTGGCGCAGTCTACCATGTGATCGACAAAGACTCCAGGAGCCGGGCCCGGATTGCCGGAAACGTACTGGTTAAGTGATGAGTCCATATTATACTATAGATTTTACTCTAATCTTAGTATTAATTTATTAGTTATTTTGGTAGAATTTTGATACTTTGTTATATATTTTTAATGTAGGACATTTGACTTCCTCTGGACCAAAAAGTATTCAAACAAATGAATTTTGGAGTGATTCCAATTGGAGGATGTTTTTGTGTCTTTCAAGATAATTGTATCAAAATTTTAGATTTTTCTACCATGTCATTTGACTGTGGCAATGAAATAAAGGCTCAGCGCGCAGCTTTCCCAGATTAATGTTTTTGAACGTTTTGGGTATTTTAAAAGTCAAGATGACGTATTTTGAGGAAGATTCCTTCTGAGGATTTGTAGGGGATGTCTTCAGCTTTCAAAAAAGACTTTTGGGGCCAAATTAGAGTTGGTTTGGTCAGTCAAAAGTATGATTTTCTAAGAACTCCAAATTCTAATTCAAATAGAAATCTTTTATTTTATGTTTTATCATTTAATTATGTTTCCTAGTTTTCTTCTAAGAACAACTCCAGCTTTGGAGCCCTCCTCTCAGGCTATTCACTATTCAATCCACCTGATAAACAGTAACTATCCTTAATGAACAGTAATCACCTTTGGCATCTCCACCGTTACACTTCAATAGCCCTGGCAATAGGCAATAAAATATTAATATTTTATTTATTTATAAAATAATACAAAATAATTTTTAATTTTTTTCCTTTTTTTTTCTTATTCCTAATCCTTTTCATTTTCATTTTTTTTTTCCTATTCCTTAACCCTTCCATTTGACCGGTTCCTCACCTACCCTCTCTCTCATTTCCAATCTCACCTGTTGATGCCCTATCTAATGGTTGTCATGAAATCATAACAAATAACATCACAAAAAGCCAACAGGTGGCAAAATTAAAAAAAAAAGGAAAAAGAAAATTTGATCTTTCATCTGCCCCTCAACCAGAAAACGAGAGAAAGAACCCAGAAGCTCCTCTCTTTCTCTAGCAAGAAGCAAGCCATAGTTGATGGCTGTCAAGATACGATATCAACTGGTATGTCATTGATCCTCACTTTTTTTTTCTCTCTCTCTCTCTCTTTCTCTTCCTCTCTACCGACGCAACCTTTCTCTCTCATTTCTGAAACCTCTCTCTCTCTCTCTCTCTACAGCTCCAAGAGCTCTCTCCTTCCTCTTCTTCGAAACCAAAGAATCAAACTAACAAACTCTGAAATCTCAATCCCCTGGATGAGAGGAACTCGAATATATCCTTGCATGCATCATCAGAGCACCATTTGGGTGATCCACCATTGAAGCCGAGAGCTTCAAGCTTCCATTGCTCAAACTCAGATGTGGTTATTGCCCTACTTCAATTGCTTGAGTTATTCTCTGGTTTTTTTTTTTTTTTCTTGTTTGATTTCTTGTTTAATTTAATTTTCTGAAATTGATTATGCATAGTTGATGTTTTTCGTTCGAATTGAGGGTTTCGGATGGGGAGATGTCAAGCTCAGCACATGCACTGATGCCGCACATCAGCCATACGTCACACAGCCCTCAGGCTCTCGGGCGAGCGATTCCTGCCGGGCCTGCTCGGGCTCCCTCGCTAGCACACGCTGGACCACCTTCCTCGGGCTATCTGGCCCTGTTTGAGAGCCAATCCATCTGGCTATTGCCGACGGTGGAACTGCTCTAAGGCCTTTTCAAGGTAGGATTTTATTTTGTAATAATATAAATAAGAATTTTTGGCTATTTTCTTAATAATATTTTGTTTTATGGTTGTTAGTAACTAGTTTCGTTTGCTAGCACGACATCTTAGCACGCCCATGAGTCTTCGGAGTGCCCATCAAAATGTGAAGCTACACACAAACGGCATCGACACCTCTGACAAAACCTCGCTCCTTCTCAGCCCATTTGAAGTAATTTACTGCCGAGTTTGGCTTGCTTTTGTGGCTAAGAAGAGTACTGATCACACTAGTTTGTATTAATTCCGAGTCTTCTGAAATCGGGGCGGCGAACTCGCCTTGATTTGGGTCTGATGCAACTGGGTTTTCGTGAAATTCGATTTCTGATGTGGGTTTCTCCGGAAAATCAGATTCTGATGTGATTTTCTCGTAAAAATCTGTGCTTGGATTGGAATTCCCGGAAAATGGGGGCGATTCTGAATGGGGTTTTGGAAATTGGGGTTGTGTGGAGAGGAATTTGGGGTTTAAGAAAGGAAGGCGACGTAGTGCAGGGAGTGGTGAGGAATTGAGAGACTTCTTTGTTTTGGGGTTTTTGCTGCTGAAGAAGAAATAGCAGAAACCCTAATGGAGATCAAAGGCTTCGGCTTGGTGGCGGGAGTGATGAAGTGAGGAAGGGGATGACAACAGAGGCTGTGGCGCGAGCTTTGGCCATTTTACGGTTTTACCCCTTTGAGATAAAACTCAAATCCCCAAATACATATTAAGGATATTAATTGTTTGATAGGCAAATCAGAAAATGGCGCTTAACAAAAAAATACCACATAATCATTTATTCATACACAAGTGAAATGTGACGTTTGATTTTCGTAGATGGTGAGTTTTATACCACTTAATTCTGATGACTAAGTTATATGATTTAAAAATACTGAAACACTATTATATTCTATAGAAAAAGATATAAACTTGATGTGAAAACGTCAAACTGACTTGACCTACTTATTTAAGTCACATTTGCACCGCTTCTCGACTCATCTATTTTTTTTACTAAATAATGTGAGTGGTCATTCTTATCCAACGTCTTTAAATTCATTTTAAAAAGGTTTGTAATTGAAGTGGTTAAAAGTATCTACTTTTAAACCTATTTGTTTCTTTCATTAAAACAAATATTGGGAGGAGAAAATCAACCGCATAACCTCGAGAATGCAAACGCAAGTGCTCTAAACTACTCTTTTCATTATTTTAAATTTGCTACCGCTGAGAGTATAGTTTAGTTTTTCTAAGCATACCTTCATAGGCACTGCAGAAGTCAAGAATCAAGGAACCAGACCTTTGTAAGTTCAAAGGTCTCATCAAAACCTCAATCCATGATGCCAAAAAGACGAGATTTTGCCCTATCATCTGGAACATATCCCCGTACGAGTGTCTCACTCATCATGTGACCGTATAACATGTCTGTATATTTTCAATGAACCTAAAAGAGCGATAGCAAACCAGATGTACGCTAATACTTTTTTTGAAGAACTTGATTAGCAAATGTATTGGTCTTCAATAATGACCATGTTCTAATCAATTAGCAAAAGCCTACTCAACAAAGAAAATAGATTGCAAAGAATTTACATTGAAACTAATAGTGCAGTTTCCTGAATGGATGGGAAATCAAGCCTCATCATCCGCCAATCTGAGCTTCGAGAGCAATTGACTAGTTGCTTCCATCAGGACCGAGAATCTGGAATCTGCTCAAGAACACAGAAAATCACTCTAAATGCTTTTAATGCAGCAACCACGGGCGTCAATTTGGTTTTACCTCTCAAGGATGCACTTTCCTTCCTTGTACTTCTGGGATTTCTCATGCGCCGCCTCCTGAAATCGATAACCAAAATAAAACTCTCATTCAGCTGTCACTTTGATGCAAGTACTGCAAATACCGAAAACAAATAAAGCATCGTTTTGAAGAAAAGATATTCTTACATATTTCCATCCCACATTTGATCCACAAGAAACACAAAATATGTCGGCAACGGTATGCAATCCTGTTATCATGATCCGCTCTTCTTTCTCTCCAAGTGTGACATTCACGCTGCCATACATTGGGAAAGCGAAAGGTTAATTCAGCATTCATATGTGTAAGCTGCACTTGATGCAGTTATGAATAAGCCTTCTTCATAGGATTCAAGTGAACGAAAATGCGTTTGAGACAAATGCATTAATTAGTGAAATTTGGGAGAACAATACTCCAAAATAGATTTGCTATGCTGTCACTGATTTCATTAATTCTCTTTCTTTTGCCATCCTCAAAGTTAAGCTTTCAAAATTCATCAACCGGAATGAATCCTCTGGCCTATATCATATCGGGGGACAAGAAACAATACATGGCCAAGTTTTTTGTGGCAAGTGAGACCAATATAAACTCAAATGCTCATAACCCTAAAACTGATATACAAGCATCCATAGCTATGACTGAATCTATTCAAATTTTCAACCGTAAAATAGTATTACACTTACACTTTATCGAAAAGATAAGCCTTCCCATAGCTGGAGTAAAAAGACTGGAACAAAAACAAAAGCAAATCAAGGGGTTAGAATGTCACTAATCAATCCTGGTATCAAACATACACCATACTGCATTGCTTTAGTTTCCATATGATCAACGTTCAAACCAACAGTAACCGTAAGATCCCACATCGCCCAAGGGTGAGGATCCTGTAAGCCTTATATATATATATATATATATATATATATATATATATATATATATATTATCATCTCTTCCTAGCATGAGACTTTTTGGGACCTCACTGGCTTCGGGTTCCGTAAGAACTCTGAAGTTAAGCGAGTTCGGGTTTCGTAAGAACTCTGAAGTTAAGTGAGTTCGCGTGAGAGCAATCCTAGGATGGGTGACCCACTGGGAAGTTCTCGTCTGAGTTCCTAGAAACAAAATCGTGAGGGCGTGGTCGGAGCCCAAAGCGGACAATATTAAGGCCCAAAGCGGACCCGGAATGTGGTGGGGCCCTGAGCCGGGATGTGACAGTAACACAAACAACCAGGACAACATTTCGGCCTCGAATTAGAGTAGAGAGAGACGCAAGTTCGTGTCTAATCTTCCAGCCAAAATTTAACAATTAAACCAGGAAAGTGTAAAATAGATATCTTGGACCTAATCTTAGCAGGAATTGAAGACCTAATTCTTCTCCGGCAAGTAAAGCAACAATCTGTGTTCCTAGAATTGCATAATTAAACCGGGAATATCATCATAGAGGGTTACAGATAAAGGTTCAAAATCTTGAGCATTTTGCATATCCGTTCATCAAACGCGCAAGCCATTTCACATGAAGCCAAAGCTGATTGTGATGAGCCATAAACAGAATTAGGAAACGAAAGCCTGCACCATGAATAAAAGAAGGAACCCAGAAACAACCCAATGTTTGAGCTTCCAATCTCAACCAGTTTGAACATGAACCATCACATTGCGCTACGGTATAAAGGTATCACAACTCCTCAATATCACAAACAAAACTCTGTAAACAAAACCTAAACCAACAATTTACGTATCACATCTCCTCAATATCTAATGATTAGACCCCCTATCACTCATTGGAATTTAGCTTAACAAGCCCACACAAACTAAATTCTTACGTCTACTACCGATAAATCTCTCATCGAAAAATCGCCACACATTTACATATCACAACGATGCATCATAATTTCACAGAGTTCTTGAATGTCCAGGTAGCGTGCATTATGCAAATAAACAGTCAAAATTCATAACAAACAGAATTACGGGGAAGGCGATTTCGGACCTTAGAGATTACGTCGTCGACAAGAGCGAGATGGGTTCTGCAGTGCTTGCAGCTATACATGTTTTCCTCAAGAGTGATCACAAACAGCCTTCCCATTTCTCACATACAATTAAACTTTCTTAATTCTTGATTTTCTTTTCCCTAGAAAAACACAAAGATCGGCGGCCATGTTAGAAATTCAAGCATTCCAAAAGAAACCCAGAAATTATCTTGACGAAAACTTGAGAAAAATCAACGTGATTAAAACCTGAAAATTCCAAGAAAAAAATTACGAAAAAAAAATGAAATGATACACAATGCAGGAGTGCATTTCCTATAACTGTGTGATATGAAGAATAAGAACAGAACGGCGACGTACAATTGGGATATAGTGTGATCTTTCCCGGTAGTTACAGAGGGAGCTGAACAGAAATAAGAGCTTTCATGGAGAATTGAGAAGAAGAAGTGCAGAGAAAGTGCTTTTCCGAGTACAAATATACAATCGGACCAAAGGTACCTTAACACCTTTTCTTCACCCTCTAGTTCCTTTTTCCTTCTCTTTTATCTTTTTGAAGTGAAATATTTTGTCTTTAAATTATAAAAATGTAATATTTTTAGTATAAAATTATAATAAATCTGATAACATTTAAGGGAGAAAATGTAGATTTTAAAGAAAAGATTAATACCAAAAAAATCTCTCTGTGTTGTGGTACGTTGTATGTCTTTGTCGCGCAAATTTTATTTTTACGAGCTTTGCGCGATGTACTTATTTTCGTCGTGGAAGCTATTAAATGTAGTAGTGGGAGTCTTTGATTCCTCAGTAGGGTAAGCAAAATGAATGGAAACGTTAGTATCCTTCTTTGAATTTGATATGCTACATCTAGAGAATGTTAATTAATAATCTTTGCATCACTATCGAATGATGTTCTTAATTCCCAACATGACAACTTAAACGTTAAATTCTTTAAGAAGATTTTTTTTTTTTTTTAAATTTCTCTAAGGCCTAAACGGATAAATGATTTTTGTGGTGATATAGTATTCCAAAGTTAGGCCTGTGGAGAAAAAAATTAGGAATCAAACACTCATGGTGAAGTCCATTAGGATTCATGCCCCAACTGACTTAACTACATGAGTTTAATTCCTAAATTTTCCAAACTAAAGACTATCTTCCGAATACATTATCAGTTATCACCTCAAAAACCGTTTATTCCATTAAGCCTTTCTTTAATTGTATGAACCAATGACTCCCCAAATTACAAGAAATTGTATTTTAATATTATTTTTACTACGCGTGATATTTGATTCTAAACTATAAAAAGAGGAGGGAAGAGAGATTCATACTCAACTTTTTTTTTTTTAATTTTATAAAAAAGATATAATTTATAGTAAGAAGAAGGGACGGACTTAACCTCACAATGAGTTAACAATAATATGGTTCAAATTCGTCTTTGACAGGATTCAAACTCAACTATTGAGAGTGCAATCTCCACGCTGATGTGACTACGTCCACATGCCTTTCGTTATAATATTTTACAAATAAATAAGTTTTGCACAGTTTAAAAAGCTTTCAGAAGAAAGAAAAAAAAATCCCTCTACTATTTTGGGAAAAAGAAAGAAAAGAAAGAATCTCGTGGCCTATTGTTTGGTTAAAAAAACTGGTCGCTAATAGGAAAAAGCCACGGTAGAAAGTAAGGACGCATTATTTGTGTGTTGGGGGGGGGGTGGGGGCCCGTGCCATGAAACCGCATGAGATTCAGATTTGGTTGGAGGACGGAAAGAAAGCAATTCACCAATCTCATTCACAAGAAGGTGCCAAAGGACACACGAAAGAAAAGTTTCACTCATAGTGACTAGACCAAAGCAAAAAAGCCAACCCAATCCGACTGGGAGCGACACCTGTTTTATGCAATTATGTGTTTTACTCTATTATCATCTGACTATTCACGTTGTGATAAGAGAGACGATTCATGATTGTTTTTAGAACCCAATTGTCCCACATCATTTAGTATATCTTAAAGACGTTTAAGAGCTTTTGCTTACCTTTCCCTTCCAATCCGATTTTTAGGGGCAATTTCTACTCTTAAAATTTTTATTAGAGCTTAGCTTCGCCACGCAACCGAGCGTAACTCTATGAAAGGAAATGAGAAATTTTTCAGTATGTCTGGAACATGGGGTGAAACACCACATGTCATTACATAAGTGAAGGGAGATTTTATTTTTCAAGAGTCCCACCACTTATCTAATGACATATGGTGTATCATCCCGTATTCCGAGCACGTGAAAAATTTGTAGATGGGACCGCCTCAAAGGAAGGAAAGGGCTCCTCTAGGTCAGTTTAGAAAGCAAAACTTCACCATACCCCTAAATAAAATCAAGCCACTTGACTGAAAAATAACTCATCAATAAATGAAGTCTTTATTGAATCAAAAATTGGATGTGATCCCCTATAGATGGTTTCACAAAACACATATTATTGTTAACTTTATGACCAGTGGACAAGGTTTAGCACAAGACAGTAACTAGGTAGAGAACCAAACAAGAGCTAAGACAAAGAAACTTGATGAGCTGATGGCTAAACCTCGAAGAGGGCCGGAAGTTGAAACGGGCATCATTTGATCTTCCTTGATTACTAAAACTCCAATGAAAGCATGCCTCCGTGACGTGTGGTCAAAATATAAAGGGTCCAGAAGGAAAAGTATACGTTCTCCCGTTCAAAAGAGGGGATGCACGAGTAATGTCCAACTATGAAGATGAAATTGTGTCGTGTGGTGTTATTCTCTCAACAGCACCCATTCTCTGAGGAGGCCACAAAATTTGGGTAACCCTTCCTTGAACTAAACCAAGAGGAATCTGCCAACAACAGCTTGTTTAAGTTAGCCAAAGTAACATAGGTTTAGAAGGAAGCCAAAAGTAGCCACATTTTCAAATTATTTTGCACAATATCAATTCTGATGCGGACAACTGAACTGAAAGCAACATCTGAAACAAAGTCTTAGAATACGTCAAGCATTATATTCTATCAATGTTTTGCAATGACAACAAAATCATCTAGCAGAAATTTAGAAGGATGCCAAAAGTAGCCACATTTTCAAATTATTTTGCACAACATCAACTCTGATGTGGACAACTGAACTGAACGAAGCATGTTCATAAGCAACATCTGAAACAAAGTCTTAGAATACATAAAGCATTGGATTCTATGTATGTTTTCCAACGACAACAAAATCATCTACCAGAGCCATGAGTTGCAAACTTTTTCCAAAATGCCAAACTAATTATCTATTTAGCATTTCAATTTTATCGTGTCCTGAAAAACGTATTGTCTCATTTACAAGCCACAAGCTAACGGAATACAAAAACAATTTCCATCCTACTCCACATTCAAAATTTTCAGAATATATATAAACAAGAGGAGTGATTTGCCATACAAAATACAAAAGTAAATTCAAATACCTAGTCAGCTTATGGTTTCATATTTGAGCACCAAATCAATATAATTAAGGCCACGATGAAAGATTATACTATGGTTAAACTAATTATTTTTCTGGTGCACAAACTTAGCAGTTAGGTAGACTTACTGGTCCAAACGATCTCGAATCCAGGCTAGAAGATCAATTGTCCCCCTCAACCCAACAATGTCCTTCTGGAATTTTCACCACATCATAGGAGTGACGCGTTCCAATCCACTCACCAGGTAAGGCAGTTATTCTCTTTATGTGACTCTCCTAGTGGTTATTACTTGGGGAGCTGCAGAATGTTCCCTCAAGCTTCTTGTTATAATTCACTAGGCACAAAAAGTACTCGAGTAGTGTTAGGGGCAGAAATTACCGGAAAACTACCACGTCACCATGTGAGAACTTGTAGTTTTGAAGACACCGTTTGTCGACCAAGACATAGTCATCTGCAACCAAATCACAATCAGACCACAAAACAAACCATTATATTGCACAACACAACTTAATGAGATGTCTTTCAATATACCAACCAGTTGGCAAGCCCATCAAAGAACTCGTTCCAGGGTTTAACGTAGGCAACATAGAGGAACCCCGCACCAGAGCAACACTCGCAAATCAATCCGAAATGTATACACCTATAATCCCACATGTGAAAAACTTGTTGGCAAAATTCCACAAACCACTCCGAGTTCCCATGTCCAGTTTTTCTTCCGTAAATACTCACATTTCATGCCCAAAATGCAACAATCTGTAACGCTTATCATCAATTTTACCAAACATAAAATCAAATGTGCAATGTCGATAAGGTAAGAAGATTTATACAAGCAAAAACAGTAACCAGTCTCTCAGAGGCAAACAACCAAACACCTGGTGAGCTGAATGGACGAGAGGGAAAGAGAGAAGCCTCCTTCGCCGGTGGTAGTCTTCGTTAATGGAGATAAGGCGGGAGGAGGTAGGTCGTGTACCGCCGTCGTGGACTCGTGATTTGGGGGAGAAGCAAAGTCTGGGATATGTTTCGGCTTTTGATCTAAATATCAGTTGCTTTTAGCTCAAGGAATTTGAACTGGGTGACAAAAATTAAAGAATCCGGATCCTCGGTGAATTCTCTTTGTGAGGATTCTGAGGATCTGTGAATCGTTTCCGTTTATTATACATCGTGAGGTCATAAATTATTTTAAATATTTTTATTTGAAATTAAGGGAATTGTTATTAACACTTCAAAAATCTCATTTGGCACTCCAAACTTTCTATAATTAGAAAGAAAAATACACTAATGAGGAGTGTGTAATGAGATTTTTAGAGTGCTAAAATTAAATGCAAACACTACCTGCTAAAAACTGATCGCATAATGTACGATGAACGGATTTTCAGAATTCTCTCCGGATCCTTTTAGTAAGGAATCGAAGCCCAATCGAACCATAGAGCTTGAAACTCTCAATTTTTATTTCACTGATTATCTTTTTACACAAGTGATATTGGTGCATTGAGGGGAGGAGGGCGGGGAGTTCGAATTTAGACCAGGGTGTAGTGATCAAAGCTCTATGACATTCGAGCTATAAGTCTCTTGCACAAAATCATTTTCCCATGAAAAAAAAAATGACTTCTACTAGTTGATCTATTGTAGTTTTGATTTATTTATTTTACAAAATGGTAAGTTAATTGTTCTAATTTATATGGAATGAGATTATCATTCGTTGCAAAATCATTAAGTTGTGTTATCATTTTGGGAGCGGGAGATGTAATCTCGAACTTGAGTGAAGGGGGTAGACACATTGTTACAACTAATTGGTTTAACCTGAATATGATATGTGTTGATGCACAAAGTCATTGAGATTTTGGAACAACGTAAGGTGTTGAGTTTGTGACATTCGCTCGGTTGTGTTCAGTCACCTAGTGAGAGGACCTTTTTTTTATAGGTAAGGAGAGTCTCTAGCTTTTGTCATTTATTCTGAAGTTGACACGTGTTGTATTGTGATTGATATCCTGGATAGAGGGAAACTCTTATACTTCGGCAGGGGTGCCTCAGCATGAATCCCTTAGTGGGTCATTGAAGGTATAAAGTTGATCGGTGCTTGGTAGTTTCGAGATTGGTCAAGTATGATACAAACACTATGTATTATTTTTTCTTCAATTAAATCCTTAATTTTTCACTTAGATAGTGTAATTTGAGTTTTTCACTTAGATAGTGTAATTTGATTTTATTTACCCATAAAAAATCTTATAATCGATCAATTGGTTAAATGAAAATTTTCTTAACTATGGGCCATACAATTATGTTTTATTTTCGATCAAGTCCTAATGTGTGGTTTCATTTGCAATAAGTTAAATGCCTTAATATTCACTTAATATTACATTTAGTGACATTATTTTTTCTTGCAAGTAAGAGATTAAGTTTGAATTTTCATGGATGACGAGTTCAATACTAATTTAGCAAGTAGGAAAAGCTCACATGCCGTTGCTTACACTAATCCTTTGATCACATTACAATCTTTACAAGCTTAAGCATCACAAATCATGATTCAGCTAAGTAATTAACGGTACATAATTAATCACTGTCCACTAATTAAAAAACCAAACATGATATGCACGTAGAGAATGGGCGGTCTAAGAAGAGAAGGCGTCGATGATGGTAGTGTGGAGCGGGTCACTCAAATGGGTAGCCCAGTTGTTAAGCGGGCCCTTTCCGGTTACGGCGGCCTGCACGGCAAACCCAAGGAACCCAACCATGGCGAGGCGGGCGTGCTTGATTTCAGCCAGTTGAAGGGTGGCCTTCTTTTCTGGGTCGGCGGCAAGGCCCAACGGGTCGAAGAACTTGCCACCCGGGTACAACCTCTTTTCCGGGTCGAGCTCGGCGTTCCTTTGGAACTCGATGTAGCCAATCACTAGAACTTCGATCCAGATCAATGTGGTAAGTGAGAACGGGAGTGGCTGACCCAAGTAGGATGAACCTTCGATGAGCTCCACCTGTAATTAGCGTTGACTGTCAGGTGAAAAGACAAAAATACACCTAACTTTTTTTTTTTTTTTTTAAACAAATGATATTCTAAAAGGAGAGTAAGTTAAGCTTGACAATGAACTAATAATAAAATGATTTAAATTTGCCTTTTGACAAGGATCGAACATATGATTTTCTACTTTAGAAGGGAGAGTAAGTTAAGTTTAATAATAAGATAGTTCAAATTTGTCTTTTGGCAGTGATCGAATTTAAAACCTTTCACTTACAAGTAAAAGAAACTACCATTAGACTGTAATAAGTGTCAAATACACTAAGCTATTCACATACCCATTTTTATCTCTCACTCATTCTTATTAACTTTTAACTGTTTATCTTCTTTAATTTATTCGATCTGAAGAACGAAAATTAAGAAAAATATATGACAGGTAAAAATGAGTGTTGGTATATACACTTTGATTTGGCGCCAAATGAAAACATGCAAAATGAATGTAGGCTGCGTACCTTTCCGGCGTCTTGCCATGTGATCCCGGTGAGGGACTCAACAGTGAGAGCACCGAGCGTGGCGAGCATGGCCCACCTTCCATGAATCAGCTCGCACTCCCTAAACCTCTGCAACCCAAACACCTCCGTGTAAGGCTGAAACGGCGTCGACTGGACGTCCGCGGTTTCGGTTCGAGTCCCGATGATGTCACCCGCCAAGTTCTTGGCCAAATTTTGGTCCAACCCGTCGTAGTCGTACTGCAAATACTCCGCGGGTTTGCCCAAACCGAACGGGTCGAACCCATAGTCGCCCACCAGGGTCCCGTCCAGCCACTCCGGAGCCTTTGCGCCTGGGTACCAAAGCGGGCGGTCAGTCGAGAAAGTGGGTTTTGTTGATTTCTTGGGCGGGGTTTTCTTGGAACCGAATCCGAACCGGGCCTGAACCCGACCCGAGTTCGAGTACGCCTCGGACGGGAGGCGTGTCCCGATGAAGGAGGATGTAGCGGCGGCAGCAGCTGTGGTTGTTGCCATGGCTATGTGCTAACGTGCGCCGGGGGTGGAGGTAGGATGGAGATTATTGTAATGTGTGTTTAAGTGAACTTGTTTGGGATTTTTATGTGGAGATATGGAAGTGAAGTATTGTATCGGGTTGGAATGGATGATCCGGTGTGGCGGATTACTGGCCCTTGGATTGAGAAGAGTATCCATCTGACGGATGTGAGGGTATCGGCCTTATCTTTGCCTTATCTGATGGTGGGGTTTGGGAAATTTGGACATCAAATTGACTGTTTTCTTTTTGAGATGATTGTGGCATTTCTTGTGGTTGAGGTCACAAGTACCCTAAAATCTAGTTCCTTTTTCTTGTGGTTGCCACTTCCTCGGTGAGTTTCCTCTGTTTCATATATGTTTTTGTAAGCCAACGTTTGAATTGTATTGTAACTGTAATGACAAGAGCCGAGTATGTGTAAAATGTAATTTATCCAAACTCCAATTTACAAGAGCCGAGGGTGATAACTAACTAATCAAGGATTGAGGTTAAAAAAATTATTTGACAGGTAACTAGAACTAGTCGTGAGCATGTGAATTAGGTTAGCTAAGGCGTTTTCGTAAAGCTCAATCCACAAGTAAAGGACCCAAATCTTTAATGTAGCATAACCTCATAAGATTCGAATTCGGAGTTCCAAATCTTTAGTGTAGCATAAACTCATAAGATTCGAATGCGGCGTTACGGTGGACAAACTCAGAGACAATTGCTATTGATTTTTATTGTCAAAGACTAAAGTGCAGAGTTACATCAATGTTATGGACCATTTTAGCTAAAAAGCCATCTCATATTGAATGTGTTGCAGGATCTGAATGAGAATAGAAATCTTAAGGAATACGTACTTCATGAGAAAAATCTTGGACACCCCACGGTCACGACCATATCATCAGTAGAATACTTTTTACAAAAGCAGCAAGACCAATATATTATAATCTTATCCAAATCCATGCTTGTCCCATTTTATAACCGTACTGAAGTTTCTCTCTTACTTCATGCCTTCATGGCGAAGCCAATTATACCCACCCCTTTTGGATGTTAATACATGAATAGTTAATGCTATGTTCGAATGTTTAGGATTAGATGCGTCATTGTCTTTTTAAGAAAGCTTTTGCATAAGTAACAGGAAATTGTAATGAATCATGTGCAAGTCACTATCGGCATGGCGTCTACCGCGGTCTGGATGCTGTCAGAAGATCTTGATCGTCATCTGTCACCGGAGTAGACTGTTGTGCGTGCTGTGGCACCGCGTCCTCCTCCAAACAGGTTCCCTTTGAAAGAAAAATAAGAAGTAGGTTGCTTATGCACCAAGTTCTGCCGTGCCTTTCCACCAAGATCTGGCATGGCGGATCACGGTGCGTATCTTCTTAAACCCATTTACAAACTAACGAAGAGAGGAGTTCAAGAATAATTAAACTACAAATGCTTACGCAATTTGATCAGTTTGTTCCCAATTGGGCTTCTAGATTTCGAAACAGAAAACAACTTTCATGCTTGCTTACAAAGATACAAGAACCTCTAACCTAACACAAATGACATGTTAGTATCGTAATTAATTACAAATTAAAGAGAAAATTGTCAAAGTAATGCAACTCTATTTACACTTTCCAATATAAATAAATTGGAGATACGGAAAGAATTGTAATGAGAATTTCCCAGGTGATATTCCAGCCCCTGTTAATTGCCCTTACTGATAACAAGGGCCGAAAGAACATGCGAGTATAAACCCCTTATCGACGAAGATCATAAGAAACATACGCTGGATTTGGCGCAATGAGAGGAAGCTTATCAATGTACATAAAAAGTCTCTTCGAATTCTCCCTAGAGATTGCAGACAGGTCAACAATCTCATTGTTGCTGGTGTAGATCCAAAGATCACATGAGTTGACTCGTTTCAGACTGTCTCGGCAGAAGGGGCATGATTGAGACCGTGTACGCCTAGATAAATCAAAAGGGAAATCTTCTTAGCCAAGGAAAAAACAGACACATTAACTGATGTAGCCAAGGAAAAAACAGACATCTTAGATCCAGATTATATATGCCAGCGACTATTTGACCGTGGTGCTATGTTATCACTTAAGAGAACTATACAACATCACTTTCAATACATTCTTAATACAATGTATGTTGATTGCTAAACTTGAAAGTATATGGATCTAAATTATCACGTTTCAGCCTATCTATGTGCAAGTGAAGATTACTTGAATCATCAACCACTTGTGCACGAAAAATTGAATACAAACGGAAAACTTTTGGTAAGAAAGATGAGAAATCAAGATCAACAAGCAAAAGGGGATAAAGAAGGACAAAGTAACAGCTGCTTACCAGTTTCGATAGCACTTCATACACATAGAATGACTGCAATTGGGCAATACAACCTTGCTGTTCATCTCCATGCAAATACCACATTCTTGTTCTCGCTCTAAATCAATTTCAGAGAGCTTTCCTTTGACTGCCTCGTCTTTTCTCTTGTACTTGGTGGAAAGGATTTCTTTTTGTTTCCTATCTTCTACCTCAGTCAATCCCCTCTGAAGTTGCAATAACGAAGGAAATATCACGCCTGATTTGAAACAGTCAAAACGGGATTGCTAAAGAGTTGTACATCTTTGTTTTATAAACACTTCTGTTCAAGAATTCTAAGAAAAGAATACAAATTGCTTTCAATTTACTTACCGTAGAACTCTTTTAGACTAGCTTTTCTTTCATGAATAGACATGGTGGTCTTCCCATCCTGGTACACCTGCGACAAAATTGACACCATCACAACAATGACAAGAAGCTACAATTCTTTATTACCAATACACCAGATTAAAAGTTAGATGGAGGGGTCACTACAATTCACCTTGTATATTAGAATTCTAAGCAATCCCATGGATCCAGCAAAGTGACAATCAGTCCACTGAATGAGAAACCAAAAGAATTGCGCGGCCGGGCTGTAGGATAATCTCATTTGGAAGCAGGCCCCGTCATATTCCCTCGGATAACCAGAAGCCCTGTATACGGAAGAAACATTAAATTTCAAACGGATAAAACCTACAAGATACAACTGCCCCTCTATTTCCCTCAGAAAATTCCAAAGCAAATGACATCAAAACAAAAAAAAATTCGGAATCTAAAACATTTGAATATGCAGTGGGCCAACAAAAAAGTTCCCAGATTGGCTAGGATGAGAACAGGATGAGGGTATTATCCTTTATCAAAATTAACTGCAGATTTTGAAGTTCTACAGAAATAAGTTACCCAACTTGAAAAAGGAAAATTTTGGTACGGTTGAAAACACCAATAATTGCAGCTCCACAATTCCCACCACACAAATCAGAGTAAAAGCTGAAAGAAGCAGCTCACATCCCCCCTCCTACACGGCTACACCAATTAGTATATAGAGTTTGAACAACCACCAAATCAAGAGGCAGTTTCGATACGTCAAGCGGCCTAACATCAGAAACCGAAATTCCACAATTATGCTAAGAAATTAAGAATCTATAGCAACCAGCCTACCATCCACAAATTAAATTAATTGTGAATTGTGGGTTTGGAGCAGAAACGATTGTTTATAAAGCAGGAAACTTTCAATCCATATCGATGAATCCCTAAATTACAAGGACACGAAAAAAAATATATCATCAGAAAGCTCAGCCCTCATGAGTTGTTCAACTTTTACCAAATGTCAGTAAATTCTGTAATGCAAACTACATAAAGAAATCCAGAAGGATGAACAAATATCAAGTGAAACAGATAACCCAAATTCTGAAACATCATCGAATTGCTAATACGATCCTTTTCCATCAAAATCCCATAAACCCAAAAGAAAAAATGGAAACTGGGAACGACCCAGAATCTGAAAATTTACAAAAATTAACAGAAACGTATGAAATTGAGAGAAAGAATTTGAGTTCTTACAGAGTGTTGGCGAACTGTATATCAGCTTGGAGCGCCTTGAGAGAATCCTTGAAGGACTTTCGCATTTTTCTTTTCCTGATAGTCTTCACTCTTTTCTCATCCCTCCCATAAAAAACTCTAAACGTTCATCACTCCACCCACCTCAAATCCTCTCTCTCTAAAAACAGCAGAAATATACGACCCTTTCTCTCTCTAGAACCAGAAAAAAAATCTGATCAAAATTTATAAAATTGGTTTTTGGGGTTGTGAATTCGCAACTGCTAAAGCGTTAGAGAGAGAGAGAATCGTGCACAGTGAGAAGGGTTTTAGAGAGAGAGAGAGAGAGAAGGGTTGGGGCTTACTTGATTTTCGCTTAAAGCACACGTAAACAGTATTAATAGAGATAAGAAGAAGTAGAGTATGGAACGGAAAAAAAAAAAGAAAAATTATTATTTATGAAATGACACATTTGCCCCTTTCCTTCCCGCCTCAAGATTCATGACAGACCGTTCCCCGATATGTTTCCATCATCACCCTGCGAGTGGCCGTTTAGCCTACCGACTTGCCGTTTGCCGGTTGTTATTCAGCGACAGCAACGTCGCGGGGCGGTGGGCGGGTGAGGACAGGGACGAAGCTAAATCCGGGCTGTGGGTGGGTGACGGCAGCGGTCGTCTTGACGCGTGGCCTCCATGCATCACGATCTGGTTCAACCGTTAGTGAGTGGGTCCCGTGCTCGGTGGTTGTTGAAAGCGCGACGTGTCGTGATTGGTGAAATGGTAGGGACCACTACATTCCCAGCCGTATGCTTTCAGCTTTATTGTTTATCATGGAATCGGGAGTGTTGGGTTATTGGCCTATTAGTCCCTATAATATAGGGACTCCCACAATTTGGTGCTTCGTTGACTAGATATTTGGGGTTTACTTGGGCAACAAGTAGGGAACCGGGTCCTCTCTGAGGCAAACTTTCGGGATCTTGTTGAGCGACAAATACAGATCGTTAGATTTCGATACAATTATTATAACTTTAAAAGGGATCTTTCTGTTTGTAACCGTTAAATCGAAATCCAACGGCCCATGTTTATTGCTCAGTAGGATCCGAGGGTTTGTCTCGGAGAGAATCCAGGTCCAACAAGTGGCACCAACAAAAACAAAATAAATTCTTATTACCTTAAAAAAAATCCATGTGATAAGTGTTCAGATCTACATGTAAATTTCACCATCAAGTATAGGTAATCGTTTACAGTTAACTAATGTTTAAAATATTGGTATATTTATAGTTAACCAGTGTTTAAAATATTGGTATTGGTAGAAATATCGATGTGCAAATTTATGAAAATATTGATATTGATATTGGTTACCTTTGATAGACATGATGAAAATTTGTTCAATGTTAAAAACACTTGTTTAGACTAAATATAAAGTTTCTCCATTATTTAATAGATGTGTCAGAAATATCGACAAAATCTTTCTGTTTTAGCCGAAATTTAAGCGTAACTGTAATTTTCCGATATTTCAACAAAAATATGGATCGTATTGAATAAATTTCAAACACTACAGTTAACACATTAACTATAGTTAAAATAATGTATGCATTCATTAGGAATATTGGTTCCCAGCTGGGGAAAGACTGAGAGATACATATGTATATAGACGCCATTAAAAAGGTGGTTTCTTGCACAGTTGTTGTCCATAATCCTGTATTTCTATTAGTTTAGAAATTAATTAGTGTCCACCAACTTTGTGTAATAAATTTACTTAGCAGAAAACATAAAAATAATTAATCACGATTAAGGCATTTGTTGTTATGCTACCTCGAATTATATATGCTTCTTTGCACAAGATAAGTGGATTGGAATTGGGGACCGACTGAATTGGGTGGAAAATGCTTTATAATTGGTAATGTTCGTCAACTTACAAAGACAAATGGTATAAAATGATCATAGCAAAAGTTGATGACAATAAAATGGGTGCATTTTTTAGATTTATGTCTATTCACTATACATATCTCGGAATTTAAACTCATTTAACCATGATAAATATGATAGTGACAAAAAATATTCTCAAAAAAACTTGTGTTAAAAATAAGAGAATTGCTATTAATACTTTAAAAATCTCATTTGACACTTCAAACTTTCTATAATTAGAAAGAAAAAAAACACTTATAAAGAGTATAAAATGAGATTTTGAAGTGCTAATACCAGTTCTGAAAAATAATTAGTAATTTGCATTTTCGAGGCACCATATAGAAGAGCTGGTAAATGATTTTCGAGAGGCATCATCTAAAAGAATTGGTGCAAAAAATAATAGTTTTATGTGGTGATACTTGGTACCTGATTTGGCAGAGGCATTATATATAAATGAGCCGGACTTTCCTTTTTTTTTTTGGTTCCATTTTTTTTTTTCGTTCCGAGGTAATCTTTTGGGATATGGTTTGTACATTGTTGCTTTGTTGCAGCAATTTCTTCTTTTCTTGTATTCATTTTCTTCAAGTTTCACCAGGCAAGTTTTTGTTTTGTCCTCGTTTCTTGTAATATGAAGAGTAAAATTTTTGTCTCCATTGAATAGAGAAATTTTTTATTATGATCGGAACACTGATGATACGTTTTTATATAAGTGGTGAGAAATTTTACTTTTTAAGTTATTAATTTTTTAACACACATATTCCACTATTTGCATAATAATATGTGGTGTACTACCTCGTGTTCTGATCACACTTAAAAATTTCTCCACGACTAGGTCTAACTTTTTTTTTTTTCTCATATCAATAAATTTCCGCCGAGTTTTCAAGAAAACAATTTGACAATGCAAGGAAATCTATAATATATAAAGCGAGCAGTGCGATGAACAGTGACTTTGGGGTCACGCATGCGACAAAAAAATTGGTGCCACCCACTTTGACAAAAATAATTGGACCAAATTGCCCCTCAGACAAAAAAATTCAAAACCTACCCAAAATAATATATCAAATCATGCAAGGGTGAGTTGGTAATTTGGTCATCATAAAATATAATATAAATATAAATGGGAAGAGTGAAAGCTAGCGCCCCACGCATGCCGACAAAAATTTGGGGTCACGCCATTCGATAAAAAAATTTGGACAAATGACCCCTCAACCAAAAAAATCAAAAAACAGCCCAATATAATATATCAAATAACGCAGGGGTAATTTGGTAATTTGATCATCATAAAATATCATATAAATATAAGTGGGAAGAGAGAAAAAAAAATTAAAAAAAAGTTTTTCGCATGTGGATAACAATGTGATTAAACAATTTGTCAAAGGTCTTTCACTATGATTAAATTAATTGTCAAATGATTGTTTTTTTTTTTTTTTTATAAACGATGCCGTGATTCAAAAAATATCTTTTGCACGCGCATGAGCATGTGCATGAAGGCTAGTGTAATCAATAAAGGATTGGATACTTAATGATTGGTTGGATGAAAATGACAAGGCAACAGAGATTGCATCTAAAGCACAATCGTCTAGAGTGAGAAGCTACCATTCGCTTCTAGCTAGGATCAACCAATTAACTTGGCTCTCTTTTTTAAATTTTATCCCGTCAATACCATATTATCGTGACTTAATCATTCGTTAAATATGAAAAATTAGAAAGTAGAAAATTTTAAACGGAAGAAAATCCTGCTATGATGTTATCACTGTGACGGTGTACTTGTTGTTCCTTCAATATTGTTGGCCCAACCATGAGGCGGGTGTACGAAGACAGAGGTGGCGGTCATGACGCTCTTGCGGAACATAATGGGCCTCGAGCCAGGCTCACTGGGTGTTCCCATTTAAAAACCCTTCTTTACATTGTGGTTCATTTTTTTTACAAATATGGCTTCCAACCCTAATAGTTGTATTGTAAAAGAAAACGTGCACTAATTTTATAGTTGAATTATTATTAAGTGTTGGTTAACGTGTTCCTTTTCTGTTAGGAACATATTATTTGGTTCAAAAATTTGGTTTAAAATTTTGGTTTTCCTAGCATTATCCATTTGATTATGATATGAAACAAATAATTTGCTAGAAAATTAAATTTTTTTAGTCAGTTATCACCTAACGCGATAATTACCCGACTGGACCTAAGTTATCCATTACACACACACACACACACACACATATATATATATATATACACACACACACACGAGTATAATTCAAAAACAGCTACAAAATTGCTGGTTTGTTTGTTGCCCACACTCCTTTTTTCTTGTATTTCTTGATGAGAAAGAAACTCTGTTGACTTCACCCCCAAGTAATAAGCTTCAGTAGAAAGTAAAACAGTCACTATTTATTTACAATCCTATCACTCAAATCTCAAGCACACACTACTCACATACTCATCATTCAATCTCTCTCTCTCTCTCCCACCTCCATTGTTTCCTTTCTCCTCAATGAGCACGCCGAGCGGCTGGTGCATCACCGGAAAGATGGTTCTGCTGGGTGTGCGGGACACTGCCATGACATTAGCCTGTGCCTTGTATGTCAAGTAAGTACATCACTCTCAGTCTCTCTCTGTCTCTCTGTCTCTCTTCTCTCCGTCTCTCTCATTGTTTTCTAATGCACACTTGCACAGGGACAAGTTAATCGACAAGTCTGGCAAGAATGGAGGGTCTGCCCCGTCTGGTGGTCGGAATATTGGTGCGGCTCCATGATGGCCCGCCAGTAGGCTCACGGACCGTGACGGCGATTGATCTGTTTTCTTTTGTTTTCTTAAGTTTTGTGGAAGAAAGAGAGAGGCCAGAGTTAATTAACTGGCTAATTAAGCAGTTAAAATATGTAGTGCAAGTTAATCACTAGTACTTAATTAGTTTAACTTTGAATTCACAATGTATTATCAAGTTTCATGGAATCATGTTGATGATACAGATTAAATTTAATAACCAAACTTGTAGTTTCTTCTTTCATTTTTCTAGGGAGGAGTTGCCTAAAACTTCATTATCCCGCCGTAACATTTCAAACTTGTCACGCATCGCCAAATGTTTTAACTCACCGCTTGATGTCGTAAAATATGATTGATTTGGAACATCGCAACATCAAAGTCTTCACTCCTCACTTCATCTCAATCCTCCATATGAGGGGTGTAGGAAAATCTCTCTTATCAAATAGATACATTTTACTATGGATTTTTCTCCCAATAGTGCTTTGCACGGCCACATTTTACAGCAGTTAAAAGAATTGATGTAGCAAGTGCACATACACGTGTTATAACATCACATGTTCGATTCCTACAGGACTGAGTCAAGAAAAGAATGTTACTACATGGAAATTATAATCAGAACAGCTTCCAGCCTTCCATTACCTGGAAGGATTACGTTACAACAAAGAAAGGCCGGGTCAATGAATTACTACAAAATCCAAGGGTTTTCTACCTAGAACTAATAGGAAACCTAGC